AGTGTATTGTATAGGTTGGGTATACAAATTAGCTGTGTGAACTAGAGTTATAAGATTACCATTCAAATGGTATGTGCGTGGATATATCTATATGGATAGAAGATAATGGACGATTGCAAACACATGAAATGTTTTCAAGGTTTTTGGCTCTATTTTTACATGGACGGAGCGAGGTAAAGCTATTTTTAGCAATGACCACTATTTTAATTGAAGCTATCCATCATAAGTTTAGATGTTTGTGGGTCCGATGATGCAATAATTTGTAGACATGAAGCATAAGACGATTAGCAAAAAGATATTGAAGAGGATTGTTTACTAAAGAAGAGACACAAGGTAATAGAGATGATGATTTTCTCTGGTATTTTGGTGAGCAAACAAGCTCCTACATGGTGAGCCAAAAAAGAAGAATTACAACTTTGATGTATCTCAGTCTCTTAATATGTGTTCGTGTGATACATGTATGAAGCTAGTATAGAATTTTGAGTGAATAAGAACAATTTAATGACAATGCAAATAATTCGCGATATTGTATAATTTTGAGTTTATTAAAATCACATAGAAGGCTATGGAATCCCAGAAATGCATGACTTTTGGATTTTGAGTTTACAAAAATCACAAAGATCCATCAGAACTATTAAGATCAAGAAGATATCCACAACATCATGTACATGATCACATGTCCATGCAAACATGTCCATGGGATATAAGTGTTATATATTCATATGGATATAAAGAGTATGGAGACAGTGCTATGAACACATTCCCATAGACTATGCTAACGAGATGACCAACACATCAGTATCCACATGGATGCGATGGTATGGATATTAACGGAATGGATAAAAATGATCAACAAAAATCTACACGACACCAAAACTAGTAAACTCGAAACATTATATTGTAAACCATATGGAGACAGTAAAATGGATAGATTGGAGTGGATGGTATGGACAAATACTTATGCATGAATATATACATTTCCGAATACAGCTAAATGGATTTGAGACTAGAAGTTATTAGTGAAACCTTTGTTCTTGTTTATTAGTGGTTTATAATGTTCTCTTTGCATCCTAAACTCTTAAAAAGTTTTTTGGATTTACATAAAATTGGATTTTTGATTCCAAGTTTGCTATCTTTTTAACCATATTCAAATTAGTTGGCTTATTATCTCATTTGGTTTTGGCTTGAACTTATTACAAAAACAGAAAACGATAACTACAAAGAGAAATCAGTTTCCAATTATATGAATCACAGTCTTTATATTAAACTCACATATAAACAAAAATAACAATATTCTGATACAAAGAGAACCAGTCTCTAGCAAATAATTCAAGATATTGTATAATTTTGAGTTTATTAAAATCACAAAGAGAGCTATGAAATCCCATAAATCCATAACTTTTGGATTTTGAGTTTACAAAAATCACAAAGATCCATTAGAACTATTAAGATCAAAAAGATATCCACAACATCATGTACATGATCACATGTCCATGTAAACATGTCCATAGGATATAAGTGTTATATATTTATATGGATATAAAGAATATGGAGACAGTTGTATGTACACATTCCCATGGACTATGCCAACGAGATGACAATGAAATTGAGAAGCTCTTTAGTAGTTGTACATGGCAATGCTTAGCATATCTTCCTCCTAGCACACTTTGGAGTCGTCCAACGTTCTTAGCATCTAAGAGAATATTTGAAAAAGGACACATCCTATCAGATAACTTTTAACACAAGTAACTACAATTCATTTAACAAGATGGACACATCTATATGGACAAACTCCTGTGGACATGTTATAGTGGACACATGAATACAAAACTAATATCAGATATATGTCGAAATAGGGTAAACTCTTGAATTTGACGTGGACAAGAGTGTGTGGATAAGAAAACATTAAAAGAAGCAAAGATATATGGACATAGTACTTGATACTTGAAACCATATATGGACCTATACGTGTGGATATATATGTGTGGACACGTAATTATGTTTTTGTACATGATTTTAGAGAACATTAGTAAACCTGAGATGAGTTTTCATTCAGTAATTGTCAAAGATCATAAACTAAAAGAGAAATTGAAGATTAGGATGAAAATTTAATAGTTAACCCATACAAAACCTTGATTAAGAGAGCCAAACTAGAGTCTGAAATCTTGGTTGGTTTCCGGAGGTTGCCGAAAATCGTTGCTTAACATGTTTTTCCTTGCAATTGAGATACGAGAAAGCAAGTGTTGGGTCGAAAGACTTCGTAAGTCCATCGATCGATGAGAAAAAAATGAGTAGAATAAAACGTAAGAATCGGAGAATGACGGCAGACGATCGATCGCGACAATAGCCCCGTTATAATTTGGATTGAGCGTTATAATTTGGATTGAGCGTAAATAACTAAAATTAGGGATTTGCGGCGGTGAGAAAGTTAAACCAAAAGGGATATTTTTATTGGTGGAGAAAAGTGGAGGGGATTCTGGTGTTAAGCCACACTCTAGTCGGAGTGAGAAAATGAGATTTGATACGACGGTAGAGGCATGAGGAAGAAGAAGATGTCCAATGAGTTATGATGGTAAAAAAACAGAAAGTTAAAAAAGGTGAAATGGTGAGTGAATTGTGAATAAGGATATTATAATCATTCATTATGCTGAAAGTGCATCAGGAGTCACAAGTGCCTTTCCTTGTAAATTGAAAGTGATAAAGTGCTATGAGTGTAAATATCTCCCATTTCTTATACCACTTTAATTTGTGGCTGGTAAAATATTCGAAATTGACAAAAGGAATAAAAGTATGAACACACACACGTTCAATCAGACAGCTAAACCGAATATATGTCCGGTACGAACTCCGAACCATGTTTTTGATTAGAGAGAGTCGCGCAAAACACGCTATGATGATGAGTGGTGAACTCAACTTAAAAGAAAAAGACGAATACAAAGAAATAAGTATCTAATTTTGCAGCTTTGATTGCGACAAACTAGAATTAGATTGGTTGGATCGCACATGTTACCGTCACGTGCGTAGGCTCCACTCTTCACATGCCATACACGAAGGACCAAAGCCCAAATTTCTCCAAACCTCTTTACACACAAACTTCCGCTAGAGAGTCTACAGTGTAGTGATAGATCTTTGCATGTGCTTGCTTGTAACGTAAGCTACTTTATCGCATCGAAGAGATCTACCATAGTTACGAACATCTACATTTCCACAAATCATCTTCTTGTACAACGTACATATTTTGTTGATTGAACACCTACTAGTCTAAACGATAATCCAAAATACCACATATTAAGTTTTATTTACTGAACTTACCTTTTCCAACACTTTTTGTAGATAGTCTCCATTTGTAAGAGAGTCCTCACCCAAGCATTTATCATGTGTAGGAACATATTCACATTAGTTTGGACTTTGGATAAGGGTCCATTTATTTAATCAATTAAAAGAATTTTGAGATGCATATGGAAAAAAAAAGTTAAAACAAACAAACTTTCTCATTTCTGTATAGTATCATTCAAATCCCTAATAAAGGCCCATAGAAGAAGATAAGTGAGATCCTTTATTTCCAGGAAACCATTTAAGTAGTGAGCCCAATAAACAGACAAGAGTAAATCAACCATTAGGATCGGGCTTAATTAGATGATTTCACAATGTATAAGCTGGTAGGTCTTGAAGATGGTTGAAACTTATACAGTACTGATAGCTAGAAATTTAGAATCAAAACGTGATTATATGAATCTAAACCTGATTGTTTTGAAACAAATGAATTGAGGGGATAATCTCATCTCTAAGCTACTTCTTAAAGCGTAGTTGCTATGATCCTCACCCGAGTATCTAAATAATGTGCTGGGGATAAGAATCCCTTTAATCAATTAGAAAATCTGATGCTCATGAACATAAGACTTTTATCATTTCTACTAGTTGCCCTATCTGTATGATTAGTTCATACCAGTGTTAATATATTTCATGTGACTGAAGAACGTCTTTTGGTGCTGGAGGCATGCATTTTATCTAGGATTTGTTTTACCAGAACATAATTATAAGATTCCATTTGATAGATGTTTAACAAGTCAATAAAATATTCTAGTTACTGAACGTGTACTTTCATGACCATTTGCTAACAACTCATCGATCACATGTCGATCCTAATTCAGCGGTAATACAGTTCTTTTTTTTTGTCAACATACAATTCATTAAATATATACGAAAAAATATAACAAGAAATGTATTTCCGTATTAGAAAATTGAAAGTGAATTGTTTGGGATTTGGAATTATTGTGGAATTTCGTTTCTTTCTCGTGAACAAGGTTGGCTATAGTCTGTTGAATATATTTGTGTATTCAGATTCAGTACAGTGGTACTGGTATTGTTTTTTGGGACCCTTATTTTCTTAACAAAATTTATATAGATTCCGACATATATATACACATGCTATCTTTATTCTTTATCTTTATATTCGACATATTGAAGGTTTTTTTATACATTTCCTGTCTTCACTGTAATAATGTTTTTATGGAGTATATAGTACAGAAGATATTTAAAAAAAGAAAGAAGTATATATTTCTTAATAAACTAAATAAAATATAATAGAGATAAAAGTAGTTTAACAAAATTTGCTTATATTAGCTCAACAATGAATTTGAAATATATACATTCAAACAATTTGCTAAAATTTAACTCTATATAATAAAGTTGACTCAGATTTTTGTTACTTACGCACAACATCTAAAGCTAAAACAGCTATTAGCAAATCTTTAATAAATTTATTAATTTATCAAAAGAAATAAAAATATCTCATACGTTTTCATACCAGCGTAGGATTTTAAAAATGGACGGTTTAGATGAAATCAAAGGAAGAAGAATAGAGGAAACTTCATTCATTGTCCCTCTCTTTTAAAATCCTATATCTTCAGCATCGACTACTTCACCATCTCTCTCTCTCTCTCTCTAATAAGTCTGAAAAAAAAACTCGTCTCAAGTTTGATCAAGAAAACCAAGAAAAGATGCCGAAAGACAGGAAGATCGGGATCGCGATGGATTTCTCGGAGAGCAGCAAGAACGCACTGAAGTGGGCGATCGATAACTTAGCCGACAAAGGAGACACACTTTACATCATCCACACACTACCAACCTCTGAAGCTGAATCTCGTAACTCCCTCTGGCTCCAGTCCGGTTCTCGTAAGTCTCTTTCACCGGTTTTAGAATTCTTGCGAATGAAACATACGGTTTGAATCTGGTTTTGTTTTGGTGCTGCAGCTCTCATACCGTTGGTGGAGTTTAGGGAACCGGAGATTATGGTGAAATACGGTGTCAAAATCGACATCCCAGTTCTTGACTTGCTCGACACTGGTTCGAGGCAGAAAGAGGTTCCTAATATATTTCTTGATCCCAATGAAAATACATTTATTTCGTTATTTAGACCTATTAATGGTGGTTTGGTTAAATGAAAATGGAATCAGGTGCATGTAGTGACGAAATTGTACTGGGGAGATGCAAGAGAGAAGCTGGTTGATGCTGTTAAAGATCTCAAACTTGACTCTATTGTCATGGGAAGCAGAGGACTCAGTGCCCTTCAAAGGTTTTTTTCTTACTCTTTTATTTATTGAAATCTTCATGCCAAAAATGTCTCACTATGTCAATGGCGTTAAGTCTATGGTTTAACAATCTAATACCATCTCATTTTGAATTGAATATACATTTGGTCTCCTAAATGAAACTTCAATTCCTTAATTCCTTTTTTGGTTAATTAATATATTTGCTTTTCTAGAGGGAGAACCACTTTAAATGAAAACAATAGTCTTTGACAAATTGACAATTACTTCCCACCGAAAGTGGATAAGGTCACGGAAAAACGACAATGGATGAGAATTTAGATTTTAGCTTTAATTTTTGTCTTCATCTCACATATAAGAAAAAAACAAACTGTTTAGACGTTTTAAGAATCTAATCTATGGTTACACCTTGTATTAACACACTTGTCTTTTTATCTATTCCTTGTGATTTTTTTCAGTGGTAACATTTATCATTGATTACCTTTGACTCCTTAATTTTGAACCGTTAGTTTGTGTGTAACTGAAGTTACTTCCAGAAAATGTAAATGACTCGTTTACTTTTGATATTGAAACAGGATAATAATGGGAAGCGTGAGCAGCTTCGTGATACAACATGCGCCTTGCCCTGTCACCGTTGTCAAGGATTAACGATTCTCACTAAAAAAGGAAAAAGCAGTCTTTATCTCATATCTTTTTCCAAAAACAATAATCGCATTTCTTCCCTTTTTGTGTGTTTTCTCTATAATAAAACCCCTCTTTTGCTCGTTGTATTTTGTATTTGAATTTGAAATCATATCAACATAAATAAGAGTTTGTTTGTTCTAGTTTTCGGCTTTCTTGCTAATCATTTCAAGTATTTTCGTTGTATTTTGCTGGAATCACTCCATGTGATTTTGGCATGAACATGAATGTGGTGGGCTCGATTGTTTAATTTGTAATTTTGTATACAGAAATCACATGGCGGGCAGTTGGATTCCTTTGTCAAGTATCATTGACTATGGAAACAAATATTAGAAATGTTGATAAAGAAAAATTCTATTAAAAAAAATTACATTAAAAGTTACTAATTAGTTCATTGTTTTTCAAAAAGTATGTATAGAAGAATATTACAACTTTTGGAAACATCCCTTATGATGTATTTTAGCTGCATATATAGATTTCATTTCACCGTGGTGTCTTTTTTAACTTTTTAGCAATTTACCATCATGAAATATATTTTTTGGGGAGGGTTATTTACGTAGATAATTATATTCAAGTGGTTTGCATTTAATATCCAAACCCTCTCCCCAAATGTGAAACACTTGAACATAATTTTCAAGTGGACAAGAAAATTATGTATTTGCACCTAAAATCCAAATCCGATGTTTGTAACACAATAGACAGAGTCAAATCTCACAGTTCCCTCTTTTATTTTTCTGTTTTTTTATCATCTATGCTTCTTCATAAGTTGGCACATACCTATGTAAGATCACTTGGATTTTAGATTAAAGTGGAAAAAGTTTCAACTTGTTCACAGAAATCAGTAATTAGCAACCAAATTCAAAATGTTAAAAACAGATCAAGATTGTGCACCCATTCAGTTTACATTAAACCAGTTAAAAAAAAAAAAAAAAGCAATCAAAAACTCATTATATAACCTATCGTTAACATTTAACAATTAACACCAATTCAAAAGCCACAAGGTCGGTGATGACACAACTCCCACAAATCCACCATCTCATTTGATAAGCAGTTAAAGTTATGTTCGTTGATCTCTAAGACATCAACACCTGGAACTTGTGTTGTTGGTAAGAACACTACCTCCCTCTCACTCTCAAGTGCTTTCTCCACTACCTTCACTGCCTCAACACTGGACCAGCAAAAACTTCGCTATATAAATCACACTTTCACGTATCCAGTTGAAACCACACAACACAAGATCGAAAAAAACTAATCTCAGTCTTATTTCAGATCTCCGAGTTTACTCAATTTATCTCATTCCCCCGAAAATGGCGTCTTCCAAAAAATTTCTTTGCACTCTTGGTTTGATCCTCCTTATCGGAACCGTCGTGGACGGAGCCGGAGAGTGCGGTAGATCTTCGCCGGACAATGAAGCGATGAGGCTGGCTCCATGTGCAGGGGCAGCTCAGGACTCTACCGCCGCCGTGCCAGGAGGTTGCTGCACTCAGATTAAAAGATACTCTCAGAACCCTAAATGCCTCTGCGCCATTCTTCTCTCCGACACGGCCAAAGCCTCTGGCGTGGACCCAGAGGTTGCCCTAACCATCCCAAAACGCTGCAATTTCGCCAACCGCCCTGTCGGTTACAAGTGCGGACGTAAGTTTTTATATATGAAATGTGACTTTATGTTATCAACTTATCATTTATATATTTCAAAGATAATTAAGTACTATAATACTATGTTCTTAGCCATCAGCTTTAAACGTACAAACTTAGAATTTAATTTGAATCATTGTCAACACGACTAAATATCCAAAGCAAATCGAGTTTTGAGTTTTATGTTGAAATGTACTACTAATTGCATGGTTTTTGTTTGTTTGTTTGTGTGTGTTGGTTATATAGCATACACACTTCCATGAAGTGTTGACGACTAGAAGAAGGAAGAAGGTTATTGGGCTATATGAGGAAGCTTGAAGTTTACTACACCCAAAAAGATATATCTATCCATGTATCGTCGTATATTACAGTATGAATAATGATGATGTTTATATGTATTAGTGTGATTGTAACTGGAACTATATCACTATATCAGTAATAATATATGAAATGGAAAGAGAATTGTGTTGTTACATAGCTCAATGATGACAAAGACGAATCAAGCCATCGCTATCTTCCTCCATATCTTCCTCCATCTCTGTCTTTGACAACATATTTCAGAAAAAAAGAGAGAGAGAGAACTACATCCTAGTCTTAACTCTTAAGTTCCTAGCTATTCTGTTAGATTATATAGAGAGCATGAAATTTACAAATAATGCCACCGCTTCTCGTAACTAACTTAACTAACCCTTAACCGATCTGGTTTTACGGTTTGCTCCTTGAATTTGACGTGGAAATTAATTCATCATGTTCACAGAAATCAGTATTTAGTTAGTGACTATTTAGCAACCAAGTTCAAAATGTGCAAAAGAGATGAAGATTGTGTATTCATCCGTTCAATTCAACATTAAACCAGTTAATAATTAAAAATAAAAACTCATTATATAATCAATAGACTATGATTAACATTTGACAATTGATACCAATTCAAAAGGGATAAGGTCAGTGATGACACACAACTCCCACAAATCCACCATCCCATTTGATAATTCGAATAAGAAGTCAAGTAAGCATTATAATAGGTTTGTTCAGTGATCTCTCAAACATCAACACCTTGAACAGTCCAATGCACCCTTAACCGATAAGCCACCTCCATCTTTTGACGACTAGAAGAAGGAATGTGTTGATGTTTGAGAGATGTTGAAAAGGTTTGTTCAAAGCAAATCGAATTCCAGTTTTATGTGTAAGTTTACCACTAATTGCATGGTTTGCTCTGCTTAATAAACTGATTACATGGCGACCGATTCAGACGTTAGCCAAATTGAATTGCATAAGCGAAATAAACCAAAACTTTATTTATAATATATAATATTTGAAGTTTATCAACAATCAGCTGGGAAAAAAGACAAACAAAAAAAAACAGCAGCTGGAAAGTTCTTGACAAAAAGGCAGAGCAAAGAGATCCTACAAATATTACTACCAGACTTTTAAACAAAGAGGTGAAAGTTATTGTGCCCACATCTTCTTCTCTAAGGCTTTTGACTATATAAAATCTGAACCGCCGCCGGGAAAATGCTCAAGATCAGGATGCATCCCGCCTCCCCCTGGCCTTCTGAGAGATAAACAAAGGGTCATACAAACAGATTTTGATTCTGGAGTTTATTCATGTTCAGTAAAAAGACTAGTACCTTCCGAAACGGCCTGGCTCAAAACCTGGAACACCGGGCGGGCCAAACGGATCAAAACGAGCACCAGGAGGTGGTACACCCCTGTCAACACCAAAACAACAAAACCCCATTGCTTACTTGTCACAAACATTCTTCTGTTCAATCTACATGGCCGTGTATGTGCCATTTGAGTCGGAGAACAAATAATGCAAGAAAGAGAGAGAGATCTTACGGTTGTGGTGGTCCCATGTGGTCAGGTTGATTACCAAATCGAGGGAAGAAGCGAGGATCCTCCGGTCCTGCAACCAAACATAATCAGTTTCATAAATCAATCAAGTAAGCTGATAGTTTCTCTTAACTCAAGAATGATAGAGAAGATTGAATGGTTCGTACCTACAAGCATGCTACCATCGCCAAAACCACCCCTGGAGAGAAACAATCAAGAAGATACATATTAAAGATGGTGAATGACATTGGAAGTGAAACGAAGCTATGCGTTTGTATTATAGATGGTAACACACACCTGACAGGGTACACTCCAGCACCTGGGCCAGGGAGGAGATCACTGTAACCTCCACCAACGGGTATCGGAGGAACTACCACACTGAAAGATATAAAGTCAATAAGCACATAAGTTTTAGTTTTTTTTTTTCTAATCTGTTACAGGACAAACTGTCATGCCACAATGAACTTTCTCCTATACTCTGTCATTGCAATTGTGACTAAGAAATCATATGAACAAAACTTGTAGCTATTTTCTTGGATCATAAGAGTAAGCAGAAGAAGTAGTCAATGTATTACCCTGAGGGGTGAATCTGAGGACCTAATGGAACAGGCGGCCTTTCGTCGTAGTATCCACGCTCTTCATTTGTTGGAACAGGCCTTTCTTCGTAGCATCCAGGCTCTTCATTTGTCTCAGAACTGCAAGCAAACCAATGATAAAAATGGAAGTCTTAGAATGCACTTCAAGAATAAGGTAACAACATATCACTCTAGTCCAAGTCCAACTAGCAAATGCCTCCATAAACTCAAGTTTCACAATGAGAGCTACACGTAACATTGACTAAACGCAAACGACTCTATGAAAGCAAATCAAGTCACATCAATCCGTCAACAAAGCTGCCTTTACGGTGCCAAGGGAGTCTAGTAACACTACATCAGAAATCATAAGCTCGCTGCTAGTACCAATGCTCATACACTAAGCTTAAAACACTAAGTGGCATCTGTGAGCAGCTTATGAGCAATAAGGGAATTACCTGGACTGGCATCTCGAAGAAACAGGTTTGACTCCACCGTAAAGCTTGTCCAGAATCTCATTCTTCAAATCAGTCACTAGTTTGCCCAAATTCTTGTACTGTGCGGCGTAATTCCCTTCTAAGGGCTCTTCAGCATAATTCCCAACTCTGCAAGAGAAAAAATCCAGAAGCTTGTAGAACCAATTTCACAAAAGGAATCATAATCAATGACAAATAAAGTAACCATGACATACACTATCTCGAGATGAGCAGGTTCAGTTTCACCATCAGCTATGGCATCAACAGCAAGTTTATCAGCAATCGCCAAGCACTTTACCAGAACTTTCTTCGATCCTTTCTCCGGATTCGTATAGACAAACGCGTATTCCCCGTCGAATTCGTTCCATCCGTCGATCCCAACCTCTATTGAAAAATCCAGAATCTACCAAATCAGAATCCTAAACCCTAGAAAAATTCACAAATGAGCATATGGAAGATGAAGTAATACTGACCCTGAGTAGGAGACGATGAAGAGAGAGCGTCGTCAGCGAAGGCAGGACGTCCGGTGGCAGTGAGGTCGAAACCGGAAGAGAGGAAAAAAGCGTGGACAGAGAATGCGACCTTGTCGTGGTTGTTCCGGAAAGTTGGCCTAGCCGACTTGATCGTAGCCATCACCGCCTGAGAAGTCGCCATTGAAGTTCTCTTGCAAGTTCGACGAGAGGTTTTTTCCCCTTTAGCAAGATTTCTGATAAATCGATTTGGGAAGCAAATAAATTTTCGATAACTTTTTCATATATATTTTGGGCTTAGAAGAGTTTCGGGCTCGTTTGTGAAATATGAAAAAAGGCCTAAAATCTCAAATACTAAAACAAAAAAAGGACATTGAAAATCTGCACCAGCCGGGAATCGAACCCGGGTCTGTACCGTGGCAGGGTACTATTCTACCACTAGACCACTAGTGCTTGTTGCTCAAGATTATCTAATCTTAATCACTTTGGTTATTTTATAACTCGTAGATTATGGCCATTTGGATTGTGTTTTTCTTCTTTTTTTTGTTTTGAGTTGCATATGTTTTTAGGAATAATTTAAAGGTTCGTTAGTGTATGTAACATATTCGAAAATATTTTTATCAAATAAAAAAATTATCAAAATTAGTATTCACTTCACACATACGTTTACATCAATACTACCACTGAATTTATCCGTTAGTGACACTGTGACAGTATTAACTATTAAGGGTTTTTTTTTTTTTTTTTTTTTTTTTAAGTACCATATTTTATTGCTTAAGAAAGAGATACCGATTACAAAGTACAATTTTTGACAAGGAAATTACAACGAGAAACAACCGTTTGATACGTAAAAACGTAGACCTGCTCGATCCGTTTGATACGTAAAAACGTAGAATCTATAGGGTAATGATGATCTATGTTTGACTCTTTCAACCAAATATACACTTTGGTGCTTCATTTTGGTTGGAACATGTGTTTCTTATGATCCATTTGATTTTAAAAAATTTCTATTTCTGTCAGTGCATAACAGGAGACCGCGTAGTGGAAGAAGGTTACTAGTCTTTTCAATCAAACATCATGTGAAATCTGCCTTCGTCCTCTTTATCTCTCTCAACCATCATTTTCGAACAAGAATATAAAGGAAGACTTTTAAAAGTATCTGATCACAAAAATGGAACACCAAAAACGGCTTGATAATGAAAACAGAACAAAACCTCTAATCTAAGATAAAAATACCACCTACTATAGGTAGTTTAAGTAGTGTGTTACCTAACCTTTTATTCAAAAAATGGGAGAGTCGGAAAGATCACATGTTTAAGCATTGGCGGCCATCGCAAGAGAGAATCAATTTAACATGTTTTTGTCTCCGACGTGAGAAAATTATCCGAATTTCTTTGGTTAACCATTAAAGAAAAACCAAGAAAATGAGAGCACGAGCTTCATGTGCTGTTTATTCTTCGCCCGGACAAAACGGCATAGGTTCTTGATAGAGACCTCAATGAGACTTCTTGTTCAAGCATGGGACTATATACATATATTGAGTTCCCTTCGCCGAGTAATCTTATTTTGTGGTCCTATTGCCAGAGCACAATCACGTTTGTTGTATGTGGTGGTGAAGAAAGGACAATAAACTCAGATGCTTGATTTTACAACACACACATATTGATAATTAGCATACGATGCCCAATTTAGTTCTTGCTAACACTGATCATGATTGATTACTTGCAGCTATATATTTACGTCATTTGTTATAAAGTGTAGCTTATATATTTATAAGTATTACGAGTAAAGAAAATAACACATTCCATAATTGTTAGTTTATCTGAAGGAAGTATCGAGCTAGTAACTTCGCTTCTTTTGTTCTATAGCTTTACATAGTTGTTATGTCTCTTTCAAAAGAAGACTATAGCTTAAATAGAAAATGAGTAGAGTATACGACTCTTAGAACAAATATATTAAATTAACTAAAACTCACCGATATATAAATTACCCACGATCGGATTCGTGTCACAAGGTAGTACAAAAAATAATCTGATTCAGATTCAATTTTAGAAACATTAATTGCTGTCTCCATTTATTTTTGTTGGAATATAGCTTATAGATGAGAACCAGTCAATGGTGGTAGCAGCACTATGGGAAAAAGTTGATCCACTTTCCTCAACCACAGCTAGCTAGCCCCATAGTTCCATTAGCTCATACATGATAAGAGTTGACTCTTAATCCAAACGTAAAGTTTGTCTTTAATTACTATTTCATTTTCATTAAAATATACAAAATTTGGGTATGGTCTAAATTTGGTTTTGATAGCAAATCCACTAAGGAAAGGATTCACAACTTTCTCCTGGCAATGATCACCAATAAGCTAGCAACAACCACTTATATCTCATTAATTAACATCTCTGAATTGGTATGATGACTCCCTAACCACACCTATAAGAGGAATTCATTCATTCACTGTAGAAATAGAGGATCAAGATCGTAGAATGTCATTAATCTGGAAATTTTTATGGTGGTTACTGGTTAGTGGTTACAGTCTTTCAGCATAAATGACCCCCTTAATTAATTACCATGTGATTATTACTGTTATTGTTGGACTTACATGATTATGCTTAAGTATGTCTCTTCTTTCTTTTCCTTTTTAGTGAGTGATTATAGTGTCACTATAGTACAATACTGATCGTGTAATATATTGTGGTTGTGATTTAAAAAACCATTTATAGATGAAATAACATGTGATTATAAAATGCGGCGGCAGAATGTTTTTGGTCATTGCTGAATTTTAGGTATATGATCTGAAGAAAATACGTAAGGGATTTCAGAAATGGTGCTACATCAATCAGTGATCTGACCTATTCTTTGGTAATATACCTAGTTGAGGAGTATTTTTAGTTAGGAGTTGAGGTTGTGTTTTTAAGGAATATTTGTAAGTAAAACAAGGTGATTATATAAATCGTAGAAAACCTCATTGGTTTTATTGAATTAAAAGTAAATTTAAGAGTCTCTCAAAAGTTCGTACTTCGTAGATACTAAGGATCAGATCCCCGAGGGCTACAAAGAGAGTAAATCCAGAATCTTGGAAAATTTGGACCTAGACTTTTGGTACCTTGGAATCATTTGTATAAGAAGTTTTGTGAAAGTGCATTAATGTTTTAGTGGTTATCAACTAATTCTTAAGGTCTTCGGTTTGGCTGTAGACTTTTAGCTAAGAAGGGGATATCCTCAAAGTGGGAATCTTTTACTCTATTGCAAGGGTGGAACAATGAACAATCTGGTTTAAGGTTTTTGTTTAATTTTCTAAATGACTACCTATTTACTTTCGAATTACGGTTTCATGTTTTGGTTTGATATATTTTCCGAGTATACAGTTTTTCTTCTATAGGCATCAAACTCATATAATACTATGAAAGCTACTTGGGATTTACAAGATTCTTGTAAGTATTTCTCAACGATAAATGCATGCTAAATTTTGTTGAGCTAGGAGTGTAACTTTATCTTTTCTTTCACTTTCACTTTCGGTTGGAATAAGTTCATTATTGGCTTCATATACAGCTCAAAGTTGTTGAACAAGAATCAAATTTTGTCATCGCATCTAGTGGATTTAGTATATCTTCTTAATTCATGAGAAGTTATGGGGTTTCTAATTCTTAGACATGGAAATATTCGATCAATCAACGTAACTTGAGGTTTCTTCTGTCTACGTCTCTCTTTGATTTGGTAAATCAACAAAACTCTCTTTTGAACTTTGGATTTGGTGAAACTTCAACTTCAGTGTATTGGTCTCCTACTCTCCTTAGGTCCACAATGCCACACAAGTTATAATCAGAAAATGACCGATTGTAGAAAGATGAGTACCATGTCACACCGAAATTTGTACTTATCTGAAAACGTAATAAAAACTTCACGATCATTTTCTTCATTACATACACGCTGCTTAAACTTTTATATACCAAAAGGCTTTATTAGTCGTAAAATGGAAAATCGGGTGAAACTAAAATTTAGCTTTATAGGTACATGTTTATCAATGAATTGGAATAGTATGACAAGTTATGATTGCTGAATAAAACCAAAAAATTAATAAAAAATCGTCATAGATCAACTAATATATATAGTTTGTTGTCCAATTCGATAAACTTTGTACGTTAATGAAAAACTAATTAGCTCTAATGTGTCTTCCTGATTTACTGTTACACAAAATCGTCATAGATTTATCATAATCAACACCCATCTTGCAAAGAAGCCACTTAATTTGTCACATACATAACCTCTATAGTAACAGCTGTAATAGTCTATATTTAGCAGAAGATAAACACGAAACAATATCCTGCTTATCAGTCTTTTATATAAAAAACCAAAGATGAATTAAGTTGTACTATAATCCAGCCTGTAAGGAAACGACTAGTAAAAAGGCATGCTAGTTAAATAGAATATGACTAAACTATCAAACAATGTATCACAATAACTGATCATCGTGCTTCAATACCGTAAAAAGTTGTAAATTATTGAATATCAACTTGTTATGTTTTTTTATCTCTTGAGGTCAGTGTATTGTATACAACTCTAAGATAAGTATTCAACTTAATAAAAAAAAGAAAAGAAAAGCTTATAAACAGAAAACATATAGAAATGGTAATTATGCACAAGGGAATTATATGTATATAAGATATCAAATATTTATCCTCATATAGTACTTAAGTTCTTACGTGGCTTCAATTTGTCAACATAACGTGTCTATTTTGTGGTACAATTCCTTTGAAAGAACCTTGAAGCACTAAGCAAGAAGAGTCAACATATGGAATGTTATCCATTATAAAGAGGACCAAGCTGGCTTCTCTCCACAAATACAGCACTCATAAGCAATTCTCTCTCTATATCTCTCTCTCTCTCTCTCCCAATCATTAACACAATATTATGGAGCATCACAGGATGATCATTGGGCTTAAAGATTCATCCGGTGATCAACAGAAATGGGTTGTTGATTCTTCTGTCGATAGTAAAGGAAATCTTCCGCTTCGGGCTAGAACCGGAGCTTGGAAAGCTGCACTCTTCATCATTGGTATGAATATCAAACTTTGTAAAGAGATTCTTGCGTATTATTTAAAAATTTACATTATAAGCTTATGGTTTCATAAACGTGTACAGCAATCGAGTTCAGTGAGAGACTAAGTTACTTTGGGCTCGCGACGAACTTAGTGGTCTACCTAACACTTATTCTTAAGCAAGATCTAAAGACGGCTGTAAGAAATGCAAATTACTGGTCTGGTGTCACTACTTTGATGCCTCTTCTTGGAGGCTTCGTCGCCGATGCTTATCTCGGTCGTTATGCAACTGTTTTACTCGCAACCATCATCTACCTTATGGTAATAACTTCTACACGACAATTTATGTACTATGTACAGTATTTTAAGGCTTCAAATTTATATTATATACAATTTTTTATGTGTAGTTGCATCTCTTTTCTCAAAACCGAATTAGTGGTACTCCAAAATGTTATAAGTGTTATTCAACATTTTTAATCAAAACTGTCTGTCACATGAGACTGATCCAGTTGAACAACTCCGATTTATCAAATATTTGGGATCCTTAATTATCTTAAGAAAATCCTTTAAGGATCAGAATAATCCTAATAAAATCCTTTAAAATAAAATAAAATACACCTGTACGACGTTTTTATGTAATTTGAGCACGTTCTAAATAGATATACCTTAAAATTATAGTATTTTTTATTTTGAGACGAGTCAAAGCTTGATGTTTATGTTTCTCTAGGTGTTCTAATCTTTATTGAATTTCAATTCACAGGGTTTGTTACTGTTAACACTGTCTTGGTTTATACCGGGATTGAAACCTTGTCATGAAGAAACGTGTGTTGAGCCAAGGAAAGCCCACGTCATAGCTTTCTTCATTGCATTCTACTTAATCTCCATAGGCACTGGAGGTCACAAGCCATCACTTGAGAGCTTTGGAGCTGATCAATTCGAAGATGGCCATCCCAAAGAACGAAAGATGAAAATGTCTTACTTTAACTGGTGGAGCACGGGTCTTTGCGCTGGTGTGTTAACCGCTGTGACTGTGATCGTTTATATCGAAGACAATATCGGTTGGGGTGTGGCTGGTGCCATACTCTCAGTAGTCATGGCTACTTCGCTTTTGATCTTCCTTATTGGTAAACCGTTTTACCGTTATAGAAAGCCTTCCGGTAGCCCGTTGACCCCGATCTTGCATGTCTTTGTTGCTGCCACTGCCAAAAGACATCTTCCTTGTCCTAATGATTCTTCTCTTCTTCATGAGCTGTCGAGAGAAGAGTATACTAAAGGACGGCTTCTTTCCAGCACAAAGAATCTTAAGTAAGTGCATTACAACTAGAGACATATGTCATGCAATTCCGGTTATGTCCGGTTTTGGTCATTAGTAAGGATGATTTTTATGATGGTTTCGTTTTGGTTTTGACTGGTTTCGTTTATTTAGGTATACAATTTTTTTTTATAATAAATCGGTTTATTAAGATTAAACACATAATCTCCAGATTTTTTTGGTTTCTTTAGCATTGAAAATGAAATAATTGATAATATGATGCGGATTTGCAGATTTCTAGACAAAGCAGCGGTTATCGAAGACCGAGGAAGCGAGAACGGTATGGCCAATAAGGAGAGTCCATGGAGACTAGCAACGGTAACAAAAGTAGAAGAAGTGAAGCTACTCATCAACGTGATTCCAATCTGGTTTTTTTCACTAGCCTTTGGGATATGCGCCACTCAAGGCACAACATTGTTCATCAAACAATCCCTTGCCATGGACCGACACATCGGTCACAGCTTCGTAGTTCCACCAGCTTCCATGTTCGCCATCGTAGCTTTCTCCATGATCATATTCCTAACAATCTACGAGAAGCTCCTCGTGCCTCTTTTGAGACGCGCCACGGGAAACGACAGAGGCATTAGCATTCTACAAAGAATCGGGACCGGTATGGTTTTCTCCTTAATCGCCATGATCATTTCTGCTCTAGTTGAGAGAAAAAGATTGGATTATACAAAGCAACATCACATGGCCATGAGTGCTTTTTGGTTAGCACCTCAGTTCGTAGTCATTGGAATTGCGGACGTTTTTACCCTCGTTGGTCTTCAAGAGTATTTCTACGACCAAGTCCCTGATTCGATGAGAAGCTTAGGCATAGCGTTTTACCTTAGTGTGCTTGGTGCGGCTAGCTTTGCCAACAATATATTGATGACGGTTAGTGATCGTTTAGCTGAAGCAATCTCCGGGAAGAGCTGGTTCGGTAAAGACCTTAATAGCAGCCGCTTGGACCGTTTTTACTGGATGCTAGCCGCTTTGACCGCTACAAATCTTTGCTGCTTTGTAATTGTAGCCAAGAGATACACTTACAAGAGTGTGCAGCCAAGCCTGGCTGTTGCTGACGTTGGTGATGACGTGGAGGCAGTCTCCGTGACTGATACATCCAAATTTACATAACTATGCTATTGGTTTTGGTCATCTCATCATTTTATATATGCTCTTTTTGTTGTACTTTTGAAGAACGTTTTCGTACGAATATTTGTTTAGTGTGGCTTTAGAGCAGTATTAAGAATAAGTAGTTAAGGTTTTTCTTCTCATCCTTACTCTCTATAGGCATCAAACTCATATATAATATTATGAAAGTTCCTTGGGATCTACAAGATTCTTGTGAGTATTTTCTCAACGATAAATGCATGCTAAATTTTGTTGAGCTAGGAGTGTAACTTTATCTTTTCTTTCACTTTCACTTTCGGTTGGAATAAGTTCATATATTGGTTTCATATACAGCTCAAAGTTGTTGAACAGGAATCAAATTTGGTCATCACATCTAGTTGATTTAGTAAATCTTCTTAATTCATGAGAAGTTATGGGGTTTCTTAGACATAGAAAGTTTCGATCAATCAACGTAACTTGAGGTTTCTTCTGCCTACCGATTGTAAAACGATATGAGTACATGTCACGCCGAAATTTGTACTTATCTGAAAGCGATCATTTTCTTTCATTACATACACGCTGCCTAAACCTTATATTCCAAAAGGACAAAAAGCTATATATAGTCGTAAATTTGAAAGTCGGGCGAAATTAAATTATGGCTTTTTAGGGTACATATAGTATGACAAGTTATGATTGCTGAACTAAACAAAAAAAAAATTAATAAATTGTTTTGATTGATGAATGTCGATTTGTTATTCCTAGGCCTATGTATTTAACTATTTAAACAACTCTAAGCTAATTCTTAACCTTATGCAGAAAAGAAAAGCTTACAATTATAAAACATATAACCTGATAATTATCTACAAAGTGTGTTGTTAATAAAAGAAAAAAGAAATTATAGTGTAAGCTTAATATTTGGTTGCAACATGTAAACCTCGAATGTGCAACCTAAAGTCAAATGCACGAAACTTTTTTTGTCCTAGTGCCTTCAAATATTTTTAAAAGACTAAAGACCTGTTCAAAACAAAAAAAGAATAGTTCAGTTTTTTTTTGTTTTAAAGTCAACTTGAATTTTTTTTGAACAGCGTTTTAGTCTTTATAAAAACCGAAGCTAAATAATCCAGCCTGTAAGGAGACGTTGGAGACGCCAAGTTAAAAAAACATGCTAGTTGAATAGAATAAGACCAGGGATCGAACAGAATAAGACTAGTTAAAGTAAACACATATATTGATCATGTGACTTATACTATAATTATTCTACGTGTGACCAAGTTACGCATATCTCACTTTATATTATAAGATATATAACTTCAAATAGTACTTAAAATATTAAGATATTACCTGGCATCAATATGTCAACGGTACGTGTTTTTTTCGTGGTACAATTCCTTGAAAGAATCTTGAAGCACTCAACGGGAAGAGTCAAAGTAGCGAATGTTATCTACTATAAAGAGGACGAAGCTGGCTTCTCCACAAACACAGCACTTATAAGCAGTCCTCTCTCTCTCCATCATTAACACAGAAAATTATGGAGGACAACAAGATTAATACAGAGCTTCAAGATTCATACGATGATAAACAAAAATGGGTTCTTGATTCTTCTGTCAATAGTAAAGGAGAGGTTCCGCTTCGGAGTAGAACCGGAGCTTGGAAAGCTGCACTCTTCATCATTGGTATAACGTTGTAAGAAATTCTTGCGTATTAAATCTTTACATTATATATGCTTATGGTTTGATATAATGTGTACAGCAATCGAGTTCAGTGAGAGGCTAAGTTTCTTTGGGATCGCTACGAGCTTAGTGGTGTACTTAACAATTATTCTTAAGCAAGATCTAAAGATGGCTGTAAAAAATGCAAACTACTGGTATGGTGTCACTACTTTGATGCCGCTTTTTGGAGGATTCGTCGCTGATGCTTATCTCGGTCGTTATGCAACCGTTCTACTATCAACCGTCATCTACCTTATGGTAATAACTTCTACACGAAAATTTATGTACTATGTACAATTTATTAAGGCTTAACATTTACATACATATTTTTAGTTATTTTGTTGCGGGCCATGTGTGCATCTCTACTCTCAAAACTGAATTAGTTGGTACTCCAAAATGTTAGGAGTGATGCAAAACTGTCTGTTATCTTATGAGACAGAGAGGCATTTGAACAAAAGTCCAATTCTAAAATGTTTGGGATCCTTGATATTCTTAAGAAAATCATTTAACGATCAAAATATTTCTAAGAAAAAAAAAAAAAAAAAAAATACTCGCACGAAGTTTTAAAGTATTTTGAGCACGTTTTAAATAAAAATACCTAAATTTCTAGTATTATTTATTTTGAGACGAGTCCAAGCTTAATGTTTTTGTTTTTCTAGGTGTTCTTATCTTTTTTTGAATTTCAATTCACAGGGTTTGCTTCTGTTAACAATGTCTTCGTTTATACCGGGATTGAAACCTTGTCATGAAGAAACGTGTGTTGAGCCAAGGAAAGCCCACGTAATAGCCTTCTTCATTGCAATCTACATGATCTCCATAGCCACTGGAGGTCATAAGCCATCACTTGAGAGCTTTGGAGCTGATCAATTCGAAGAAGGCCATCCCGAAGAAAAAAAGATGAAATTGTCTTACTTTAACTGGTGGAGCTTCGGTCTTTGCGCTGGTGTGGTACTCTCTGTGACTGTAATCGTCTATATCGAAGACCATATTGGTTGGGGTGTGGCTGGTGCCATACTCTCAGTAGTCATGGCTACTTCGCTTTTGGTCTTCCTTTTTGGTAAACCGTTTTACCGTTATATAAAACCTTCCGGTAGCCCGTTGACTCCGATCTTGCAAGTCTTTGTCGCTGCGATTGCCAAAAGAAATCTTCCTTGTCCCAATGATTCTTCTCTTCTTCATGAGGTGTCTAGGGAAGAGTATACTAAAGGACGGCTTCTTTCCCGCACAAAAAATCTTAAGTAAGTGCATTACAACTAGAGACATAATATGTTGACTTCCGGTTATGTTCTTTAATTTAGCATTCAGAATGAAATAATTGATTATATGATGCGCTTTTGCAGATTTCTAGACAAAGCAGCGGTTATCCAAGACCGAGGAAGCGAGAACGGTACGACCGAGAAGGAGAGTCCATGGAGACTATCAACGGTAACAAAAGTAGAAGAAGTGAAGCTACTCCTCAACATGCTTCCAATCTGGTTCTTTTCATTGGCCTTTGGAGTATGCGCCACTCAAAGCCAAACATTGTTCATCAAACAAGCCCTTATCATGGACCGACGCATCGGCCACAGCTTCGTAGTTCCACCAGCTTCCATGTTCGCCATCGTAGCGTTCTCCATGATGATGTTCCTAACAATCTACGAGAAAATCCTCGTGCCTCTTTTGAGACGCGCCACGGGAAACGAAAGAGGTATGAGCATTCTACAAAGAGTCGGGACCGGTATGGTTTTCTCTTTGGTCGCCATGATCATTGCTGCTCTAGTTGAGGGAAAAAGATTGGACTATACAAAGCAAAATCCCAAGAACATGACCATGAATGTTTTTTGGTTAAGCCCTCAATTCGTAATCATAGGAATTGCGGACGCTTTTACCCTGGTGGGTCTTCAAGAGTATTTCTACGACCAAGTCCCTCATTCAATGAAAACCTTAGGCATAGCGTTTTACCTTAGTGTGCTTGGTGCGGCTAGCTTTGCCAACAATCTGTTGATAACGATTGGTGATCGTTTAGCCGAGGCAATCTCCGGGAAGCCCTGGTTCGGTAAAGACCTTAACAGCAGCCGCTTGGACCGTTTTTACTGGATGGTAGCCGGTTTGACCGCTGCAAATGTTTGCTTATTTGTGATTGTAGCCAAGAACTACACTTACAAGATTGTGCAGCCAAGCCTTGTTGTTCCTGACGTTGGTGATGACGTCGAGACAGCCTCCAAGTTTACGTAACTTCGCTGTTGGTTTGGTCATTTCACCATTTTATGTTCCTTTTTGTAACTTTGTTGTTGTTGTACCTTTGAAGAATGTTATTGTACCAATTATTTTGTAGTATTGAAGTGAACTTCCAACTACCTAAACCGAATCAAACTAAGATTTTACTTGAAAATATTTTAATATTTAATAACACTCATGAGTGATCAGGATTAAAAATTGAAATTTTTTCTTGGTTTAATCAAGAAACTATACGTATCCAGCGAGCGATGCTGGGAACACCCTGGTTAACGGCGAACGCCATGTAATAACCTGGCGGTGAAACGGCGCCGTTAAGTGGGGCCGTGCACTGAATCCTGTAACGACCGTCTCCGTCTGGTACTGACGGCGCAACGGTCAACTTCACAAGCCGTTGACCTTGAGAGAAGGAGTGAGTCGCAAAAGGCGCACTTCCCCAGTTGATCTGTATGATGTCCACAACCGGCAACGGGACCGTGACGAACACGTCGAAGACCTCACCGTATCGCACAATCTGCGGGATTTCTCGGATCTCGGGTCGGAGATTGGCCCGATCCGGTGAAAGATACTCCGGCGAAAACGCTTCGATCCGCAGCTCTGTGGGAAATTCCGCTTTGAATTTGTAGAAATAGTGAGGGTTACTTCCGGCGAGAAGGATTCGACCGTCCGGTAACAGATTCGCCGTCGAGTGGTACATTCTCGGTACAGTTCCTGGATTCAGTGTCATGAATCGCAATCCGATTGGCTGATCGGGTCGGTATAAAAGCGGGTAAAGACATGGATTCGATCCCATTTCGAATCCTTGACTTCCGGCTTGAGCTCCGTTTATGATCAGAATTTCTCCCGTCGGTAAATTTACCATATCACCCATGATCCTCCCGAATGGCATCTCCTCCGTCACCCACACCGGATCCGCCGAGGTGGCGACGATTCGGCCGCAGGTCCCATGCGCCGGCGCGTCGACGGCCCGAGCGGTGAAAGCACCGGATTGAGCTCCGCCGCAGATTAGTATCTCCGCTGTAGAGAAATCCCCTTGGATCGCTAGCATCGCCGATGATCCACCCGACGGATAGTTCCTCGGACCGCCGTCTAACGGCGGATACTCTTTCACGACGGCGTTTACCCGGTGATCGTATTTGACGGCGCGACTGTTGGCGAAGACAAAGAGATTTCCGCCGTCGTCGGGGAGGAGATGGACGTAAGGGTAGAGATTATCCATCTGTTTGTCTTCCACGTCAGCAAGAAACTGAAACGGAACCGCGCCATTTTCGCGAGGAGGGTAGTACTCAACCGTATTGGTTCCTCTCCCGCCGACGATGATAACCGAACCATCCGGTAATATCTGGTTAGTAGCGTACCAGCGTCCGGTTATTAACTCGGTATCTCGGAGCTCCACCCAATCGCACGTCTCGTTCGGTTCACACGGTTCGAATTTCCGAATCTTCTTAAACCCGTCTCTATCCCCACCCGTTTGAAGCAATGATCCGTCGGATAAAAACTGACCCGACGAGCACCACGTGTCGGTTTGGATCATCAACGGTCTGATCTGATTTGTACCGAGGTCGAACAAAACCGAGTGAGCGTAGCAATCGCGTTTCAGAATGACGTCGTTTGGGTCTCTCCGGCACCGGTGCTGACCAAGAGCTTTCCTCGACGGTCCAATATTCGTGCGATCAAGAAGAACCACCGTGTTGAACCGGGTCACCGCCGTGTGCATAGAGGCTATACCGGCGTCTTGTACAATGAGTTCCCACGTGCCTGGTAAATCGGCACGTGTGGTCGAGAAGAGAAGAAGTGGTAGAAGTACAAGTACGATCCCTGGAGTGTTAAAAGGAACCAGTTCTGCCATTTTTGTCGGCTAAGCTTTGGAAGCTTTCTGCTTAAAGAGGATTAAGTGGGGAATAAGTGTACACTGTAAATTGATCGCAGCCGTTGATTTTTGATCTTTCCGAAAGTATATCAAGATCCAATTTTATAAGGTCGAGCTTTGTCTCTACACTCTCTACAGAAACAACTCAATAAACCAAATAAGAGCCGTACATTACAAGGATGGGTTCACTAAAATGATTAGTCCCTATTGGTTAATGGGGTTAACGTGTTCTTTTTCCTATCTTTTTTTCTCCATACTTCTCCTTTTTCTAATGATCATATCTTTCGTTATCTTGGTGCTTCTTCTACATGGACAACAAAAACAAATGATACTTCTTCAGTTCTTCTACATGATTTGTTGATAAACTAATTTATTAATCCGTTAATTTAGATTAGTTGATAAGCTTTTGGGTTGTGCTGTCCGCAGCTATTGATTTTTAAAAGTACCATCCATTTACAATTGCTTTCGCTCTTACAATGAAAATGTGTTAAATATACAATGATTGTTATACCAGACTAGAAACTTGTCTTGTTCCATATCAAACCATACTCTTTTAGTGTGTCTACACAGACTCTGTTTTTGTAGTCATTCTTTCTATAAATTTTTTGTAGATAACAGAGTGTGTGTACAAACTAAATGTTTATAGTCATCGTTGTTCAATCAATTTTCTTAACAATTCGAATATTTTATAAATTAATTTGTGTTGTCGACCAAAACAGAAAAAAAAATTGTGTTGTTTTCCTATGAGCAAAACTTAGGAATATACACATGTGTCTGTCATCTGTGTGTGCGTCACCTTTCTTTTTTACCAATAAACCCTTTCTCTCTTCTCACTACAGGTTTAAGGGGTTTCTCTAGGGTTTTTCGAGATTTCTCCAAAATCTCAATCGCGAAATTCAGAATTCTCATTTCGCTTTAATTGATGCGACCTCAGCTTCCTATTCTGCTGACCCACCCACAAAGTGATATCGGAAATGACTATGGAAGCTCGAGTCGGTGTTGTGGTGGAAGGAGGTCAGAGAGCTCTTAATTCGGCCACCGCCTCCGCCGTGCATAACAGCGTCGTAGACGCCGGAAACAGGAAAATCTTACAGCAACAACCGCAGACTCAGACCAAAAGCTGCCACAATCAACACAACCAAAGTAATAAACAGTCGCTGAATCAGAAGCAAGGCGGCTCCATTGCGCATTTAGTCGCCGGCGGAATTTCCGGCGCATTCAGTAAGACGTGCACCGCTCCTCTCGCTCGACTCACCATCTTGTTTCAGGTATTCAATTTGTTTCTTCCTGGATCATCAAGTTTATGTTCCTTTTACAGGTCAATTGTGAAAATTTGAAGCTTTTTGGGATTTAAAAATAACATTTTTCAGATGATTTCATTTCAGAGAACTTTTTAGTGAAAGTAAGCTGAAAACTAAGGGAAATGTTTACCAAAAAAAGTTCGTACTTGTAGCTAAATTTGAAGACTATATTAATTTATTTATACACACAAACGTGAATAATGCGTGAGTTGGTGAGGAATCGCATGACAAAGTTTGTTATTTCCATACTCAGATACAAGGTATGCAGTCGGAAGCTGCAATTTTGAGCAGTCCGAACATTTGGCGTGAAGCTTCTCGTATTGTAAACGAGGAAGGTTTCAGAGCTTTTTGGAAAGGAAACCTCGTTACTGTAGCTCACCGGCTTCCCTATTCTGCAGTAAATTTCTACGCATATGAAGAATTCAATACTGTGAGTTTAATTCAAGTCTCTATTAAGATCTGTGGTCTGTGTAGTAGCTCACTGTTGATCAGTCTTTTTTTTAATTTTTTATTGCAGCTTTTCTACTCAAATCCAGTGGTGCAAAGGTATAAAGGAAATGCAAGTTTGGACATTTTAGTGAACTTTGTAAGTGGTGGCCTTGCTGGAATGACAGCTGCTTCGGCTACTTACCCTCTCGATCTTGTAAGGACACGGCTTTCTGCACAGGTATGCATGTGTGTTTTCTACTTTCTTACCTAAGCAGTGTTTCCTTGTCTTCCGTTGGCCTGAGTTCGTTATGTTTGATCTCTTCCAGACAAGCTCAATGTATTATCAGGGCGTTGGGCATGCTTTCCGTACCATTTGCAGAGAAGAAGGATTTTGGGGCATGTATAAAGGACTTGGTGCTACATTGTTGGTACGCTTTGTTTGCTTCTGAAACGATCTGTGTTTGATTGTTAACTCCTCCTTGGCAGTGTTAGCGTAGATGGGAGTCTCTTTGGTGATCTAAGTGTCTAAAGATGTGTGTTTGTACATCTTTTCGTATTGCAGGGTGTCGGTCCAAGCCTAGCAATCAGCTTCTCAGCGTATGACTCTCTGAAAAAATTATGGCTATCTCATAGGTAAAGGGCCTCTTTGTTTTTGGGATTTGACTTACAATATTGCCTAGTGAGTTTCTTCGTTCAATAAGATTCTAAACTCATCTCCTATCGTAAATGGTTTCTTCTTCAAACATGTTCCAGGCCTAGTGATTCACAAGTTATGGTTAGTCTTGGTTGTGGAAGTCTCTCCGGAATTGCTTCCTCGACAGGTTTGTCAATAATAAGATAATGGGTCATGGCTTTTTTTTTTGGTGTATGAAAGTTTGCTATATTATGCCAAATTATAACTTCTGTAGTGACATTCCCGTTGGACTTGGTGAGAAGAAGAATGCAGTTGGAAGGAGCTGGTGGGCGAGCGAGAGTGTATAAGACAGGACTCTTTGGAACATTCAAATATATATTTAAGACAGAAGGCATGAGAGGGCTATATAGAGGAATCTTACCAGAATACTACAAAGTGGCTCCAGGTGTTGGCATTGCCTTCATGGCATATGACAGATTGAAGAAACTTTTATCGTCTGCCCCCAATTAATAGAGTCTTATAATACTTTAGTGTAAGCTGCTTTATAGAGTTTGGAGAAGAAGAATCACATAATCTTTGCTACTAGTTTTTTCTTTATCGTCAGTGTATAGTAGTTGCAGGTTTAGTGTAGGTGTTGAGATTTACAATTTGTTCCTCCTCCATTAGTATCTCTCGAAATAACAGTTTTGCCTTGGCAGCATTTTAGACAAAGTTAAGAGACAAATCCTCTCAAATTATATATATATATATAGAAACAATTGATGAGCGTCACAAACAAAGAGAATGGTACAAGTCCCTTTGGATTTAACACCCAAAAGAATTAAGAATATGGGTTTTTTTTTTTCTGTTTGGCTGTACAAACAAATGGTTACTTTTACAAACACTAATGAACAAAAACAAACAAGAACATTTAGGATGTTGTTTGTTCCTCCATCCTCTCATGGTTTCTGAGGACCTGAAGTACTTCTTTCATGTGATTGTAGATGTTTTAATCTGCTTACGAGGGCATCGATATATGCTCTGATTCTATACCTGACTGAGTTTGTGAGCGTCAAAGGCGGATTTAGAATCAGCGTTTGCGCCTCTACTACTAGGAAGACTAGCAGACGCACCGCTTTTGAGTAGTGGTTTCCTGCATTTTCTGTATCTCCCATTACCACCTCATCTACCTGCAAAAACTCGAACTCTCAAGTCTCATTTTCAAAAAGTTTTAACAGACAATAACAACTTCAGCTTAGGATTTGATCGTCAAGGCAATAGAAACTTACTCCTCCACGTACGCCGAGAGCAAGAGCTGCTTGGAATATTATCTCCATTGCATCCGGCATCTTTGTATTGCCTACAATCATGTTCTCTGTTAGTCTAGCAATTCTGATAAACCGAAGAAACGAAACAAGAGATTTTGTCTCAGCAGCTTTGTTACTCCAAGAAAATGCATACCAGGTTCAACAAACTTGGAAAGTTCTTCAGCACGCTCAACCTCTTGCACAAACTCTCTCTGAATCTGGGACAATATCTTCTCTGGTCCTTCTTGGCTGTTATTTCTTTTTACTCTGTTAGTGTCTTGGCGCAGGCTTCCTTCTACACCCGAGACCGCCTGAGTATGACAGATGTGCAGTGCTTGATTCCAGATTGCAAGAATCACCAGTTGGATCGAGAAAGCTTCTAACTGTTTACCTAATTCAATCTGTGAAAAGACAAAGGCTTAGAAAGTGACGTTGGCAAGGTTTTGCGCGGAACTTTATACAACTATTTGAAGTAGCTTACCCTTTCACGAACCAATTCTGCAACCGTTGCTGCACACTTTTGCAAAGACCGGATTCTAGTCAAGCTGTTAGTTGATGGTTGTTCAAAAGCATCCACAAGGTCCAGAGACCCATGGGAAGTACCCGGGAGAGAATTATGACTCTCCAAGCTTCCAAACCGACCAATGTTGTTTCCAGTGGCACCAGCTATTGGCATAGGAGCCGTTGAAGTAGTTATGTTTCTTTTAGTGAACTCTACAGGAGGACAATGTGATTTAAATGGGTAATTGAACGGCTTCGGAGAACCAGATGAAGATGATGGTATATCCACTGGTGGTCCAGATATCAGAACATAATCTTGATCCATTGAGTCTGGCAAATCCCCTACTGCAGATCCGATGAAAATTAGAAACCGAGAGATACACCTTTTCCAAAGACAACTCTTTCTAGTGCTAAGCAGATGATAGAAATTTGATTACCTCTTCCTTGAGTACTAAGTGATCTGGAATCAGGCAAGCTTGACGGTCTGAACTGATTTCTATCTGATAATCTATGTCTTTCAAACTTGAAGTTATTGGTTTCTGCTCTATGGCTACTATATCTGGAATTAGGTTCCATGTTTTTCAAAGGACTAGATGCTGCCTCCCTTCTCTCACCTCTGGTTTCAACACTAAATCCATACGATGACTTCATCGGAGAAGTACGTCTAACATACGAAGGGCTTCCTTCAGGTCCACTAGAGTCATCATCTAGAAAGAACGGCAAACTGTCTTCTTGAGAAACCTCTTCCATGTTTCTTGAGGGACTGCTTTCGGATGAATGGAAACCATCCGTCGTTCTTGAACCTAATCTACTCATGCAACATAAGATCATAGTCAGTACAATAATTTTAACCACAAATGATACAAGAAAATAGTTTATATCTGCATCAACCTTTGCAGATCATATGATTGTCTGTCTGAAAGAAAAGGATGATGGAAAAACTCTTCAAACGTCAAACGCTCCACTGTGAAACGGAAGATTTACAAAAAAAAATAAAGTGTTAACACACAAACAGATAAGGACCATCAAAACTCTCGAGTGTAACTTACACACAAGGAGATGAAGATAAATTCAAATTTTAGTTGTAACTTTAACAAAACAAAAGCGGTGGACTGTTAGAAATAGTCTGAATTGTCTATTTTATCTACTTTTTTCTTTAGAATTTGATTGGTCTGCTAATAAAATCAGGGGGTTTACTTGCACAGATGTTCACCTGGATTACGGCGCAACAACTTCTGACATAGATCTTTACAGTCAGTACTCAACTCTCTACAGTCTGCTGGAAATTGCAATTCGGTTGATTTCATAATGTTCTGGAACAACTGTGGACATTAGATGGAACACGTTAGCTAATGTTGAATTCACCCAAAGCAAACATTTAGGAATTTACAACCCTTGGTACACAAAACCTGAACTTGGCTGTTTCCGGTAAAAGGGGGTCTGCCTGTTACAAGTTGAAATAATATCGCACCAACACTCCAGAGATCTGCCTGTATATCAAGGAAAGTTTATGCAGGATATGGTAAAAGGCAGGTCATAGTTGGCTGATAGAGAACAAAGTCGCACCTTTGCATCATACTTTTGAAGCTGCATAATCTCTGGGGCCATATACAGTGGGGAACCACATAAAGTTTCTGCCAATCCCCTAGGCTGCAACGATCTGAGCTAAGAATGTGTGATGTGTAAGTGCAAATTTCAAACTCGAAGGGGGTGTAATAAGCTTACTACCCCAGTCAAAAGAAATGTAATTACGTAAAACTAGATAGTAGATACTATATATACATGAAAACCAAATAGAACCATATAAGACCAACTCTGATCATCACATTACACTCAATTGTTGTAACAAAGTAGCTGATGAGAATACCTTGCAAATCCAAAATCAGCAATCTTCAGAGCTGCATCATTATCATCTGTGGATAGAAGAAGATTCTGTTTCAAGAACGAAAGAGCCTTAGAAACTGAATTTCAGTTCACACAGAATCTCTATCTCTCCTAGGGAAATAAACTCTCGGAAAGCATATCCTATGAGAAAGACTAAAACGTGTTTCAGTGGAACCTAACAGATCACGCTTCTAAGGCATCCTTTCACGCTGTCATGATCTAATTGACAAGAGAAGATTATTCCAGGGCACGAGAATCAGACATACCTGAGGCTTTAAATCTCGGTGAATGATGTTATTGTCACGAAGAACTTGTAAACCAGCCGCTATCACACAGAAAATCGTAGAAGAGTGAGAATGCAATTCTACCGCAGAGAATAAGGAAGAAGTCTTTTTGCAGAATTTACCTAACTGCTTCATGAAATGCTTAGCAGTAGCATCAGGTATTCTTCCATGTTTCTGAATAAACATAGACAGATCACCCCCTTTGCAATACTCCAACACCAAATTTATTTTCCCTGGAGCCTATAATCAAATTCCAAAAACAGAAAACCGTCCTCTCACAATCAGACACATAAGTACTATAAGATTTACCATTTCCAGCATCATCTATGGAGTTCAAAAGAAAGTTAAGCATCTGAATTCAACAAGGGCCATAAACGTGATCTATATTTTTCGCTGTAGTTTCCAACAAAGCTAACACATTTTGGAATCCCACCAAATGGAAGAAAATTAAGAAAACAAAACAACCTTAAATATTTGGATTCTTCAACCAGCAATGGCAGTTTATACGAGCTACATCATTCCATATCCTGACTTGTTCTGATTCTATTTGACTACAAGCAACCAATGAGAACACGAGAGACTCAGAAACAGAGTGCTAAACCCCAGAATCCAACCTTAAGCGAAGCTAATTAAGCTAACTTCATCGCATTCGGATTTTTCTAGCTAGAAACTAAGAGCAGGAGAAAACGAAAAACCCATCAACAAGAGAAAATTTAGAGACCTCGATCATGTCGATGAAGCGGATAATGTTTGGATGATTGATCTTCTTCAAGATGAAAATCTCTGACATGAGACTATCTTGCAACTTCTTGTTAAGCCGAGCCATGGCGATCTCCTTGATGGCAACCACGGTTCCATGGACAAGATGCCTCCCTTCCCAAACCACCGAAAACGAACCCGACCCGATTTGCCGACCCACCGCGTAATTGCCGATAACCCGCCCGCTCCTCCCCGCCGCCGCCGCCGACTGCGCCATTTTCCTCCGAGGAAACGGAAAATCTAGAGGATCCGACGGGGGAAGAAGAGCAATTATCGGAGATCCGAAATTGAGCTGATTGAAGTTACAGAAATTGAATCTTCTTTGGGAATTCAAAACCCGCTCTGAGTTGAAAAAAAGGATTCAATTGGGCGTATTCAGATAAATGATGATGATGAGAGCAAAGAGAGAAGTTTTAATTTGAATTGATTGAAAGTTTTATCTTATTATATACAAATGGAATCAACTTGTAATCATGAATCTGATTATACTACAATAAAGATCCCAGATTATTTGTACTTATCTAAAATTACGGCTTAACAGAAAATTATGACATGAGGATTAGTAATATGAAACCCAGATACATTTTTTTTTTTAATTAACTCACTCATCACCACCTCAATCATGTTTGCTATGTGCGTTACTACAGATTATGGACCGTTTTTTTTTCAACAACCCAAATTCTATGGTATATGATTTTTTTCAATATATTTGGCAAAGTGTTAAGACTTAAGACATCAACAACACCTATTATATTTATATTTGTTACAAATTATGGGTAACTTTCGTTGCGAAATGATTCAAGACATCATGGATAATGCTGCTTGTAAAACTAATGCATTCATCATCAATCATCATCTTCTAGACTGATGTTTATTGGTCATCGTAATTTGTAAATAATTAACGCTGTCCGTTACAAATCTAATTGATATTTTCCAAAATAAACTTCTGAGTTCTGTCAACAAAGTTGTTTCTTTGGATTAAAGTGTCGATTTTTTAACTCTCAAAAAAAAAAGTGTAGACAGAAGGATGAAAGTGTAAACGAATTATAATGAAGTGTGAAGATGGGATTACGTGTATATTGAAAAATGAATATGGGTTATATACTTATATATACATAATTAAATAAGAAATAGCGTAGGTAGTACACAAGAATTTATTGGCTAAAAGCTAAGCCGCTATAACGTGCTGTTCTAAAAAGCCTACTAGCTTTTCTGCTTGATTGTGACTTCCAGCCGTTGATTTCTTTCCAAAATCCTTACGTTTTAGTTTGAAACTGGGAAATACACAAGAATCGCCTAAAGGTATTAGGTTCGAATCCAGGCCATAACATTTTGGTTAACCTTACACGTGAATGTGACCTATTAAGTATTTTGGTCCTTTGTTCCCAGTTTGTACCTGTTACATGACCATGATACGGCTCAGCTAGTATACTACTGATATTGTATGCACCGCAAAATTCAGACTACTTTGATTAGTTTTGCTTAACCACTTCAGTTATGAGCTTGTCTTGGGCTACATCTAGTTTCTGCATGGCCTTGCTCTTCTTATTTCGGCCCAATAGAGTTACATACGCATCCCAGTTACATAATATAAAGTATTAGATTATGAACAAACTCAACTAACGAAATGATTCGATCTGGCCAAAAGGAAAGAAAGGCAAAAGGTCATTAAACACACACAAAATCCCCACATGCCCACAGATCACTGAAACAACACATCCCATCAAAACTTAAACATATATAAAGAATAACAGGTCATTTATACTCTCAAATTCTCAACCATGTTGGTCTTTTTTATTCCTCTCTTCCCTCTCTATATATATAAAGTCCCTTTCACATCTCTCTCTCTCTCTCTATGCATATCTACGATGTTCCATTCTTTCAATTTTTGCAGGAACTAAAATGAAATTTGCAAGGTTTTTGGGTTAAGTGATGTGTTGAAGACAAAGGAGAGAGGAAGTATATATACAGCATATATAAGATGGAGAAATACTTGAAGTTGGCGCAATCATTTGCATTTGTTTGGGGATTCATCTTGCTGGTGGGTCTCGCGTGTTGCTGCATCAGCACCAAACCTAATAGAGGAAACGATAATGATGCCAGCTGTGCCGGTTGCGACGGAGGACATACTGCCTTTTAGCCGTCCTCTGTTTCTTTCATTCACTTTTGTTATCCAATCCTCTGGTTCTAGGGTGTTTTTTTGGTAGATTTGTTGTATGCACATTCGTCGATCCTTGAACTTTTTTCATAATTCTCTAGTTACACGTAACATTTTCTGTAAGTTTTCTTTAAAATATAGACCATGATTTTTTACGTGTTTGCGTCTGTATATTATATGTATATTAGAATGATTATTATTATTATTTTTTTTGTTAAAAGGTTTATGATTATTAATTTTATAATGGACCAAAACTAAACGCAAAGTTAAACACAAAGAAACAAGCCATAGTGTTTGACCCTGCATTTCCGGTATATGAACTTCACGTAATAGTTTACCCTTAAGGTTATTTGATAGCCGATTAACTTGGTGTTGATTCTGGATTCTGGTTTGGAGTCTAGTTCAAGTGAAAACGTTTTATACTTTTTACGCATTCTGTTTTCGTCGTAATATGTAAATAAATTGATATTATTATCTTTTTTTGTCCTAGTGGGTATAGTAGTTGTATATACAAGTCAATCAGGTTGATTGTTGTTACCATACAAGAAAGATGTGTTGCATTTGCTTAAAGTATAGAGTCAAATTAAACTTTAGAGAGTAAACTAATCGTAATAATTTTTTTGTCCTCAAAAATTATATATACTGTCTGATTTATTGTCAGTACAAGTTCCAAACTGTTTAGTGATTTTCCAAACATTAATAACAGTACTGAAAATGTAGTTTTTTTCTAAAAAAAAAACAGGTAAAAATAATTTAGAGACCTGCAGTAAAAGTAAACCAGTAACTAAAGTACTGTGAGAAAACTCAGAAAAGTTAAAAATTGGCGCATAAAAAAATGGTTAATTTGCCAAATGGCCATATTGCGCCACGATATGAAGAAAATGGCCATGCTATATGAAAAATAAAAGAACTAACCATCAGATAAATTTAATGACGAATTTACCCTCGTACGAAAACAAAACTGGTTCCATTCCCTTCAAATTTCGTTCAGTCGTTCCATTCTATGTGGAGTGGATTCAATCACTTTAACAATAAATTTGAAACTAATACCAACCTTAAACTAATAAATATTAAATATAGAACAAGATACTAATCTCTAAATCTCAAATTTCTAAACCCAAACCATAAATTTTCAAAACTAAACCCTAAATCCCAAATTCTAAACCCAAACCATAAATTTTCAAAACTAAACCCTAAATTCCAAATTCTAAACCCAAACCCAAATATTTAGCTTCAAAACTAAACTCTAAAATTTAAATACTAAACCCTAAATCCTAAATTCTAAACCCAAACATTTACCTTCAAAACTAAACCCTAAACTCTAAATACTAAATCTAAACCCTAAATTCTAAACCTAAACTTAATGTGTACCTTTAAAACTAAAGCTACACTCTAAATATTAAATCCTAAACTCTAAATAAATATTTATTGTTTTGAACAATAGTGATTATGCTTTGTTAACGTGGTAAAAAGATGTTTTTGTTTCCAATTACTTTCGAAAACATATTATGTTCTACTAGAGGGTTTTTTGGGTATTTTTACACATTACACACAATATATTGTAGCCATACGAAGCATATGGCCATTCCCTTAATTATTAAATTTTTGATGGCTATTTATGCCAATTTCCCATAAAAAAACCCAGTGAGAAAAGTTGCCTAAATTCACACAAACAAAAAAAGTTGGGGAATTATGCAAAAATTACAAAGGAGAGAGAAGTCGTAGACCATACAATAGACAGAAACTATTATCTCCATCCTCGCTACGCTTCCATCTCTCTTCACGTCAATGGCGTCCTTCAATTCTTTCCCCATCCCCAAACAGGTCTGTGCTTACTTCTTCTCTCTCTCTCTATCTCTCTCTTTATATACACACACACGCGCGTCCACTCTTAAGCTGATTCTGTGATTTGTCATTGTTCCTTTGGATTCCTGATTTATAGATTGTGGGTTCTTCGTCTTCTTCTTCTTCGTCTTCCTCTCCTTCTTCTCGGCCACGTGTATTGGTCCGATCGAGTATGGCGTCGTCGATGAGCTCGACCAATAGTATGATGGTACGAATTACTATAGCCCGATGATGATTTTATCTTCTTCTCTTCATTTGTTACTGAAATTTGAATTGGATATTCGTTTCGTTCAGGTTTTTGTACCTCCGCATACTTTGATCAAGCATTGGATCTCCCTATTGAGATGTGAGCAAACTTCTATCCCCATTCTCGGTGAGTACTCCGAATTAGCCAAAATCAATGGAGACTATTGATCCATTTTGCATCTCCGTCTTTGTTTCCTGTGAGAATTATTCACCCAGATAACTTTTAAGTAGTTGAAGTGTATGTTCACTACTTGCTTAATCTCGGTTTTACGAGTTTCATATTTGTGCTGCCTCTAATTGACCAAAATGATGAATTTCAGTCACTTTGCATAGATCAATGTTCTTCCTAAATAGGACTTTCTCAGTTACTTACTTACTTACTTGATGTTTCCAGTGAGAATTCCGATGAATGCAACGAGGTGGTCCTTCTTATCCTCAATCAAAGAGGAAACCAGATTTTACCAGAAATATCCTCTGAAAGTATGTGGCTGTGCATCTGCTACTTCTTACACTGCAGAAAATGTCTATGTAGAGCTCAAAAATCCAAAGGTGTTGCTATGAGAGTTCACTGCAGATTTAAAAAGTTCACACCTTTTTTTCCAGTTTTGTTGTTTGGTTTTGAGAAATTCTTTGCCAATGTATCCATTTTCCAGGAAAATGTAGGAGTGGGTTTTGTTGGAGAACCAATGTCCTCTGCAGAGAAAGCTCATTTATCTCGTAGCATGTTGCAATACAATTTACTGGGGAAGAACCTTTTGGCACTAGAGGAAACTTTTGTGGCCTTGGACTCTTTAGGAATGGAAAGAGACATTATGTTGCAAATGGGGAAACTAGGAGCTGCCGAGTTATTCAAGACCTGTCTATCTAGGTCCCGTGGCTCTTCTTCATCCGCGTCATGCTTATCTGATACAGAAACAAAGTTGGTGGATACTTCGCCAAAAGAGCACTCCTTTGTGTCTTCGAGAAGGAAACTGAAAAAGAAAGCAAGAAGGTCCAGTTTGATGACTGGAAATGGTGATGATGGGGATTCTTTGACAATTGGTTCAAAATCCACATGGAGCGATATTGATGTCTCTAGAGTGAGAAAGTCATCAAAATACAGAAAGAAAAGAGAGAGGATATCAAGAAACGAGGCTGAGATGTCAACCGGAGTCAAGGTTCAGTGTGAAATCTTCCATTTTTTCCTTTTCCTATTACAATTTTTAGCTAACAAGAAGTTCTTATGACACTATCATGTCGACTTTTGAAGATAGTGGCGGACATGGAGAGAATCAGAACGCAGTTGGAAGAGGAAAGTGGTAAAGTAGCGAGTATGAGCTCTTGGGCTGAAGCTGCAGGGATGAACGAGAAACTTCTAATGCGCAATCTACACTACGGTTGGTACTGTAGAGACGAACTGTTGAAAAGCACTCGCTCTCTGGTTCTCTTCCTCGCAAGAAACTACCGTGGACTCGGCATCGCCTACGAAGATCTTATTCAGGTTCCTATTCTCTCCTTAGATCCGTATTACTATAAGCTTCTTGCTTTGGTTTCATGATATAGCTTTGGTACACAAATGATAAAACTTTTCAAGTGGGAAGTTTTTAGAAATGTGATTGTAATGTTGTTGCTTGTGGGATTTGATAGGCAGGGTATGTTGGAGTGCTACAAGGAGCAGAGAGGTTTGATCACACAAGGGGTTACAAGTTTTCGACATATGTGCAATATTGGATAAGGAAGTCCATGTCCATGATGGTCTCACGCCATGCAAGAGGCGTCCACATTCCTGTATGTGCATTTTCATTTTTGCTTTCAATCGTTTCTTTGTTTGTTTAGTTTTCTCTTGTTTGTTTAATCTGTCTCTGTTTCTGTTGGCAGACGTCAATTATCCGAACTATGAGTCAGATACAAAAGGCTCGTAAGACCTTGAAAACGAGCCATGGGATAAAATATGCGGCCGATGAGGAGATTTCGAAACTAACAGGCTTCTCGTTGAAGAAGATTCGAGCAGCTAACCAATGTTTAAAAGTGGTTGGTTCAATCGACCAGAAAGTCGGTGATTGCTTTACTACAAAATTCTTGGTATGTCATTGTCATTCTGAACCAAAAAAAGCCAAAAGGTTTGGTTTCGGTTTTGAGACTGAATGTTTGTTTGCAGGAATTTACAGCGGACACGACGGTGGAGAGTCCGGAGGAGGCTGTGATGAAGCAGAGCGCGAGGAGAGAGGTACATGATCTTCTACAAGGGCTAGAGCCAAGAGAGAAGCAAGTGATGGTTCTACGTTATGGACTTGAAGACTACAGTCCCAAGTCTCTGGAAGAGATTGGGAAGCTTCTTAGTGTTAGCAAAGAATGGATCCGGAAGATCGAACGGAGAGCGATGACTAAACTCAGGGACCAACCTAACGCAGAGGATCTCAGATTTTACTTGAATCCGTGAACAGATAGATTTTTGTAACGCTTTTTTTTATGTCTGTCTTGTTGTGAATTTGTATTTGTAATAACATTGGAGATCTCTTGAGTGTAAAGTTATGTATATTTTACAATACCATGAACAGATAAAAATAAAGCCCAATGGGTTTCCGAAAGAAGATATTATAGCCCAAGTTTATATTTGTAGACACAAAATCGTTCGGTACAGTTGCAACGGCCGGTTTATCTTTTTTCGCTCTCTATCGTCTTTGTAAAACTCTTAAACCAGACTTGGAAAACATCGGCGAGAAATGGCGTGCTGCTCAAATGGTAGTAACGCCTTCCGGTGTTACTCCGAAACGCTGCGTTTTGATCCCCGACGACAATGCGGACGCTTAAACCCTAGTCCTTCCTCTCTCCTCTCCTTTAATTCCTCCCCAATTCTCGCGCAGGTAACGCTCGAGCCACACTTTTCTCAAGTGAGCCATTTTTGGGTTATTCAAAACTGTTACTGATTTTCGAATTGTCTATAGATTCTGGGTGCTTCTCCTCCACCTGTTTCCCGGCGGAATTCTCTAGTAAGAGCAAAAATGGCGGCGTCGGAAAGCTCGGTTATCGGAAGCAATAGAATGCTGGTAAATTAATTCCGATTAATCAGAATTTTTTGAGTTTTTTTTTTTTCTGTTTGATTTGCATGTGAAAGAGATGAATTGATTCTGGTTTCAGGTGTTCGTGCCACCACATCCTTTGATCAAACACTGGATCTCCGTCCTGAGAAATGAGGAAACTCCTTCTCCCATTTTCAGTGAGTGGATAAGATTTTTGATGAGCATTTTGTGCAGATTAACCACTCTTAGTAGTATCTAAAGACCAAATTTTACATCATTTTGGAATCGTTGGATCCCAATTTCTACATTTCGTGAACATTCTTCAAGCTTTTAGGTTGTGTTATCTGCTAGCTAAATTTCGTTTTAAAATGAGTACTCAGTGACATGTTTTTATTTTGCTACTAGAAAGTTTTTCTAAAGCATTTCCTTTTCAATGCTCTTAGGGAATGCAATAGCTGAATTAGGGAGACTATTGATATATGAAGCTTCACGAGAGTGGCTGGTGCGTAACGTTTTTAGACAAAGTTTCACATTTTTGCCTTCATTCGTTCTCTCCGATTTTTGCTTATTGTTTCTTGATTTTTTTTGTTTTCTCGTATGTGGTACAAAGCCAACCATTGTAGGAGAAATAATGTCTCCAATGGGTGTTGCTTCTGTTGAATTCATCGATCCTAGAGAGCCTATAGCGGTTTGTCTATCCACCAAAACTCTTCTCTTACCCACTTTTCTTACTCTCAATATTCTTTATCTTGGTTTTTTTGTCTGTGTATGTAGGTAGTTCCGATAATAAGAGCTGGTCTTGCTCTTGCGGAACACGCATCCTCAGTTTTGCCTGCGAATAAAGTCTACCATTTAGGTAAGTATCCTAACTTTTATCAACTCTTCCCTGAAGAGAGGATGTCAAAAAAAGACTTATGATGTCCCAATTCTTATCCTTTTTACCAGGAATAAGTAGGGATGAGGAAACACTTTTGCCTTCGGTGTATCTTAACAAGTAAGAACTTCTCTGCAGTATTATTATTTAGTCACTCAAGTGTTTTACAATAACAAATTTTTGATGCATCTTTCTTTCTTTAGGTTGCCTGATGAATTTTCCGATAACTCAAGAGTCTTTTTGGTCGACCCAGTGCTTGCCACAGGTAAATGTAGAGAGTTTTCAATCATTTTAGCCACCACCATAGTTGAAGAATTGTGATTAGTCTTTTGATGTCTCTCAAATGTGAACGCATGAGATGGCAATATCAAATCATTCTAGTAGCAATTTGGTTTATTTACGCTTCAAAACATGGGTTTGTTTTTGTGTTATAGGCGGAACCATAGTAGCAGCGATGGATCTATTGAAGGAACGTGGTTTGTCTGTTGAGCAAATCAAAGTGGTAAGCACATATATAGCTGTTTCTCTGAAACGTTGGCTACAGAAGAATATCCTTTAGCTATATGTATTGCTTGATCTGCGTCTCTCTCTGTGGTAACAGATTTGTGCGATTGCTGCACCTCCTGCACTATCGAAGCTTAACGAGAAATACCCAGGGTATCGATTCCGAAACTCTTTAGTCTTAACTTGTTTTGACATTTGGCGGGATTTTACTAAAAACTGTTGGCAACATTTCAGGCTTCATGTATATACTGGAATCATCGATCCTGAAGTCAATGATAAGGGGTAAGTCAGGACGGCTTGTGTGCACATTACATGAAAGTTATTGGATTTTTGATTTTTTTTTATTTCTCGAAGAGAAAGTAGCAAATAGAGTGGATTCTAATGTCGTTAATCATGGGTTTAGGTGGATAATCCCTGGACTTGGAGACGCTGGAGACCGCAGTTTCGGGACATGAACCAGTTTGTGTATTTGGTTTAATTCTTGTGTGAGTTGTTTAAAAAATATACACTCACAATTGTTAGATTTTTTTTTTTTTTTTGTGTTTTCGTGTTTCTTACCTTAGTTTTTGATGTGTCTCGATCTCAGGTTTATTGAGAGATGTTTATGGGACAAGAGATTCTCATGGAGAACATTGTTGTTACTTATCAATTTAAATCTTTGAAGAGAGTAGTGTATATTGAAACGAAAAATCTCCCTTAATAAAATGTTTCCTCTTTTGGATTGTTGGGTACTTGGGTCGGACTTTTATTTCTCTGGTCATAGGATCACGTTTTTTGTTTGGTAATAGGAAATAACACAATATAAATAATAAAAATAATGAAAAAACACTTAAAATTTCGTTAAGCATATGACCCACTCACTCAGTGGAGAGTCTCCGTCTCCGGATGAAGAGCACGGCTTATCCGCTGAGGCGGTGAAGGTGGATTTATGGAGGGACTGAAGTGCTTTCTTCTTGACGCCTTTGTTCGGCGGCAGGCGGAGATGCACCAACGGCCGTACGGCGGGAGCAATAATCACAGACACCTATTAGAACACCTAATATTACCAAAAAGACAATCAGACCGATGAATTGCCCTGGGGATTGACTTCCTTGACGACGATGGTGGCGCTGCCGTTTCGTGGAATATAGAGCATCGAGTCATATCTATTTTGGTGTTTGTATTTGTGATTGTAAGCAAAAAAACACAAAAGTTGTTCTCAGAATATCAAAAGAAAGAGAAATCGAATCAATATTCAGAAAACCTAGTTTATTGCTCTGAATGATCGAATGATGTTTGCTCTCCAACGATACATACTTATATAGCTAAAAGACTTCACATTTATTCTAGAAAATGTAAATTTTTCTTTTCTGTAAACTGAAGAAAAGATAACTAAATTAAAAGTTAATTATCTACTTTATTGTGCAGCTTTCCTTTTAACTAATTTGATCAGTGTTTTTATGATTAACCTCTCGTCTTCTTCTTCTTTAAAAACTTTAACTTTACTCGTATTGCTCTCATTTATATGTTTACATCATCGTCGCCTGCTAGTGAAATAACATTATCTGAAAAAAATTGTGAGGGAATCTCCAAGATATTGCTCGGTCGATAACTATCTTATTTCTTGCATTCATATGATTCACAACAAGATTACTGAAAATGAAAAAACTAACTTCGTAATTGGATCCATGGGATGGAGGAGACTCTATTATCCGATCCCTGGTTTCGATATGAAGAAAATGATATTTGAACTAGAACCCAAATATTCTGCTTTGGTACGAAGTATATCAACTTTGCGTTCTTAGTTCAGTTTTTAGCTTGAAGCCTTAAAGTACCTACAAAGCCCTACTAACGGACACTTTTTTGTATAATAAATTTAATCTATTCAATTCGGTTAAAGCTGTCACGGTTTTCGCTCGCTAATTTACTTGATAACGGTTGTAAATACTGTACCTAACATAACTGTCGGTTTAGATCTGGTTAAAAAGCGTTAGCGGCTCGGTTCGTTTGATTTTATATACCCGCTCCAATTGGTTCGGTTCAAAGAACACGAAGGGGTGTAGTAGTCTTTAACCCACCCCTGTGATATAAGCAAACCCTAAGAGCTGTCGACTATAAATAACAAAATTCGTTTTTCATCTTTTTTTTTATTCCATCGCCGCCGAATCTGCTCTCACATAGTTCTTCCTCCTCTCAGGTGAGAATTTCTGCTTACGCTCTTAATCTCCTATTTCCTTCCAGTGATCTCGATGATGATTATACGTTTATCATTCTCTGTTATGCCTTTAAACGCGTCAGAATCATTGGGAATATAGATTTCGTGTAGAATTCGCTTCTCGATGTTTCGTTGAATCTCATCAAATTTTCTTGTTAGTTTGAGATTGTACCTTACTCAGACGGATTTTTAATTATGTTTTACCGGTTTTCTTATGGATCAGATCGTATTTTATCAAGCTTAATCATGCAGAACGAAGAAGGAAAGATTACTGAGCTATACATTCCGAGAAAATGGTATGTCAAACTTTTTTGTTTGTTTTCTTCAAATGATTTTGTCTGTTTTGTTTAAGCTTAAGCTGAATCTTTTGTTTTGTCGCGTTTGCAGCTCGGCCACAAACAGATTGATCACATCCAAGGATCATGCCTCTGTTCAGCTTAACATTGGTCATCTTGATGCCGATGGCATCTACACTGGCCAATCCACCACCTTTGCTCTCTGCGGATTCGTCCGAGCTCAGGTTTGTGATAACTTTCCCTTAATTTACTTCCATTTCTTGAATGTGTCTTGCACAGTTGTTATAGCAAATTGTATGATTGTATCAGTCGATTGACGTATTCGAATGAACCAAAATTGTAGGGTGACGCAGACAGTGGCATCGACAGGCTCTGGCAGAAGAAGAAGGTCGAAACCAAACAACATTAAGAGAGCGAGAGGGAGACGAAGCTGCTTCTTGCTTGTTTTTATGTTTCCATGAATTTTCTCTAGACGCAAACTCGTATTTTGGTTTATGAAAGATAATTTATTAAGTTTCTATGCCAATCGAATGAGATTCCCCATTTCTATTTAATCTCTAGTTTTTCACCTTTTCTATGCAAATTAAGTGCTATGTTTTATACCAACAATTTGCAAAATAAACTTAAGAAATGGGAAACTGTAACCTAATAAATCTGCTAACTTTCTCTTTTATTTGAAATTGAACTGTTTTACACATTATTGCCATCCCCTAATCTAAAGAAAAAAAGGTGGAAGATAGTTTCCTCAGCATTCATACGAAAATGGTTAAGCTTCGAAACTCAACAAAATAAGTCTTTAGAATCATATCTCACCATCCCAAAGCTCTTCAAGAGTCTTATAAGGACTCAACGTCTCATGAACAAATGATGTACCTTGGACTAACCTAGCCTGCACCGTCAAAACAACACCAAGAACTATTAGTTTAGTAGTTCTCTTAGAATCATAAATAAATATGCAGAGAATGTGGATGCTGTGGTTTTTACTTGCCTGTTCTATCTCAGAAAACTTTCCAAACATTTCCTCTGGGATTGACCATTCTAATACCTCGAAATTCTCTCTGATCCTCACTTCATTTGTGCTTTTGGGAAGCACACTATGACCCATCTGAAGACCCCAACGAAGAGCGGTTTGTGCTGGAGACTTCCCGAGTTCCTTAGCAACCTTATTCAGAACCGGACTCTTTAGTACATCGGCCTTCACCCATGTCGTTCCTGGAGAGCCCAACGGCGAATATCCCTACAACAATCAAATACATTCACAAGTGTATAAAAATGAGTCTTATTATGATTCTGCCAATGTTTGGTGTTTGAAGAAACTTACTGATAAGTGGATTCCTTTGGACTTGCAGAACTCATGCAGCTTATGTTGTTGCCATGAAGGATGACACTCAACCTGGTTCACAGCTGGAGGAACGCGAGCAACCTCCACGAGATCCGAGAGTTTCTTCGTAGAGAAGTTGCTTACGCCAATGGCTCGTGCCTTGCCTGAATCATACAGTGCTTCCATTGCTTTCCATGTGCTTGGAATATCGATAGGCATTATGTTCTCTGGCTTGAAGTCAACAGTGCCTTTCTTCAACCGAACTGGCCAGTGCATCTTCACAAAAACATCAAAATCAAACCCAATGCAAAGTATCATGAGAAAGCACATTTAGAGTTCCAAATCCAGAGATGCCACGTTAGCATTTGTTGAAAGGAGTGGTTGCTTACGAGATAGAGATCGACGTAATCAAGCTGCAGATCCTTGAGGGTTTTGTTCAATGCCTCCTCCACATCCGGAGGGTCAAGATCAGTCAACCTGTCAATAGCATTGATGTGTGGGGTTAGAGGCTAAGTAGACGCAAGGGAGAATGAAACGTTATGAACAAAGTACCAGAGTTTTGATGTGATGAATAGCTTCTCACGCTTCACTACGCCATCTTCAAACAACTTCTTCAGAACAGTCCCAATCTAAATTTCCAACGGAGATGCATGGTTTTAGAGGCATACTTTGGAAGATACAATAAATTTCAGATCGGTGAGCCGTAGAATCGATTTACCTCAGCTTCATTGCCGTATCTCGAAGCACAATCAATATGCTGATAGCCAATCTGCACAACGAAATGATGTTTCAGTTCCTCTACTAATGAAACGAAAATCTTCAATTTAATCCCTAAATTTCGAGATCAACGAACACTGAAATCAATTCCCAATATCTAAACCCCAGACCTCTAGCGATCAGTCAAAATGAGAAGCTATGAGACGGAAATCAGAGACGAACCTTCACAGCGGCGGCGACGGCGTCTCCGACGACGCCAGGATCAGCCTGCCATGTCCCGAGACCTACAGACGGGATCTTCGCTCCGGTGTTGAGTTCGAAGAATCCGATTTCGTTCGCCATTGTAAGATTTTTCGGAGTGCGATTATAGATCTCTCTCAGTATCTTCAGAGCTTAAAAACATCCACAAAAAATAATTACAGCGGGAAAATCGTGGGATTTTATTCCTTCAACGGCCAGATTTAAAACACGTGGATGAGTACTAATTCAGAAACTTTCCATAACGAAAAATATATTTGTCCGCCACGTAGGACGGCGCTTGCTCTCAGTCCACTCGCTCACGAGCTAAAAGCAAGCAAAAAAGTGGAAATGTCAAAGGAGAAAGAAGACGAAGCTTACAATCGAATCTAAAGCAAATTTGGGAAAAATTCTACTACTAGGTTTCAGTCATCTTCTAGGTTTCTTATCTATGGAGTTCCTCTGCATTTGCTTTTCCCCGCCAAGATTTCTCCTAAAGCAAATGTAGCTTTCTATTGCGAAAACTAGGGTTTATTTGGTGGCTCCTTGATTTGGTATCTTTAATTTATCGAAATTTCTGGGCTGGGAAGAGAGAAAATCGATTCACTGTACACTGAGATGAAGAAGATTTACGGAGGTCCAGGAACTGTGTGTGGTCTGTTACTGAGAATCGGGCAATGTGCTTCAGCTGCCGCATCCATCGGCGTTATGGTTTCTGCGACGCTGTTTTATAATCGCACTGCTTTTTGGTATGAATCTCGCTTCTTTTTCAAGTGTTGATTTGTTTCCTTCTATAACCTCATTTTGTTCGTTTGGATGTTGGATTTCATTTGGGTAATAGGTTAGAGAATTCGGAGGATTTAGGAGTTTTTGCAATAATTGTTGTTGAGTAGAAAAAAAAATTGACCTGTTTAAGGAAATGCTGTTTTGATTTTGATTGGTTTCAGCTACTTGATAGCTTCCATGGCTCTTCAATTGCTGTGGAGCTTTGGGCTTGCATGTCTTGATGTTTATGCTCTGAGGGGGAAGAAAGATCTCCAAAACCCGGTTTTGGTTAGCTTATTCGTCGTTGGTGATTGGGTATGTTCGCAACCACATTGAATTGTTTCTCTTTATAGTCTAGTGTTCTTGCAAAGTTTCAGTTTGATCTGTAATGGTAGAGCTGCTTCTTGCTCCATTACTTTGGACTCAAATCTTTTTAAACGTTTTTTTGGCAGGTGACTGCAATGCTATCTCTTGCAGCTGCATGTTCGTCAGCAGGAGTTGTAGTCTTATATGCCAGAGATCTCAAGTATTGCGATGTTAGTGGCCAATTTTCATGTCTTAGGTATGAAATAGCCGTAGCGCTTTCTTTCGTCACTTGGATTCAAGTCGCTGTTTCTTCTCACGTCACGTTTTGGATCTTAGCCTCGGTTTAGTTTCAAGATTGGGTCCCCACTTTTTTTTCTTGAGAACATCTTGTAGCTTCCTTTGATGACAACATTTTGCTTCAGATCCAATCCATCGACGTTTCTTGAAATTAAGCACTAAAACACACAGAATTGCTACCTTGGTCTCGGTTAATGATCCTTTCTTGATCATCTAATGCAACTGATAATAACATCGATGTAAACTGTTTTACAAATTGTGTGAAAACTGGATCACTAACGAAACGTCGTTATACAAATGCTTAAAATTGGAATAAATTGGAATAAATTTTGTCATGGTTCATGATCAGAAGCAATTCCATGCAAAATACTTTCGATCTCATTAGCTGCAGATTTCATCGTTGGTCGACTTTGTCTCGTATCCTTCACGCATCGCTCCGCCAAAAACCCAAGCGCCATCATAGACTCCATTTCCATCTCCGTCGCTTCTTTTCCGATCACCGGATCTATCACATCCCTCAACCTCCCCTCCTTCAACGTCTTCCTCACGAACACCACCAGATTCACGTCTTCTTCGTCTCGGTTGAAATCGATCGGCTTCTTACAAGTCAATAGCTCGAACAACACCACGCCGAAGCTGTACACGTCGCTCTTATCCGTCAACTGGAAGTTGAGGTAGTAGTCTGGATCCAGATACCCCAGCGTTCCTTGCGCGCAGGTCGTCACGTGGCTCACATCGCTCACGCCCAATCTGGATAATCCGAAATCGGCGACCTTAACGTCGAGGTTCTCGTCGAGGAGAATATTGCTCGATTTGACGTCTCTGTGGTAAATCGGCGGCGTATTGGACGAATGGAGGTAATCAAGTCCTTGTGCCGTCTGATGCGCGATCATAAGGCGGCGGCGCCACGGTAAGGGATCGTACGATCCGCCGCCGTAGATGTGCTCGTACAGAGTTCCGTTGGGGACGAATTCGTAAACCAGAATCGGTATATCCAATTCGATGCAGCAGCCTATGAGCTTCACTAGATTCTTGTGACTGACTTGGCAGAGGATATGAACCTCGTTGACGATCTGGTATATGCTCTTCTCGTTCCCGAGCTTGGCTCGTTTCACGGCGACTGTGGTACCGTCGTCGAGATTCCCTCTGAAAACCTCACCGAATCCGCCGTATCCGAGAAGATTGGATTTGGCGAAATTGTCCGTCGCTTTGACGATTTCTTTGCCGGAGAAGATCCTGTCGAGTCCGGCACTATTGGTATTCAGCAGGTGTTGATTTAGTTTCCTTACGTTCGCCCACGATTGGTTTCCGGCGACTCTCCGATTCCGCGTCGAGATTATCATCTTCACTACGCATCCGGCGATCAATATTGCCCCCACACCTCCGACCAAACCTGAACCGAATCAGTCCACGTAAAATCAAATCGAACCGTCTTATACCGGCTGGAATCCGATTTTCATTGTTTGGTACAACCTACTAACGTTATTACACTATACTACTGGGTAACTGAACTTAACCATATTATATAACCAAACCGAATCTGACCCGTTAACCATACATTGTTGATTGTCTCGATATGATGCACCGAAATTAGAGGATTTGAATTTACCTCCGATTATTAAAGGTTTAATGCTCCATCGCTTGCGTTTCTTTCCCTTGACTGTATAAACAAATAACCAATTTTGTGTTTAGTAAAAGACTCGATAATCTCAAACCATCAAAAGCCAATATCACAAAACCGGACCTTCACATATTGCGTTAACCGAGTCCCATCGAAACCCTTTCTTGCAGAAACACCTCTTCTGTCCTGAATTCTTCGAATCAACTGAACAAAACGAATTAACCAAATCCGCACAGTCTCCAAGAATCTTACAAACCGGCTCTCTCGGAGCTTCCCAAAGTATCTCCACGGCCGGTTCTCCCCATTTGCTAACCGGCAGCATCAGGTCCACATTCATATAGCTCTGATAAGCCGAACACATATCTGTCCTCGCCCTATAAACTTTGTAAGTGTTAACCGACGCACCGGTCTTATACCAGCAGCACGACGTCACACCACGGCACTTCCGTCGTGCCTCGGGATTCGCATTTAGAAACTTGTGGCACAAGCTATTGTCCGAGCAGTTAAAAGCTTGAGAGACGTATGCATCTAAACCCTCTTTTGTACAGTTCATGATTATAACCGTGTTGCTACTACTGACATTAAAAGGAAGGTTCGGGTCTAGCTGAATACCGTGGTACTTGAGATCGAGTGATACACATGTGTACGGTTCGAATCCTGGTGGAACGAGGACAAACCTTTGTCCCGTCTGGTCAATTGTTTTGATCGGATTGGTTGATCCGTTGAGAGTGTCAAACCATAGGGAACCGCGGTCGTCGCACCGGATCTTGTAATCTTGATCGCCACAGTCGAGTCCCGTGCTTAGCGGGTAGGGGACTCGGGTGGAGCCGCAGTTGGGGCATCGTTTGAAAGATTCTGCTAAAGAAGACAAAGAGACAAGTATAAAAAGAGTGAAGGTGATGAGAGAGAGGAAAGAAGAGAGCCATGGAAGCTGCATTTTTGTTTTAGCTGGAGACTGTGGACTGTGGAAGTGTATTAGCTGCGTACTATGATTTCTGTTTTTTTCTTTTAAAAAGATTATTATAACATTTCTATTGTTGTAGGTCATCGAGTAAAACGAATAAATTCTTCCAATGTTCCGATTGCATCATATGGTACGTAACATTACTACTAAGAGTGGTATATTTGTTTATATTTGTCTATTTAGCAGCCAACTGGCCAGATATAAAGTGGTACAGTGTCGAACCAAGTATATAATTTATTAACATAAAAATATTGGCATAAAAAATATTTTCATTTTTTGTTATTACGATTTTTACCAGTTAACACTCAACTCTTAACACTACAAATCTGGTATATATTTTTGTTTTAGTTTGTCGATGTGCTTTGACCTTGGATCTTGGATTTGTTATATATAGATTATTGTTCTCTTTCTTTTCTTCTATATGAATGGTCAAAGCACATCGAAAAAATTCACTGTCATCGTCGGACAAGCTGAAGATCAGATGAATTAGTGGCTCACCTATCTCTGTAGACATATCTAAGTGTCTACAACATTCTAATTTCTCGATTGTAGTGTTTTTCTTTGTAGTTAACCAAGATTGTTGTTTTCGATCCAAATTGTTCAAGCGGTTGCTTTAAATGCAAGTTTTAAAACTAAAAGCTATCAAAGTTATATCTATACAACTTCAATGAGAGTACTCAAACCTCTTAAATTTGAGGACTATGTTTGGGAACGATGCAATGTAGTGGCATTGTTATTGATTGGAACTGAATGTTAATGCGATGTGTAATAAGCGATGCCTCATGCCTGGATCAGAAAAAAACGATTTGAAACTGACTTGCAAGTAAAAATATCAAAATGTTCATCATTTGTATTTTCAAATCCTTTCCCCAATTACCATTGAAAGGAAAGTTACTAAAACAATTTGCAAACAATGTTCACTGAATTGACAATTTTCTATAAAAGTTTCTACGTGTATAAAGTAAGAATTGTGACATGTAACGACTACTCGGAGCATGATGGTTAAAATTGAACCAATAAGAAAATAGTTATTAAATTTTTCTTATTTTAATATTTTCTATTCACTTTATTTTCGTCTTTTTCACTCTTCACCTCTGTGAAAAAGGATTTTGGGAGACAACGAGGCGATTGCCAGTTTCTCCTCGCTCCGAAACTTCCTCCGTCGTCGCCGATTTCGCTGATCATCGTCTCCGCCGTAAGCTCTCGATTTCCCTATCAGATCTGAACCAATAAAAACTCCGCTCATTGCCATTTTCAGTCGCGAAAAGAGTTTCTCCAGTTTTTTTTCTGTGCTTTCTAAGCTTAGGTTTCTTTGGGTTTGAAATTTTTTGAGGCATTTTGCTTTCTCTTTACTGTTTACTGCTTTAGATCTCTGGAAACGAGCAGAAATGTTGTTTCTGTTGCTGCTTAGCTTTGAAAGAACCGACCACTCTTGGATTCGTTCGTTCGTTTGATTTTAAGAACCAGAGACTGAAAAACTAACATTTTTCTGCTTGGAATTTCTTCAGAGAACCGTGAGAGATAGAAATGGCGCCCAGAGGAAGAAAAAGGGTAAGCCTTACTTTTACATAGAGAGGATTGAAATGTTGATTTGGGAATTGAGATGCTTAGGTTCTTTTGCTTGTGTGATTTCCCTCTTTCGTAGGGTTTTTGAATCAGTACTTTTTTCTTTCCGTTTCTGGCAGAAGCCTGGAGTGATGCGAGTGGATGCAGCACGAGACGCCATGAGACCTCTTGGGTTTTCAGAGCGTGTTATCGATGACACTATCAAGGATTTGCTACAGGTGTGTTCAATGTCTTCCTTGATCCTTTGAAAACACACTAAAGTGATTCACGGTTCACCAACTTTAAACTTCAGGTGTATGGTGGTGAGGACGCGTGGCAGCTGATCGAAGATGGTGGATACAGTGTACTGCTCGAGAGCTGCCTTGCAAAGCAAAACGAACAAGCAAAACAAGTGGCCGTTGAGCAAGAGGAAGAAACATCTCAGGAAGATGAAATGGTAATTGTTTTCCTAAACCCTTGGTCACATATTTGTTGCATCCAGTGTTGGGATTAGCTTTGCTTTGCATGTCCTGTCTTTGTGAGCAAGTATCAGAAAGTAATGAGTGACGTCTTCAACTTGATTTGACCATTATGCTACTGAGTTTGCAGCATAACCCATCTTTTGTACTACAGGAGCTGGAGGAGGAGCAGGAAGAGCATGTCGGTAGCAGCTCAACATCATTGGTGGGACGTGGTCCGGACACAGGAACACAGACTTGTCAGACGACTGATGCTTCATCGACCATTAGCGAGGCAGTCATGGACTCATCACCAGCAGCTCATCAGTCACACCAGCGTGTTGGAGGTAGTTTAGTAAACTGAAAGAAAAAAACTCATCACCATAACAGTCTTAACGCATGGATTATTCTCTTACTGAGGTAAAAAATTATTGTGTAGGGGCCAGGAGTTCTCACTGTGGATGGTTAAGCAGTGAAGAGGAGACGGATCTAGATGAGGATGGTGATAGTGATGATGATGAGATGATCCAGCTGACTCCAGAACCTCTCTGTGAAGAACTTGAAGAGCTTCTTAGGAAAGTACAAGGACAGAGTAAGAGGAAGATCCCGACGAGGTGGGACAACTAAGGAGTCGTGTGCTCCTGTAGTTAAGTAAGTAAACTCGATTTGCATATCGGAGTTAAAGCTAAGAAGCGAACAAGTAGAGTGAAGTAGTAAGCTAAGTATTACAGCTAAAACAAGTCGCACTTTATTGTATTTCGAGATATATATATAAGTAGCGTTAGACCTTGAAACTTGGCTTTGTTTATGCTTACAAATCTTTCAATCATCCACACTAAATTATCTTGGATTTTATTTTCTTCCTAAATATATCTATAATCGCATGAGTTAACTAACTAAAAGAGATTCCAAACGAACAAATGCATAAAAGGATGGTTGATGCTAAACTTTTCTGATTCCCAATACAAGTGAAATAGAACTGGCAAAGTCCTGTGACTGAGTAAGGCTGTACAGAGCACAACATGCCTTGTAGTTTTTTAGAAATCTGAAAATACAACTTTTTAAAAGAACCTAGGAGTATTATTGTTATCTCTGTTCCGCAATTTCTTCATGATGTTACATAATACACAATGCAAAGTCAAAGCTCTGTCCCTTAAAAAAAACATGGAAGACAGGGGAGGATTGAAGAAGAAAATACACACAGCTAAAAAAGACTGTATGTACAGCTGCTCTTGTCAAACCTATAAGCATCTTTTCTTCACTAAGCTCGAAAACCCCCGAAAATGTAAGTGTATCGAGGATCTGGTGATTGCTTGGGAAAACTCAAGTGGGTGAGTCAGCTAGTAGTAACGTATGCCACCATCCACACGCCACTTTTCTAAGTCTGCAGACATCGAACTGGACTTGTGTAGGAATGTCCCGGTCGATCGTGTCCCCTAGTCCCAGCTGTTGAGTCAACAAAGAAAAATGCAAAAGTGAGATGCTACTTGTACAATCACAGTGATTATGAGACATAAACGCTTCGCAAACCAAACAGGAACAAAATCGAACCTGTCCGTATTTGTTCCATCCCCAGCATAGTAACTGACCATCTTCTGCAGAAACAAAAACAGCAGCTCGAATAAGCAAAACAAAGAATTCATTTAAAAACCTCCCTGCACAGATATTGAAGGGCACTAAACTTAGAGGGAGTGTAGACATCAGTCATATATATCATAAAGCGCGAAGTGATTTCACCAACAAACATGCTATGTGATTTTTAAAAGGAAGGAGATTGACTTTAGCTCTCTTGAAAGAGAGACCACAAATTACAACTGAAACAATTCAAAAAGGGGACCTGAAGACAAGGTGCAGCATCTCACAAGCTAGGGCTCTTTAGTTTCTTCTCGTTAAAACAACTGAAAGCAAATCCCAAGTTGCTAGGAGCTCAGTTTGTTTCGGAGAGGTCCCTTTCTGCCATTAGCATTAGAAAAACCATACCTGACAAAACCGCACTATGTCGCGCTCCGCAGCTAACTACACTTGCGTGTTTGTTCTCCAGATTCTGGCCATCCAGCAACCTCGGTATCGTCTAAATCAGAAGAGAGATGATACAATACATAAGTATACCAGACGTTTCACTCCATGAACTGCACAGAACTTTCATTTTGGATTACAAGAAATGTACCTCAGCATGATCAGTGCCAGTTCCCAATTGCCCAAATTGGTTTCCACCAAAGGCAAACACTTTACCATCACTAGAGATGCAAATTGTATGCCACAACCCAGCTGCTACGCTTTCCATCTGAACATTCTGCAATGTTGACACAGCCATGGGCCTCAACTGATCATTTGTGTTTCCGTGGCCACACTACATGCCAAGAAAATTGTCAGGTTAGCATAAGAAAAGGGAGAATCTAAACAAAATGCATTTCAATCAGTTTAAAAATCAGACAACGGTTAATAAGAAGTAAAACATTCACCTGTCCATAGAGTCCCCAGCCGAAAGTGATCAACCGTCCAGCATCTGCAACTAGGAAGAATAATCAATCAAGATCAAACCATCACAAAAGTTTGTAGAATACACAAACTGCAAAGTAACTTTGTCTTCTTCATACGAAGACTGTACAGAGGAATAACTCAGAAGTCGCAACGGACCTGTAATTGCCGCACTATGACGCCCTCCACAAGAGATCGCCTTTATATACTGGCCAGGAACTCTTAAAACTTGAGTAGACGTGGTTGCTGCCCCTTGTTGTGATATGAAAGATCTTTCTTTTCCAGGTCCAGGTAGCTCAAGGCAAGGTATTAGATGTGGAGACGACACCATTTTAACCCGGGAACCCAATCCTAACTGCCCTTCACCTCCATATCCCCAACCCCAAACCTGTCCTATATCTGAAACTTCCGCAGAAACATGAAACATCAGTATGCAATCATCCTCAATGAATTTTCAGGCTAAAAACTACATGCTGAGACTACAAGTCGTTTATACAACTTCACCTGACAATGCGAGAGTATGCCTACCACCAGTAGCAACACTGGTGATCCTCACTCCAAGGCCAACACTCACAAGTGAAGGTGTTGTAGCGAAGAAGTCTAAACCAGATGTAAGGCCTTCCGTCTCATCCTTGGCTGTTGAAACCCGTCTCCGCTTCACAGGTTCCTCTCCAACCTTTCGGCTCTCATTCTGTAATGACACACCACTGGATGCATTTGAACCTTGCTCACTCGAGCCACTCTGCTGCTTTCCTCCACCAAGATCCTTTGATGGAATGCACTCCTTCCAGCCCCAAGTAAATGCTTCACCAACCTCTACACACACCAACGCACAGGTCTTCAGAAAATCGACATAGTCACAAAGCTAACCCTTTTTCATGTTTCAATTGATAAAATCTATGAAGCCAAAGAAGATAAGATAAAGTTAATCAATTTACCTGTTACAACAGCACAATGTGCCCATCCTGAAGAAGCCTGTATGACTGGAGCCTCTGTTGGAAGAGGAAACGGCTCTGGAGTTTCCTTAACCAATCGTAATCAAAGAAACGACAACAACGGAATCAATTTCGTAACAAAAAGCTTAGAAGAAGAGACAAAAAAAAATCCATCATCTTTAAGAACTTTACCCCATGCTTCCCAGAAGCCACATAGCTCTGTCCTTCATCATCAGAAGATCCCCAAGTTATAAGCCTCCCATTCTCTAAAACCCAGAAAAAAAGAGGAAGTAAAGCTCAAATCATTCTTTTTGATTCATATAAATGAACGAAAACTTCCGAATTCACTAATATCCGAGAAAACACACCTGAAATAGCCATAGCGAATCCACAACCGCCGCCACATACGTCTTTCCACGAATCTCCGCCATGAACAGCCGCCGGAAGCCGAACGGGAACAGGAGAGAGAATTGGGGATTTCTCCGGCGCAGCTCCTGGGAGGTAACCGGACATGTAAACTACACTCGCCTTACTTTCCATTATCGGATCTTGTACTCCATTGTTCCCATTCATTGCAGTGATTCTTCCAAAACCAGAATCACCATAGAACACACACAGACAAATCGAAAACGCCCCAAACAAATCCAATAAGCAAAAGAACAAAGATGGACCAGCAACGCAATCTAGTCTCCTTTTTAAGTAATCTGCGTTTTCACTTTCTCGGAAAATCGGCGTTTTCTCCGTTTTTGTTGACAGAGATCGAGACCATTAAAACGAATCCAGAAAACGGAAAAACAAGGAACAAAGAGAAGAACGAGTTGACTCAGTGAGAAAATGAGACTGAGAGAGAATCAGTTACGAGGATTTAGAGAGTGCCACATCGGATGCCACGTCATCTGAATAACACGTGGTACGATTTAGACCGCGTATATTTTTTTATAGTTTAAAATGTCGAGAAGTTTCTGGAAAGAAAGACCAATTGGAGCTCCTTTTCTCTGATCGACGCGTGGTGGAGAAAATAACCTTCCAAATATATTCTTTTATTTTATCCCATTTTTAGCTAATCTGATTAGTTTCTTTATTTGGTTACGGTTTGCCATAGACATGCACACATCTTTATCCTCTGTTAGTTCTAAAAGTATTTTAAATCGGCTGATTGACAATTTAATCATTTAGACTGTTCTCAGTTTCTGCAATTTTGAATCAAATTTGCATAAGAAATTTGAGGACATCTTGTCGTAGGTTTTTAATCCCCATATCAAAGTTTCTACATTTTTAGTACATGATTCTAACATTTGTCTCTTTTGATAGGTTTGTATCGGTCAATCTCAAATCAAAATATATAAACAATAATTTTTAAGGTATAAATTATAATACTATGTTTAGTGTAATGAAATTTCAACCAAATTAAATTTACAGTGAATAGGTTAATAGCCATACCAGAATGTTACTACGTCAAGCTCCCAATAACTTCTAGCTTCTTTGCAGCTTTATGTGCTTCACTGCTTCTCTTCCAATGGCTTGCAATTTCCGTTGTGATTGTAGAAACTGAGCTTTCTCGATCTATTTATCATATGTTTAAATGATATAAGATCAAACAAAAACAGTCCATTTAATATTGAAGTTGATTTTACTTTTCTTAATAAACCATTCTGGTATCAAATTATAATGATTAAAATCTCATCACAATCAGGTACCATTATGTATACATAACTGTTAGTTTGAGTGTAACATCAACAAATCAAACGAACAAAACAAATTTAAATTATTCACATGATTACATATATACTTTTTTCTTTACTTGGTGATTAACTATTCACATAATTACGTACTTGGTGATTTCTTATAAGGATCTAATCCTAGACGGAGCTCAAGATCTATCATATCTGGACTTTGCGATAGAGCCTTCTGAAGTATCCCCAGTTTCTTATCTTCTTCATCTCCCAAATAGTTCCCGCTCTTATTACTGTCTTCTTTTGTTGTTGGACCGACCGTATCAACGAAGAAAGGTAATTCAATAAGATCTTGCTCGAACCGACTTCTCGAAGTGGTGGAAATGGCGTCTTGATCACTATCTTCTTTTAGGTTCGCTTGTCGAAGCTTTGCCCTGTCTTTTCTGTGAATGTTCATGTGCCCTCCTAAAGCTTGTGCGTTTGAGAAACCTCTCTCACAAAAATCGCATATGTATGGTCTTGCTTGTCCGGACCATGAATATGATCGACGATCCAAGTATTTTCTGTTCATTTGTATATGATCGAGAGAGAACGATAGAAACAGATTGAAATTATAAGAGAAAGTGTTTCTAATTTGTGAAGAGATGTAAAATTTGTAAAACACAAGGTAATGAGAACAGTTATATACATTGTCATTTGTCAATGTGATAATGATTTATTAACTAAGAAGCTAAAGTCAAAGGAAGCCGCCGACTTTTCTTAGGGCAAAAGCCGACAAAAATAGATATATAAACTTATGTGATGATGTCCACCAAATGATTGGTTATTTTATTGGTTCTAACATATCTATAGCCGACAGTAATACTACAGTATAATATGATTTTTTTTTTTAGGTTTGTACTTCAATTCTCAGAGATATATATGTTCTATCTCTCTATCATAATCCAGGTATGATCAGACTCAAATACAGCGATAAATAAAACGAAAACGAAACCGAAAACACTACAAGTTATGAACTTATTGAAATGCTACGCTTTGTAAATATAAGAAGAGATGAAAAATGCAAATATTGACAAATGAGCGATGTCTAAGTACAATGTTTTCCAAGAAACACATATACACACACGTATGAGCGAGTGGTTGACAACATACATATGTTTTACAATATTCTATAATCATTATTGTCATTAGATATATGAAAGTCATAAGACAACTATATGTGTTTAGTGAGTTCCTTATTAGACTTTGATCCTGCTAGAGATATAACTATATATAATATTATGGGTGACTCCCGCTTCGCGCAGGAATTGAAATTGTTGTGTTGATTTTATTATTTTTCACAAATTTAATTTAATTATATGATTTATTATTATTTTAAAAATGTCATACACATATTAATCAAATATAATTAGGGTTACTAAAAAATTTCCGAAAATTAAATATAATTAAGTTTACGCAAAAATTTTGAACCATCATTTTTCATTCCTCCCATTTTGTTCTTTTTATCATATCCGTTTTTTCCCGTCCCATTCGCCATGTCCGTATCGTCACGTGCAATCCCATCATGTCTGAGACTGTTCCATCCCGTTTTGTCCAGTCTCATCCCGTTCTTTCCGTTTCTTTCCGTCATGTCCTAAAATATAATTAGGGATATGCTAAATTCACGTTTTTTCCGTTCCATTATGTTTCTTTTCATCCCGTCATTTCCGTCATATCCATCCCGTCTAGTCCCATCCTGTCTCATTATGTTTCTTCCTGTCTTGTCTTGTCCCATCTTGGTCTTTTTGTTTCTTCTTGTCCCGTCTCTAAATATAATAAGAGGTAGGCAAAATTTACCTCTTATCCCGTTCTATTTCTCGTCTCGTTCCTCCCCGTCCTATTCATTCACATACCGTTTTGTCTCGTCCCGTTCAGCCTCGTTCTGCTATTCATTCACATACCGTTTTGTCTCGTCCCGTTCAGCCTCGTTCTGTTTTTTTCGTCTCGTATTGCCCCATCCCATCCTTTCTCGTATTAAACTATTAAAATCTATTTGATAAAACTAAAATTATTAAATTAGAATTTATTTAGATCAATATATAAACTATTTTCTTATACAAAATGACTTTTCAAATTCTATTATGATTAAGTGATAGATGTAATAAATTATTAGTCTTAAAAGAGAATTGGAAGAGTATTGTTTAAAAGAGAGTTTGCTGACGTGGCGTTCCCATAAGAGACCCAACTGTGTTTTATATATATAGATATATGCCGGCCTCACAGACCTCGTATACGCTAATGGTGACAACAACGCTTGCTTGAGTTAAGTTGTTAACTTGTTAACTTAAACATTCTAACTTCTTAAGCGGTTAGAGAGGACGAAGTAAGTATTATACATCATTGTATAGGTTTCCTTAATCTTAGACTATAGAATAATTCCGCATTAGTCTCTTGTACTTATCCAACAATTAATTGACATAGACAAACAGTATAGTCTCCTTAAGCTTATTTTAACCCTACGGTTAGAATGTGTCAAAGGGTTATGTGGCTTCTAAGAACAATTCTAATTTGAACATTTCTTTTTCCAACTTTTCTATTAATGTTGGAGCTTCACGTGTGTCTTTATCTGCAAGCGAAGGAAAAGTGTCGTATATGATTATTAGATGTTTTATTCATACTTCCCGATCGATATTATTTATGATGACCAATAGTCAAACAAAAAGGTTTGCAGAATATATAACTAGATATATAGAACTCATCAAGTACGAGTGTCTCATCGATGACGAACTATTATAAAATGATCAAAACACTATATATACAATAAATTTCGAAAAAAATAACTTTAATTTGAGATATAAAAACGTGAATTATGAAAATTTCACCGATACTGCAAGCTAGATACTCGCTTACGGGAAAAGGAAAGAAAGTAGTTAGTGACTACACTAGTTTTACGAAACTTAAAAGAAATCTCTCGGTTGGTTTAAGACTCGTGCTTTTTTTGTTTATCAGCGACCTATGTGTGTTTACGTACTCATTGTTGGTTCCACTCGATTCCTCACTGACACTTGACATATATGCGGTTTAGGTTATTTCAGTAACAAAATAACTCTAGGCCAGGGCTATTGGGCTTAAGTGTATTATTAATTTCTGCAATCAAAAATTAGTATATATATCCATTAACCAAAAAAATAAACATTCAGAAATTTATCGTATACGTTGACATTTTCATGCTATACAAAAAAAAAAAGTTGACATTTTCCCTTGTTGGCCTGTGGGCCTATATTTATTACAAAAAATGTCAAACATGACAAAAATTGGTGGCTTAAATTAAAATTTCTTTAGTAGACATAATCTTGCTTTAAAAATCAAAAGAGGGCTAAGTTAGTGTTCTTGTGGTCCAAAACAGAATTCGGGTTCCGTATGCTAGGCTCGACTAGTTTTTGAATCAGCACTATCGGAATTTTGACCATTTGCGGTACTAGATTCTTTTTGTCTGTTTATAAATTGTTTTTTTTTTTTCAGTTTTTATATTTGTTTGTAGTTGAAACTCTATACTCCCTATTGCCAAGATGGAATAATATTGAAGTTCAAGAAAAATCAAAAGAGAATATATCATATCAAAATCAACAACCTTTTTTATGTAGGTGACTGACACGAAAAATCAACGTTCAAGATTGAATTGAGAAGCTTCCTTGCAAGAGAAACAGAGTGGACAAGTTTTGACCAGCTATCCAACTGAGGACCCATCATCACTCTCCTTAAAGTCGTTCTTCTTTTCTTCTCTCCCTCCATCACTTCTTAATCTCACAAATCCAGTATACATTCGCTCATTCACATTTTTCCTACGCTCAACTAGTTTCTACGTCACTACAGTTGTTATGGATAATTTCATTTTCTTAAACTATAAATGTAAAATTTGTGTGTTCGTTTGTGCATCATTTCCCGTCACGCTATGAATTGGAAATGATAGTGCCATAGTTGATCAATCACCCAAAAAAGGGTTGCATTTTCGTGTCAAATGTTTCTATATGCCGGCCAAAAAGAATCGCGAAAAATCTGATACTTGTATTATTCTAGTATCGGTCAAACAATCAACCATGTTTGGGGATAAGTCAACGGTTTTCCATAAATGTCACATGAATTTTTAGTCAGCATTCAGTTTGTTTCTTCAACATGCCCAATGAGCAATGTCAGACGAATCTTCTGATCTTGCATCACGGAATTTATTTTTCTGTATTTTTATTTAACCAACTACTATAATTGCATAGGTGTATCAGTTTGTAATTGACAAATCCATAAATCACTCCCAACATTTTATATTTCAATTTCTCTATATAAACCACCTTTCTCAACAAAAAGAAATTAAAAATTCTTTATATATTTTTGAACGTTAATATAAGATAAGTTCCAAATAAAATCTCAGCCTTTCATTTCCTTTTTGTGGTCAATCTCAGCGTTTCAAGTTACATCTATCTATTATCTGATATCTTTTCAGTGTTCACACTATTAATAGTTTTTGCAACTGTTGAAAGAATAATACTTCTGTCGGCATCGATAAAGTTTTTCGTCGCTAAAGAAATTATACTCTTCGTAATATTCTAATTAAAAATTACATATGGTATTATTTCTACTTTTAGTCAACGAGAGATGAGTTCGAAATTCTGGAAACCAAAACCAAATAAAACTGAAAGAGCCATATTTTGGAGAAATTTGTTTCTACTTTCTAGACTTGCCATTAACATTACTTATCCAGTTTTTTTTGTAGGTTTGTATGCCAAAAATTATTACTGTATATACTAACATAATCAATATGTATCAAAAATAATTAAATTATGAAAGTTCAGTTATACAGTAAACTATATTTCTTTAGTGTTTTCATGTTTTCCTACAAAACTTTTTTGCTGTTGTTAAATTCTTACAAAACTATATAGAAAATTAGAAACCAGTTATCTGTCTCAGCAACTAAACAAAACATTCTTTAAAAAACCACAAACTCGAACTGGTTGGTCAGTGGTTTATGGCCAAAAAGATTGGACTGGATTTGACTAACTTTAATTAATCTTTATATTTAAATAAACAAAAGTTTATCAACATCTCACTGATTGACCATTTGACCATCAGAAGAAGCATACAAATAATGAGCAGCTCACATGCAGACAAACTGGATTATACGTAATAATCAAAAATCAAACTGATGGTGTTTTAGATAGATACTCATCACGAAAACGAATATAATAAATAAACAATCATAGAATGACATTAAATATCTATTTTAATTGAATTGAATCTTGCTCAACACTTACTTCACCAACCTCTGACAATTTTTATTCAATCACGGACGTGCCATCGAAGAAACCCTCACGACTTTTCTTTTCTTCACATGTTTAAATCTTCAATCTCTCTTCTTCTCTCCTCTTTGACACCGGAAGCCATGTTCATCATCAAGCTCACCTTCCTCTTCCTTCTCTGTCAAATCCTGAAATCTTCATCTCAAATTCTCAACTTCACCTACAATGGCTTCCATCCTCCGACAGACATCTCACTCCAAGGCATCGCCACAGTCACACCAAACGGTCTATTGAAGCTAACCAACACATCGGTTCAGAGAACCGGTCACGCCTTCTACACCGAACGGATCCGGTTCAAAGACTCTCCAAACGGCAGCGTTTCGTCCTTCTCCACAAGCTTCGTCTTCGCGATACATTCTCAGATACCAACGCTTAGCGGCCATGGAATCGCCTTCGTCGTCGCTCCAACTCTCGGCCTTCCCTTTGCACTCCCCAGCCAATACATCGGTCTCTTCAACATCTCCAACAACGGCAACGATACGAATCACGTCTTCGCCGTCGAATTCGACACGATCCAGAGCAGCGAGTTCGGAGATCCGAACGATAACCACGTCGGAATCGACATCGACGGTTTGCGATCGGTGAATTTATCGACGGCCGGATATTGGGATGAGAAAGACGAGTTTCGGAATCTGAGCTTGATTAGTCGCAAACGGATGCAGGTTTGGGTCGATTACGATAGTCGTAGCCAGCGAATCGACGTCACGATGGCTCCGTTCGATTCCGATAAACCTAGAAAACCGCTTGTTTCCTACGTCAGAGATCTCTCTCCGGTTCTCCTGCAAGATATGTATGTAGGATTCTCGTCGGCGACTGGTTCCGTTCTCTCGGAGCATTTCGTAGCCGGGTGGAGTTTCCGGGTCAACGGCGAAGCTCCGGTGCTTACGCTATCCAAACTCCCGAAGCTTCCACGATTCGAGCCCAAACGAATCTCCGATTTCTACAAAATCGGTATGCCTTTGATTTCCCTCTTTCTGATCTTCTCCATCATCTTCCTCGCTCTCTACATCGCGAGGAGGAAGAAGAAGTTCGAGGAAGAGCTCGACGACTGGGAAACAGAGTTCGGGAAAAACCGGTTCAGATTCAAGGAGCTCTACCGCGCGACGAAAGGGTTCAAGGAGAAGGATCTTCTCGGATCCGGCGGATTCGGGAGGGTCTACAGAGGAATCCTCCCGACGACGAGGATTGAAGTCGCCGTGAAGAGAGTCTCACACGATTCGAAACAAGGTATGAAAGAGTTCGTGGCGGAGATCGTGAGTATCGGCCGGATGAGTCACCGGAATCTAGTGCCTCTCTTGGGTTATTGTCGCCGGAGAGGAGAGCTTCTTCTCGTATACGATTACATGCCTAACGGAAGCTTAGACAAGTATCTATACAACAATCCAGAGACGACCTTGGATTGGAAACAGAGATCTAAGATCATCAAAGGAGTTGCTTCCGGATTGTTCTATCTCCACGAAGAATGGGAGCAAGTTGTGATTCACCGTGACGTTAAAGCGAGCAATGTTCTGCTAGACGCCGATTTCAATGGTAGACTCGGGGATTTCGGTTTGGCCCGGTTGTATGATCACGGGTCGGATCCTCAGACGACACACGTCGTTGGAACGTTGGGCTACTTAGCACCTGAACATTCCAGAACCGGACGAGCCACGACGGCGACGGACGTCTACGCGTTTGGTGCGTTTCTTCTAGAGGTTGTTTCCGGTAGACGACCCATCGAGCTCCACAGCGAGAGCGACGACACGTTCTTGCTTGTGGAGTGGGTTTTCGGTTTGTGGCTAAGAGGCAACATAATGGAAGCGAAAGATCCGAATCTTGGGTCCGATGGTTACGATCTTGAAGAGGTCGAAATGGTTTTGAAACTCGGTTTGCTGTGTTCGCATTCGGATCCTCGTGCTAGACCGAGTATGAGGCAGGTGTTGCAGTATCTGAGAGGAGACATGTCGTTGCCGGAGTTAACGCCGTTGGATTTGTCGGCTGGGAGCTTGATGAATTTGGGCGGCCGGGATGGTTTTAGCGGTATTGCAATGCCGTACTCTTCCTCGGTGTTTAATGGTTTTACCGGCGGATCTTCCATAGCTGAGTCTCTACTCTCTGGTGGGAGGTGATCGATGATCAACTTCTTTAGCCACGTTCTATGCTCTTGCTCTGTTTTTTTTTTCTAACGAATGAGGATCATGTACATATAGTTTTGCCTTAATATGGAGAAATATTTAAGATTTTGCTATAAGTATTCAATCAAATACAAGATTATGATTACAATACATTGAACGTAAATTAGTTCTGATTGATGACTTAAGGCCATAGCAATGAGATCAGCGAGCAGGGCCAAGAAGAAGTAGAACCGGTGGTTCACTAGTTTCATCGTTCCGTCTTGCAGCCCAAGCTCTTAAAGGAGGTTCGAAGCGGTCACTAACCACATCAGGAGCCAGTTCGTCGTCACAGGGGAGATAAACGAGGCCTCTCTGTCTTAGACAGGACGGTTCGTCATAACAAACGGTCCACAGGATATCAACTAGCTCTCTTTCTTCTCTGACTGCACTAAGATCTTCGTCCGACATGGCAATGATACTTCTTGTTCTCTCCTCAAGAAGCTGTCTTAGATTCAAATCCGCTCTGTCGAGATTTCTCTCAGATTCTTCTCGGGCGAGCTCTAGGAGACCGCGGAGTGCGAATTCCCGGATTTCGAGGTCTTGGTTTGATGCGAGGTGGATCATTATACGAGGGAATCCAAGATCTTTAACGATTCTGCAGTCTGAGTTGCTTTCTTGGAGAAGGTAGTGAACCAAACTCAACGCTTTTCTGATAAAGGAATTAGCATACACATCATGGACTTAGGAAGAATTAACACTCCTTGTAAGGCATTTTTGCTTGAGATGTTTTTACCTTTGGAACCTAACGGTATCAGAGACCAAAGCGTCTTTCAAGCCGGCGTAACCATTTGCTAGACGGAAAGCTGTGATTCCTGGTTGGTTGTGACGTATAAGAGCTACAATGCAAAAAGCAACAAAACACAGTCAAACTTTGGGGTCCTCAAGATGATTTTTTTTTGCTAGAAATGGTAACTTCTTACAGGATATAGCACCAAGTGCCTTGGTCCGGACTCTAACTTCGGGATCAGAAATGAAGTTGGTTAGTAATGGTTCGAACCCATTTGCTTCCATGACAAGCTGCTGGCTTCTTGGATTGTTTTGGACAACAGTGGTCAAAACATCGGCCGATTTTGCTCGAATCTTGGCATTAGAGTTCTTTAGATAGCTAATGAGAGGGACCAAACCTCCAATTGAGTGAAGATCTGAACATTAAATAGGTCAAAAAGAAGATATATAATATCACAAAGTTGAAAATAGTCTAAGATCAAACCATTGGCCAAATCGATAGACTCGACGTGTTCTTGCAGCTCATCCAACATTCCTGTCTAACATAAAAGTAATAGTTTTTTCAAATCAATCGGACTTGTTAATTTGCATAACCAAAAATAATCAATATTGGAACAAAGGTAAAGAACCTTCAAGGTCATCAGATGTAACTCCTTGAGCTTCCAAGACTTGTTCAGGCATCTTCATGATTTGAGATATCTGTTTCATACGCGATATTGAATCGATTGTATGTCCTTGCATTGCTTCCATGAACCATTTTCGATCTTCCTCACTAACAAGAACACAAACTTTCATATTAAAAAGAATCGATATTCGAAGAACGATTATATAAGCAAACAAATTCACATCAAGATTAATCATCCAAATACTTCCATTCTCAGAATACAGAGCATTTCAATCAAATGAGAACCCATTGCAAGCAAGATACGAAATGATTGATCAGAGAATTTTTTTTTTTAAAAAGAGGGAGTAAGATCCGATCAAGTAAAAAGCAAAGAGATAATCATCGAACTACAGAGGGAAAAAAACAGTTTAAAGAAAAGCTCAGAGACCTCAAACGGTGAGAAGGGGAAGCTCCATCGGAATGGGAGAGGCTCCATTTGAGCAATCCATCCCAATTGGGTCCATTGTTCGCCATTTAAGCTTGTTCAAAGAGAAAAATCCCCAGAAACGCAAAATTGTGGAAGATCGAGAGCGAAAGAGATTGTTTAAGTTATTACAAGAACAGAGAGATATTTTTGCGTGCCCGTAAACACGTGGCCAAGTTGCAGAGATAGACCAGACCACTTTATCCGTTAAGGAAAATGACTGCGAGTGTGGATTGAAACGACGACGTCTGCATCTATCGGATCATTAAAAGGTATGGTCCAAATTCGGAGACAAGTGGCCTCTAAAATATCCATAGGCACTTAGATTCATTTTGTGAAAAAGGTCTAACGTTTAACAGATCAATTAGTCGTTAATCAAAGTTCAATATCTCTATCTTCTGGTTTTAAATAACGGAAAATGGCAATCTTCTGTGTTACAAATCAACATCCTAAATATAACTCTAAACAGAAAATACGCCTAAAATATTTAACTCTGCCAACAACATAATTACATATAATCATGATCGAATGTGGTAGATAATAGGATATTGAGAAGATGTGAGACCATTTTGTTCAGCTAGCCATTTTTTTTCTTTATTAGTAATAATATATTCATTCTTTGTGTAAATCAGGTCAAAAGATCATTTTACATAATAAAAATGTAGTTAAAAGAAAGACTAAATCTGTATTTTTCAAATTAAGAATCCTAAATAAGGCATTATCATATATAATATACACTGGTGCATTATCATCAACATTTTTAATTAAATGGTTAGATGAACAAAATGTGCACTGTTAAGCCACGAGGCTCAAATCATAACTAACCAAGGGAACATAGACCGAGTCAAGGCAGAGCTGGTAACTAGCAAAAAAAATGGCCACAGATGCTTCACGCCAAAGGAAATCAATGGACCACCAAGCAGAGACTCCTTCCCTCGTTGAGCTTCTCTTCGATCCTCTCTAATGAAGATGAGATGAAGTTGGGTTGTCACTAAAAAAGAAAATAAAACAATGTTTACTTTTGTTTCCTTTTACTATGACTATGACTAGATTCCGTTCGGTTTTAAGACATGCATGTTTCATTATGCTTGAATGATGATTCGCTCTTTAAGAATTGCATGTCTTCTCGCTCTTTATTATTCGGTTCGGTTTTAACAATTGCATGTTTCCTTGTCTCATTGCATGTTTGATTATGCTTGAATGATTATGTTGTCCTTTTTCAAATGATGATGTCTTATAGTGTTTCTTTTCAAACATAGGCTAGGCTCTCTAAGTGTTTGTTTGTGTGTAGGAGGTGAATTTCTAGCAACTACGGGATTGAATCACGAGGATGCAAAAATGCATCAAAACGGTTGAAGAAAATGAAACTAATTACTAAATCTTGGTAATGGTTAGAATCACAGAACAAGATACGTGAAGTATACCAATTAAGATCAAAGTTTAAGTTACATTTGATTTATTTTGAGAAAAAAAATATGTTAGGTGATTTTGATGTTATGTTTTTAAAATCCCTTTTCCAATACAACCCCTTAATTTGGTGGAGTAATTATAACATATGTGTATCATATCATCTACCACTAGGAACGTTAAAGAAAAGAAAATACCAATCTTATGTGTTACAGATCAACATCATAAGCTTAAATATAACTCTAAATAGAAACTAAAACCGGACATCCTACAGAAAATGGACTAAAGGAGTGTATATTGAGATTCTTTTTATCCGGGCCGATCAGACCAGAAAGAGTGAGCGGCTAAAACTCTATCAAGAAGCTCTTGAGGCACAGGTTCGCCTCTCCTTTGCCTTGCTGATATCTTTGCCGTGTGGACCAACGTTTTCCATTTATCCTGTTTTTAGATGACACATATGGTATTGAAGATTCTTGTTTTTTCATTTTACTAACAATAAAATCAGCTGGTTATATATATACTCCATCCGTTTCATAATAAGTGTCGTTTTAACTCTTGACTTACCCAATGTATCTAGATGTATTAAGAATCAAAACACATCCAAATACATTAATAAATAATCCAAATTCATTTTGTCAAAACAACACTTATTATGAAACTGACGGAGTATTAGATTATTTCTAAAAAACCGTACTTTGAGGTCAACGTAAGTTCGATGATTTGCATGGTGAAATGCATGAGACTTAACGTCGCGCCACCTGTAAAGCATCAAGGCGCAACTGGATATTTAACAAACCAAAACCTCAAGGCATGAAGTTTAGAGCTTGAAGATTAATTAATTACCTTCCGGTGCCGATACTTTCTACGGCCTGAACCAATGCTTCTACTTCTGAGACAGTGAATGGCCGTCTGATTCTCCGTTGAACCGTCTCTGGCTGCGCCGCTGGTTTCATGCGAACCGGAACCACAGATTTAGCTACCACCATTTTGGTGCTCTCCACAAACCCTGGAACCCTAATTTTGTATATAAAAACCAAAAAAATAAAAACATGATATTTCTGACCACGGTTTTTTTAAAAGTACTAAACACAACAATGTTAGAAATGCTTATTCATATATATTTTCTTACAGCAGTATAGTTGATACAAAATAAAACCTGATTTATAAATGAGTACAAAAAAAACTACTGCTTTTATCAATTTGTGTACCTAAGTCGCGTTTTCGGGCAAGTAGCATTTAACGTTGTTGTTATTTCTGATTCCCTTGGTTCTAGTGTGAATCCCAAAGAGCTGAAGTTGTGGTTGTTGTCATCATCATCACGAGGGATCCCAATCTGAAGAAGCGTTTTGGAGTCATCTACAATGGTTTTACCTCAAAGAATCACTCCAATATTTAGTCCATCCTTAAGAATCCTTGTTACTGCCTCCGATACCGCTTCTTTAAGTGACCCTACCGTTGCTGATTCGGGAATGTCCACTAATAGCTCCGATATTTTCAACGATTTGATACCAAATTTTACTGCAAAATACGACAAGATCGAATCTTATCGTAAATAACAATTGTTCATATAGATTCAACCTCCAAAGATACATGATCCATACCGGTACATGGAGCATCACGTGAGTTAGGTCGATGATTTTGGTAAAACAACTTTCTTTTCTTCAGTGGATACATATTCTGCGATTCTTGGCTACTACAACCTTGCTCTTTCGTGGCGATCAATATCTTTCTTTTCCCGTCTACATAAATCAAAATATTTTTCTTAATTGAAAAAAGTCATTCTTTTATGTAATAAAGCTTGTGGTACAATCGTACAAGTAAAGCTAGCGAGTAACTTTATCTTACGGATACTGGAGTTTTCTTCTTGTGTGATAGGAGAGCTAGAAATGGAAGGACCAAGAGCTAACCAGTCCTTAGACAACAACACCTGAGAAGGTTTCTCCCGATCACAAGGTTGAGACTTAACCTCAACTTCCATTGTCTCCAAAAAGTTATTAACGACGAAATCGTTCTTTGTCTCCTTTGTTTCATAGGCATTGGAATAACCTGAGAATTTTCCGGCCGCTTGGGCTAAAACCTCGAACTCTGATCTATGTTTTTGCCTGCGTCTCTGGAAATACGAAAAGAGGTATGATCGAGTAAGCCAGTTTTATGTAACTTGTGAAAGAAGGAAGTGTAGTCTTGTCGGAATAGTTATACGCACCCTGGGTGATCTATAAGCCCTGGGAACCACAGGAAGTTGGTAAGCATCGTAACCACAATCCAGCATTGTCCTTGCGACACACGAAACTACAATTTGCTTACGTTAATCAGCTTGAACCTGTGGAATTTTTTCAATCATTTGTTTACACAAATCATATCAGATCCTAGAACACAAAACTATGAGGAAAATCAAATCTAGAAGAAAAAAAAAAGCGTTAGATATAATCACATAAAGCTACACAACCTTATGAATGATCGTCTCTCTATTGTTTCTCTGAATTGCTTTCGTTTGGTTTTGTGCGAGAAAAGAAAAGTGAGATTTATGTTAGAACTTGTTCGTGAAATGAAATATATAGAAAGATGTAAGCCGTAAAACACCCGCCTTTAAAGTTGGGTTTGTGTCTGAACAAAAACCCCATGAAACCACAAAAATTCTTTACCAAAAAAGAAATACCAACGTTTCAACAACATCTGTCAAGATCTAATTAGTCTGAAATTATCAGTAAATTAAAAACGTTTTCTTATTCTTTTTCTCTGAAGACAAGCAATTTTTTGTGTGGGGCTAAAACTAACAAACGTTTTTTTATAGCTTTTAGCCCTAAAACCCTCCTCCGAACACTTTGGACCAGTTCTTCCGTTCCGGGTTAGGTGATCCACTACTTCTTTTAATATCAATCCTTGTTTTGACACGTGAATGACCCTTAAATCGCACAAAACTGAGGGCTAGATTTGAATATTTAGCTTAGTTCACGGGTTAACTCGCACAAAACTCTTGTGGAGTGGCTCTCCGGTACACGCTAGGCTTCTTCTCTCTACAATAAGCAAAATGAGATGCACCCGACAAATCTTTAATTTGCGCAATACATATTACATATCACGGTACAGCAAATTCAATAACATAACATGGTCCAACATTATCATCATCACAATCCTGATGAATCTTGGAAAAAAGAAAAAGCAAAGTTTGAAAAGGAAACACACATAAGTAATATTAGGATATAACAATATGCAACTTTCGTCATATATCACTCTCCGTCTCTGGCACTCAAATTTCTTCTTCCTCCTCTCGTGCCACCTTCTCCAGACATTCCTCCATCTCTCTAGCCACATTATCCAGTATCTGCTCCACCCAGTCCACATCAAGCCAAGCATCTCTGATGAACACCAGAGTAGCACGTGCCTTGTCAGTTAGAAAACGGGCTAAACTGAATAAAAGCTAAATGGAATAATGATTGAGAAAATAACAATGTCGAAATTTTATTTGATATGGTTCTAAATGGTTTTCTATGTTTATAATATGTTTGATTTTTCCTTCTGTCTGATGATGACTGGATGAAAAGGTCAGCGTAGATGGAATAGTGTTACTAAAATATTGTTATATATATATATGATTAAATAATAAGAGCTAGTTATTATCATCCAAGTTTCTGACAAAAAAATATGAGCTAGCTAGTTTAAGAGTTTCTCAATTCAACAAAGAATGGATGGAACAAAATAATTCTGAATAATGTTTTTTTTTGTTAAGTTTTTTTCTCATTTGTATTCAGAACATTATGTAATAGAAGTCATTTACACAATTTTTTTAAGCTTTTACATTTTTAATTGAACCACACTGATTTTAAATTATACACAAAAAGTGTACAAAAATCCGAAAACATTGGACTAACATCTGCATTCTAACGGTGAAAACCAACAATTTGTCAGATTCCTTTCTTTTAAGCCCTATAAAGAAATCCCTAAAATCACTCACTAAGATCTATAAGCACACAGAAGCAGAGGCAAGGGAAGAGAGACAGACGCAAGCAACGGCGAGAGCTAGGCAAGAGAAACAGAAACACAAGCAAAGCCCTAAACACACAAAAGTAAATCTCACTTCTTCCGTTGATTCGTTCCGTTTCCAGCGAGAGAAAGAAACAAACGACGAGCAAGGCACACACCAGAGAGCGATGCTAAAAGCTGTAACTTTAAAGAAAAAGATACTTTTTGCGAATTTACTTTTTAACCCAATGCCATATGTTGTTGTCTAAAAAGAAGAATAAAATGTATTTTAACAAATTCTATTTAGATTAAATAGATATTTCTAATTTATATTATAGCTCTTGCAAGAAATGGCATGGTCAATAACACAAGAACATGTGGACACTCCAAGGGTTCCAAGGAATTTTATGGCCGAACCACGTATATATGGTGAATATTGCCACGTAGATGGGACATGGAAAGAAACAGAACCTTGTGCAGGACTCGGATGGTTTTACCATAATCGGGAAATGAGAGAACAATTTATGGGAGGCACTGGTTTGGGCTATGCAATGCAATGCATGCTTCAGTACAAAAAAACGTAATGGTTTTCGAGACAGAGCTCGGATGTAATTAAGATGGTGTCTAACCCAACAGAGTGGCCAACGTTTTCAATCCTCCTTGAAGAAGTAGACAGATGCAGACGCAAGTTTCTATCCTGCAACTTCCATCACATTTCCAAAGACGAAGAACACGAAGGCAGACAAGCTAGCACGCAGTGCACGAGATCTCCTTCATAATATGTATTATATAAATTTTGTTCCGCCGATTTGATTCTTTGAGCCTTTCTAAAAAACATAAACTCTTGACAAATATATATATTTCTAATGCGTCACATAACCAAATACAAACAAAAAAATATTTTTAATTTGTCACGTCTACGGTGACGTGGACAAAGTTACTAAAAGTTTGAAGGAATCACAATCCATGTTGAACTTTATAGTGCATATAAAACCAAACAAAAAAACTTTATAGTGCATACCCTACATTTATACCAACGTTTTTCTTTTAATATGTTGGCTTGCTCTGGGTTTATAGGATTTAGTTTTTTACATTGCCCTACAAGAAAATGATTAAAATGCACCACAGTCCCGTTATATAACAAATATGTAAACAAAGTATGTAATCTGATATATCAAAATAATAAAAGGCTTCACGGACATTAAATTTTAAATGAACAACTTCTGAAAACACACAGATGATTACTCTGGCTTTAGAAAAATGTATGAACTATATAACATTTCATATCAATTATTTAGACTAACCAATATTTTAGAATTTAGACAGCAATTGCTTATTTCTTTTATAATGTTCAGATGAGCTATTAATTCTTGCTCCCCGCACAGAGTGAGAGACATCATCTCTCAACCACATATTTAGAAACACCCTCTCGTCTGACGTGGCATCACCGCGACGCCCATTCTCTCTGCGCCACTCGTTCGGACACGTGACGTTTCCTAAATGGCCCCCACTCTCCCGAAAACTCTTGATTCTGATTCTGGTTTTGAAAGCTTGCGGTTTTTCCATTTATTATTTTTTTTCTTCTCTTTGTTTTACTCTCTTGAGAATTACAATTAATCTACGTTATCCTACTTGCTGATCTTATTGGTTTTGCTCTTTCTTTTTTCGTGTTTTGGGGTCTGTGATTGGATTCTGTTTCTTGAGTCATGTTTGATTGGGACGAAGAAGTGGTAAATGTTCATCTGTGCTAATTGCTTTACATTACATCGCTTTTTTTGATATGGCTTATATATCCGATCACAGGAATTGAAGATCGAATGTTATCCAAATTGTATGTAACTTGTGGAAGAAGGAAGTAATCTTTTCTGAATACTTATACGCACCCTGTGTGATCTATAAGCCCTAGGGCTAGGAACCACAGGAAGTTGGTAAGCATCGTAACCACAGTCCAACATTGTCCTTGCGACACACGCAACTACGTACAATATGATTACGTTAATTAATCAGCTTGAACCTGTGGATTTTTTTAATTATTATATGTATACAGAAATCATATCAAATCCTAGAACACAAAACATTGATGAGGAAAACCAAATCCACAAGAAAAAAACGTTGGATATAATCACATAGAGCCACACGACCTTATGAATGATCGTCATCTCTCTATCGTTTCTCTAAATTGCTTTTGTTTGATTTTATGCAAGAAAAGAAAAGTGAGATTTATGTTAGAACTTGTTGTTTGTGGGAAATGAAATATATAGAAAGATGTAAGCCGTAAAACACCCGCCTTTAAAGTTGGGTTTGTGTCTGAACAAATACCCCATGAAACCACAAAACTTCGTTACCAAAAAAGAAATACCAAAGTTTCAGAAAAATATTGAGCTCAATTTCAACAACATCTGTCAACATCTAATTAGTCTGAAATTTTCAGTAAATTAAAAACGTTTTCTTATTCTTTTTCTTTGAAGACAAGCTCTTCTTTGTGTGGAGCTAAAACTAACAAACGTTTTTTTAAGCTTGTAGCCCTAAAACCCTCCTCCGAACACTTTGGACCAGTTCTTCCGTTCCGGGTTAGGTGATCCACTACTTTTTTTTAATATCAATCCTTGCTTTGACACGTGAACGACTCTCCATTACTCTTGGATAAATCTCATCTCATTCACTAATGTTTTCTCGTTGTGGATCGGGTTTCTTTTTGGGTCACGTATAATTTACGTAGCACAACAATGGAGTGTTGTTTTGAATCGGGACCATGATAGGACATGGCGATCAGTTAGAAGAACTTGTTGAATCAGATGAGATGCTAGGCTTCTTCTCTCTACAATAAGCAAAATGAGATGCACCTGACAAATCTTTAATTTGCGCAATACATATTACATATCACGGTACAGCAAATTCAATAACATAACATGGTCCAACATTATCATCATCACAATCCTGATGAATCTTGGAAAAAAAGAAGAAGCAAAGTTTGAAAAGGAAACACACATATATAATATTAGGATATAACAATATGCAACTTCGTCATATATCACTCTCCGTCTCTGGCACTCAAATTTCTTCTTCCTCCTCTCGTGCCACCTTCTCCAGACATTCCTCCATCTCTCTAGCCACATTATCCAGTATCTGCTCCACCCAGTCCACCTCAAGCCAAGCATCTCTGATGAACACCAGAGTAGCACGTGCCCTGTCAAAACAAGACTTTGAGATTTCTTGAGGAGGCTTGGACAGTGAGTCGAGCAGGCCAGTAAGGAGGTACAGGAACGCTTGCTTCACACATGGGTCCAGATCAGTTCCAAGCATGAAGCTTGATGCAGTGTCTGGGTGATTCTCTAAGAATAGCCTCATGGCTGGGACCTGAGGGTGAAAGAGAAGAACAAGTAAGCTGCAACCGATAAACACAAAAGCCAAAAGACAAGACTACAAAGTCAGAGTCGTTCGTTTGTAGTTTACCTCTGAGGGAAGAAGTGGAATCCCGTAGACATGAATATGACTATGGTCACCTTCACATAGACTTATCTCTTCCAGGTGTTGGTTTGGGTCCTCTGATACGCAGCTATCTTCATCTTGTGCCACCTCAACCACCACACCTTCCTCCATCTGTCTAGCCACATAATCCAGTGTCTGCTCAAACCAGTCCACCTCAAACCAAGCATCTCTGATGAACACCAGAGAAGCACGTGCCCTGTCGAAACAAGACTTTGAGATTTCTTGAGGAGGCTTGGACAGTGAGTCGAGCACGCCAGTAAGGAGGTACAGGAACCCTCTCTTCATACATGGGTCCAGATCAGTTCCAAGCATGAAGCTTGATGCAGTGTCCGGGTGATTCTCTAAGAATAGCCTCATGTATGGCACCTGAGGGTAAAAGAGAAGAACCAATTGTAAGCTGAAACCGACAAACAGAAAAAACCACATGACAAAAGTACAAACTCAACGTTGTTTTCTGTTTGACCTCTTGGGGAAGAAGCGGAATCCCATAGACATCAATACGTTCGTCATCTCCACCTAGATTGATCGCTTTACAAACATATCCATCCTCGCCGAAATCTAGAATAAGCTTAATCTCCACAACAATCTTGACTTGTCCATCCCGTACAAGTCCACCATATTTGGATTGAAATGGGCCAAGGTTAATAGGGGTTGCACCACTATGGGTATGGTTTTTGACGTCAAACCAGGCTTGTTTTTCGGTAGAAACGCGAAAGTATTCTTCCAGGTGGCAAGCTTTCACTTTAGAATACCGATTTAGTATGGTGAAAGAAAACTTTGCGAGTCTTCTCCATCCCAAGGGCAAATCTTCAGCACCATCAACCGCCAGATACAGATTCACAATCGTCATGGCCTTGGATTGGACCTTAGCACGCCTGTAAGCCAATATAAATAGAAAACAATCGAATAAACATCTGTCAAGTAAACCTAATAAGATCTAAACTGGAGCAAGAAAACATTGGATCACGAAACATCTACAGATCTAATAAGAAGTTAAGAACAAATAGCATGTCTTTTCTTACCATCTACAGCCACCGATCACGAACGGATCAGACCAGATAGTCTGCGTTCTAAAAGGGGGGAGGTTGTTAATCAGCCATGTGTACTTGTTGGCGACTGGATCCCTCGTCGAACTTGAAGAATCCATCGCAGCCGCAACCAAAATTAGAAGATGATGAAGATGAATTGAAACCCTAGCTGGTCTTATAAAACCCCCGCTTCTCTATGCGTTTGTGTTAGTACTGGTCTTATCACATATGGACGCCCAGTTTAAAAAAAAAAAAAAAAAAAAAAAAAAAAAGCGGCGTGGAGGCCTATGTCGCACCCTGGGTGATCTATAAGCCCTAGGACTAGGAACCACAGGAAGTTGGTAACCACAGTCCAACATTTTCCTTGCGACACACGCAACTACGTACACTATGCTTACGTTAATTAATCAGCTTGAACCTGTGGAATATTTTTAATTATTTCTATACAGAAATCATATCAAATCCTAGAACACAAAACATTGATTTGGAAAATCAAATACAGAAGAAAAACACGTCTCTATCGTTTCTCTAAATTGCTTTTGTTTGATTTTGTGCAAGAAAAGAAAAGTGAGATTTATGTTAGAACTTGTTGTTTGTGGGGAATGAAATATATAGAAAGATGTCAGCCGTAAAACACCCGCCTTTAAAGTTGGGTTTGTGTCTGAACAAAAACCCCATGAAACCACAAAAAATCTTTACCAGAAAAGAAATACCAAAGTTTCAGAAAAAAATTGAACTCAATTTTAACAACATCTGTCAACATCTAATTAGTCCGAAATTATCAGTAAATTAAAAACGTTTTCTTGTCCTTTTTCTCTGAAGACAAGCTCTTTTTTGTGTGGGGATAAATCTCATCTCATTTACTAATAACTAGGCCAATGCCCGCGCATACGCCCGGGTCTTTGTAATTATATGTTTTATTTAGAAATTATAGAGAGGCTAAGTTTAATGAGAAAATTTGTTCTTCTGTCTCATAATGAAGTGTGATTGAGATCGTCTTCTGGTGTTGTAATGACTGCTAAAGTACATACTGTGAATACTCTAAATTTGTTATTCTTCTGAAGCCATAAAAGTGGACAATATAAGCGACATTTTCTTTCAGAATTTGTGAAGGTGAAGTATTTGTAAGGCAATATATTATTGTATTACCCTTATCAGTTATCACCAACCCAGTAGCGTAATTAAAACCAAAAAAAAAAAAAAAAAAAAAAAAAAAAACCCAGTAGCGTAAACAAATTTAAATGTTGTAAAATGTATTTCCTGGGTTACGACGTGTATATTCAAACAATTATTAAAACTAAACTATTGAAACGTAAGTGAACGCATGGTAAAATTGGCAACGTCAATTGAACGTATGAAAACATCGAAAACGTAGGAGGCTTGACCTCATTTGCGTTGGCGTCTACTCCTCTGCAAAAATTTAGGCTAGTGCAGTTAGAAAAACTAAATCTCGGAAGCTCTTTCTTTCGTGTTATTATAAACTCTGTCACTATACCTCCGTTTAATGATTGTGATGTTAATGCACATTTCATTTCACCTCTTGTTTCTGCACCTTATGCTCCTCTTCTAGGCAATATACTATATTGAAGTAAAAATGTTAGTAGTTGCTTCATAGGAAGACAATTTATTACAAGCTGATTTAACGTGTAGTTGATTTACCTTCTCGTTGAGACCTAATGTTATTGAATATCTCTTTGTAGACAATATTTGTGATGCCTGTTCTCTGTCCATGCCGCCTATTTCCATTGTAGATTTTGAGACCATTCATTGATGTAACTCTTGAATGGTCAGAGATACATGTTGGTGGATTACCTGCAGAGCTTTTAGGCGGACAGTGATGCGGTGAGTGGAGGTGGGTTTTAACATATGCTAAAACCTGGTCGTAGGTGTCGTCGACACGGAATTTGTTTTGGCCAATCTGCAGCCAACGGCTCATGACCGGTGTGAAAGTTGTATTGTCATTGAATGTCAGCACAAATGGATGGTCGGTAATTTTGTGGTGTTATGTGCATGGCTTCACTATAAAACCTGCTAGGTTGAAAATGACACCCTCCTGAACCGTATGATAGTGTTGGTGGAAGGAAGCAATGAATCATGGAATCCTGATCGAGAGTAAAACAGGAATGTTAGGTTGGGACAGGTTTGTGGTTGATAACACACATGCATATCTGTGAAAAAAGTAATTTATAGTAAATACCTTTTCATCAAGCATGACGACAGATATCCCATGAAGTCGTCATAATCACTGCGGACCTCCCAAGACCGATCACCCTCGCAACAACGTGCTGTTGTTTCAAGTCAATGCATAGCTCATCGAATGTGACATAAGGACCGAGCGAGAGAGCCATTGAGAAGTGGGAAATAATCTACGATTGGCTATAAAACGAAGGGCGTTTGGTATTGTTGAGAAATGTAGTAGCTCCTCTAAAATCATACTCTGTATTTATAGTGTCGATGGAGTTTAATTGCGGATGGGATGATGCGATTAATGGCTTGTTGTGGGGAAGTAGCAATGATTTTAGGGAGATGAACAGGTTTTGGGAGTTGCTGGTGGGTTTTCAAGTGTAAAATTTAGGGAGGGTGTAACGGTTGAAGGATGAGGAGCGACATGACTTTATCTGTGTGAAGGGTGGCGTCTGATTTTCAATTAAAGTCAAGAAGGTCTTAATATGAGAAGTAATTGTTGGGAATTTAATAGTAGTGGCGTTACGAGCAATCGTATTAAGGAGGTGAAGCTGTATACCTGGGTGAACAATCGAATCCAGCGGTTTCGGCTTCAACGGTGTGAACCCAGATGCGAAATGCGAATTTCTGACTGAACCAAGTGAAGCCCACTTGATTTGATTTTCCGGTAACGCTTCTGAGAGCTCACTTTCGGCATTTCGTTGCGAGGAAGATGAAGATGCAGAGAAGAGGAAATTAGATTTTAGAAAGCGGAGGAAATTAATATTTGCTTTGTTTTCTTTAACGATATGCCACGTGTCGGAGTTTTCTGTGTCCACGTGTCATAAATCTGGAGAGGGGCGGCCACTATTCATATATATGATTTCTCGTTGTGGATCGGGTTTCTTTTTGGGTCATGTATAATTTACGCAGCACGGAGTGTACGTTGTTTTGAATCGGGACCATGATGATAGGACATGGCAATCAGTTAGAAGAACGTGTTGAATCAGATGAAAACGGGCTCAACTGAATAAAGCTGGATGGAATCATGATTGCAATAATATTGTGGTCAGTTTTAAAGAGATAAGAATTATGTTGAAAAAATAACAATGTCGAAACTATATGGGATATGGTTCTAAATGGTTTTCTAAGTTTCGAATATGTTTGATTTTTCCTTCTTCTCCTTTCTTCTGATGATGATTCGATGAAAAGTTCAGCGTAAAGGGAATTAGTTATTAAAATATTGCTATATGGTTAAACAATAAGAGCTAGTTAAATTACCATCCAAGTTTCTGACAAAAAAAAGAAGAGCTAGTTAGTTTGAGAGTTTCTCAATACAACAAAGAATGGATGGATCGAACAAAATTATTCCGAATATGTATTTCACTCATTTATAATTATATATTCTACTAGTTCCTCTCATGTAAACCATTTAGAACCTAAACAACATTTTAGTAATATGCTTAATTGCTTACGTAAATTGAATTTTTGGCAAAATATAACTTTCGTAAGAACTCTGGAAAGAGGAAGACACTAAATTTATACCGACATCTTGATTAAGCTTCACGCTATTGGAATGCTTGGTCATCAATTTTTTCATCAAAATATCATACTACTGTATATCGAAACGTTTTTGGAATTAGCACACCACCACCATTCAATAAAGTAATCGATATAAAATCAGTATATATACAAACAAAAAAAAAAAAAAAAAAAAAACAAAGGAATAATTAAAGACGCAAGCTTGGTGTAAAAGAAAAAAAGAAAACAAATAGATAGACGACACTAACTCATATAGAGAAAAGTTCTAGCACTATAAGATAGGAAATAAATTAAGTCGTATTTAGAAGAAAACAATACACAAAAAAACAAAATATTTGTAAAAGCTACGACGATTTTTTTGTGTTAAACAATGGTCGGTATCTATTGACTATTGCTTTGATAAAAGTTCAACAAGTTTTGAAAGAGACAATTTTTCAGTTTTTGCATTTGATGTTGAGGTTTGATCTCTTTTGTATATCCAAATGAAAGTCTCTTTTGCAAAAAATTGAAAATCTGTATTCAAGTAACAAGTTTGAATGGAAATAAAGTCGTATTGGTCCAACAAATCTATAAGAAAATATAATAAACACATACGATATTTTTGTGTGTGCTTAGTCATCACCAAAACCCTAATGTTAATTATTTTTGGTTGTGTTATGGAAAATTGTTTTACTGGTAGGATTAGGAAACCGTGTGGACTCAACCGTGTGATGTGTTGTATAAATATTTGGTGAAGACAGCTGACTAACTCTTTGCTTTGTCTTTTGTTTTCAGACACAATCTGCAAAAGATAATTTCTTTTTTTTTGTGTAGAGAACTTGCTTTAGCTCTCCAAACTCTAAAACCCGCGTAAGAGAGAGATCAAAAGCAAAATCTAATTTCTCTCTACACACAGAAATCTCAAAATCTCTCGAATTTCAGTTCAAAGCTCGGATTTTTAGTTGAGTCCATCCATGGGTGAGAAAGATTCAGAGACAGCTCCGATTTGGGGGAAAACCCAACAGAGAGAGAGCAGCAACGTACACCCAATGGATTTAGAATCGTCTTCTCTATCTGGTCAGCAGCAGAATCGATCGCAGAGTCAGAGTCGAAGCTCTTACGAAGAACGAGGAAGAGGAGTCAAAGAGTTTAGGAGCTGGTTCGCTTGGCTCATACCGTGTTTCGTGATCGCTAACGTCGTCGTCTTCGTCATCACCATGTATGTCAACAATTGCCCGAAGAAATCTGGAGACTGTTTCGCCGGTTTCCTGGGTCGATTCTCGTTTCAGAGCACCAGAGAGAATCCTCTTCTCGGTCCTTCCTCTCTCACGTAAGCTTCTTCTTCTTCTATTGTTTCCTTTTTGCTTCTCCAATCAAAGAGCTGATTTTGACCGAGTCAATCCGACAATTTCTTACCAATTTAAGCACTAAAGTATGCTCTACTTGGAAGAAGTAGTTTTTAGTGTGAGTCAACGATGTGGAAGATGTCATATTTATGTTGAATTGTAGAATCATGAAAAGTCGAGTTAGAGAAAGTGTGTTTCTTTTTCCTCATCCTTTAAATTTTGAATTTTTTTTTGGAGATTGATTTTGGTTAATTTTTCAATTTGGTAAACAGATTACGAGAAATGGGAGGATTAGATGTGAAAAAAGTGGTTGAAGGAGATGAAGGATGGCGTCTACTTTCTTGCAACTGGTTACATGGAGGAGTTGTTCATCTACTTGTGAACATGTTGACTCTTTTGTTCATCGGTATTCGTATGGAACGCGAATTCGGTTTCAGTAAGCACTCTCTCTTCCTTTCCTCAATCGATTTCGTTACTTTTGTGAACAATGATGAAATGTGTGTATAATAACCTTCTGTGTTTTGTTGTTTCTCAGTACGGATTGGATTGCTTTATCTGATATCTGGCTTTGGAGGAAGTGTATTGTCAGCTCTGTTCCTCCGGTCAAACATCTCCGTTGGAGCATCTGGTGCTGTGTTTGGTTTGCTCGGAGGCATGCTCTCTGAGATCTTTATCAACTGGACAATCTATTCTAACAAGGTACCAACAATTATCTCTTGTAAAGACTAAAGATTGTGACTTTAATATTTATGTTTTGATGATTCACAAATGTTTTGTGTGTGTTTAGGTTGTGACGATTATAACTCTTGTAGTGATTGTGGCGGTGAATTTGGCACTCGGTGCGCTTCCTGGAGTAGATAACTTTGCTCATATCGGAGGGTTTGGTACCGGTTTTCTTCTTGGTTTTGTGCTCTTGATCCGTCCGCATTACGGATGGATCAACCAGAGAAACGCTCCTGGAGCTAAACCACGCAAGTTCAAATTGTATCAAGCCATATTATGGACCGTCTCTCTCCTCCTCTTGCTCGCTTGGTAAGTATTTGTTTACCATTAACACTTAAAGATCTTTGTCTCTTTGATCAATTAAGACTTGACTGTGTTCTTTCTTTTCCTTTGTCAGGTTTATTGCTGGTTTGATCTCTCTGTTCAACAATGTTGATGGAAACAAACATTGCTCGTGGTGTCATTACCTTTCATGCATTCCAACTTCTAAATGGAGCTGTAACCGAGAGCCAGCCTCTTGCACGGTAAAATATCTCTATCGCCATTTTCGTACTCTTGTTATCTAATCTCCTCTTGCAGTGTCTCTAATCAACATTCTCTTTCTGTTTTGTGTTTGATGCAGACGACTCAATTAGGAAACAATTTGAGCATGACATGTTTGAGGAACGGGAAATCGGCATCATACATGTTACCAAATCCATCGGATGCACGGATTAATAGCTTATGCGTTCAGCTTTGCCGTTGATTCACTGCTTTATAGCTTTATAGAGTACACTACACACATGACACATACACACACTCTCTTCATTGTATCTTTTCTCTCTCGATTCTTTCATGCTTATTGTGTATATTTATAGGAACCCTTTGTTGAACAAATAAATAATACAATGTTGTCCTGATTTACATTTGGTTTTGAGATCTCTGGTACTTTTTTTTTCATATAGACCCTTGCTGGATCCAGTTTTAGTAGATCATTTATGATACCAAGTTTTCTCTTCTCTTTGAATCATTGTGTCCTGTGCTGATGTTTTCAGCCATATGTGTTTTTAAACAGAACTCCATTGATGCATTGCAAAAAAGTAAATTGAAAAATGTATACGTACATTTACTTCTAAACAGAAAATAAAAATAGTGATAGAACTTCGCCGACTGTGGGGATCGAACCCACGGCCACGGGATTAAAAGTCACGCGCTCTACCACTGAGCTAAGTCGGCGTCGATGCTCTAGTTGTATTTTAACTTTAATAACATGTAATAGAAATAGCGATGCATAAAAGAATGCCATTGTTTCTTGAAAGATTCACAACATAGAAACCCAACATTAGAAGCATTATTGAACATATCATGTTGGTAGCTATATAACATCAATTCGGCTTATCTGTGAGAAGAGGCACTGAGGCAAACCATAGTTTGCCAAAACTTCTTAGTTCACTCATCAAATTGGATGAACTATAATTAAAAAAAAAAGCACACACACAAAAAAAAAACATGTAGAGATCATTGTTGGCTCATAAGGTTTTGATATCCTCGTTGAAATGTATTGACCGCAGCTCAACCGGGTCGAGCTCTCTCACAAATGTCGGGCGATAGAATCCCGTTTCCGGATCAGGCATCCACCATAACTCTTCTCCTCTTCTCATCTTGACATCACTTTTACAGGTTGTCATCATGTATGGATCTAACTCTTTTGCTATGGTTTCAGGTCTGTAGTATCCGGTATCATGGTCTGCTGTCCAAGATACCTTCTCTCGGCCTTTTCCGATTGCATATGCCCTCTGAGAGGCTTGTGTGCTAAAAATGTGTCTTCTCCTACAAATTTAGAAAGAAAACAAACAGTTTACATTCATTTAAAACGCCATTTACTCAAAAGTACCAACAACTTTTCTAAAATTCTAGGTTATTCTTATGGTTTGACTTACACGGCGGTTATGTTATTGATGGAGCGAGAGAACTTTTTGAGATTGAAAAGCGATTGACCCATTAATCCCATCATAATTTCAAAGGAAAGGTTAAGTGTAAAAATAAGAGAATGATCTATATGTTGGGAAGATATATAGGTTATGTGTGTTTGCTGGAAGGTAATCTATAAGATGATTTATTTATACAAGTAACTTGCTACTATGTAATACGAATTTGTTGTGAAACTAATACGTTTGACTCTGTAATGTTGATTAGACTTTAGACTTTGGAGTTTGGAAAGAACAAACTAAAATATTGACAGGTTCTGGCTGTAAGAAAACAAATATATTTATAAATGGTGGGGAGTAGTGTAAGAGAACTAGTAGTTGCTTGCCCGATCAGACGTCAAAGTTAAAAAAACAGAGAAGAAAACTACAACCTGGACAAGTACACATAATCTTGCTTAGATTTGTAAGAGTTTAAGCGAAGGTAATATGTATATATATTTTTAATTTAAACAATATTTGTTCAATGAATTGGTCTCTATGCATTATGTGAAAAGGTCCATAGGTTCAACGATTTCTCTGAATATATTATGGGAGAAGGTCCATAAGATCAATGGTTTCTCCGAACAGTCAAAATCGTTTTGAAGGGTCAATAAAAAACGGCTTTTGTGCGAATCAAACAATAACATTTTTGTTTAGCTTAACTAAATAACTGATCAATCGTAGGAAGAATAGATCAGGCATATCCGATATATACCTCAAACATCATTTAGCGGTTTATGGTTTTGTTCAGATATGAAAATAATGTAACCAAAAATACATGTTTTTGGTGGGAAAAGGTCTTTCGAGTGAACTTACTAAACACCCTTGATTTCTCGTTTAATTACATCATTTGCCACTGAGCCACACCGGCAAACAAAGCTAGTCCGGCGTCTGTGACCGGCATTTTGATTTTCCATCGCCCTCTCGAATTTCGTGATTTTTTCCTAGTCGCACGCGATGTTGCACGAGCTTCTTCTAGCTCTCATAGGTTTCACCGGCGATCTTATCGTCGACGAGCGGGAGCAACGGAAAACCCTAGGCCTCGCCTTCCATCCCGATTCACCTCTCTCCGATGAATGTACCTTCAAACTCGCTCCCGACATCTCCTTCATCGAACCCAGCGAAAGGTAGTCTCTCCTCGCGATTTCTCTCTTCTTCTTCTTATCTGTGCTTCATGATCTACGAGATTGAGCTGATTTTGATTGGGTCTCGTGGTTATGCGCTGCTTGCAGGGACCTAATCGAGAGGTTGCTCAAGCTAGGGTTCTACTACCGTGAGCTCGACCGCTTTACTCAGAAATCCCGGAATTTGAGCTGGATTAGGTCTGTCACCAGCGCGCATCCGTTGGAACGAGCCGATGAATTGTCGAATCAGAGTAGAGAGAAGAAGCCTAGCGTGTACCGGAGAGCCATTGCTAATGGAATTGGGGAGATTCTTTCGGTCTACAGGTCTGCGGTTCTTCAAATTGAGCAGAAGCTATTGGCGGAGACGACGCCTATTCTGGCTACGGTTACGCAAGGGCTCAATAAGGTACATTTCTCAAGTCCAATACCAACACACTTCTCACTTGATGAATGAGCTTAGGAATATGATATGAGTGTGTGTTTATTGTCTAGTTTTTCGTTCTCTTCCCGCCTCTGTACGAGGTTGTTCTCGAGATTGAGCGTGATGATATTCGTGGAGGGCAGCTTCTGAATGTATTGAGTAAGAGGTGTCACTGTGGTGTGCCTGAACTCAGGACTTGTCTCCAAAGGTATTCTCTTGCTTTGTTCCTCGATGGCTCTATTACAGTATACTGAAATCACATTTACTCTAGCGTCACAACTTTTCAAAGATTTTGTATCATGTGTATTCTCATATCTATGTGTAGGCTTCTTTGGCATGGACACCAGGTTATGTATAATCAACTTGCGGCTTGGATGGTCTATGGGATTCTCCAGGATCCTCATGGAGAGTTTTTCATTAAGAGGTTACTGTGAATTTAAGTCCTTCCATCATTTTTGATTTTGAGATTGTTTGGTGCCATCTCATATTGCTTAGTGTCGCCATTAGTGGCCCTCATGAAATCTTATACCTTTCAGGTAGTAGCTGCTGTATACTAGTGCTAATGTAATTCTGATTTGCTTGCAGGCAGGAAGATGGGGATTTGGATCATCGCTCATCTCAGGAAGAAATATCTGAAAAGTTGGCTCGTACCTCAGTTCATGAGAGATCTTTAACTGATTGGCACTCTGGATTTCACATATCTTTGGTATTCTCCATGCCACTTTCTATTTTGATACAGGGCCATTTTTTATATTATTGATGTTTCTGAGTTTATATTGCAGGATATGTTACCTGATTATATTCCTATGCGTCTTGGTGAATCAATTCTTTTTGCGGGGAAAGCCATAAGGGTCTTGCGAAATCCCAGTCCTGCTTTCCAGTTCCAGAAAGACAAGGATTTTCAGCAAACAATGCGTGGTTCCCAACGAATCCGAGGATTTATGCATAGTGATTTCCCTGAGAAGGAGACTGAGTTAGATGCAGATCTTAGAGGAGAAGAGTTGCTTCCACAATCTGAGGCAGACAAGATCGAAGTTATGCTCAAAGATTTAAAGGTATTTGATTGGAGACTGTTTCATGGCACATATTTTTTTTGGTAGAAAGTGTATAAATCATGTTAACAAGGGGTTGATTTAGTTTTTGGTCATGGAACATGTGATTTTTCTGTTCATGCATGGAAATAGTATTTGCCTCTCTCCTAGGATCACGTTAGAGCTCTGATTTAATGGTTAATTTGTACTTCTACGTGCAGGAATCATCTGAGTTTCACAAGAGATCATTTGAATGCACTGTTGATTCTGTTCGAGCAATAGCAGCTAGTCATCTTTGGCAGGTTCTCACTTGACAACTTATGATTCTTAGATCTTTTAAATAAATTTTGTGTGTGACATCTCCTTCCTTTCTACAGCTTGTTGTTGTTCGTGCTGATCTCAATGGTCATCTTAAAGCTCTTAAAGATTATTTTCTCTTAGAAAAAGGAGATTTCTTTCAGGTAAATCGCTTAAAATATCTGTTGGCGTTCTTAAATGGAAAATAAGGGGTGATTTATGTCACTCCCGTTTGTCCATGTCCTCTTTTCTTGCATTAACGTCAGTAAATTACCTGTGGACATGTAACCTCACATCTCATGGACTTTCTGATTTCAGTGCTTTCTGGAGGAGAGTCGTCAGTTGATGCGTTTTCCGCCTCGCCAGTCAACTGGAGAAGCTGATCTTATGGTACCATTTCAGCTGGTATGTGGTTAGAAAAATTCATGATAAAAGGTCTGTTTAGATCAAATTTGTTTTGTAACTCTCTCTTTTGGGATCACACAGGCTGCAACAAAAACCATTGGCGAAGAAGATAAGTATTTCTCTAGGGTATCTCTACGGTGAGTAACACATCAAATCCTTTTTAACGAGCTTATATATTAGAATTAGATGGATCTTACTTCCAGCCTTTGAGCTAAGTGGAGAAGCACACAATAACTGTTCCTTGATTTGGCTGTTTCAACTGCTACTCTCATCAGGCTGCCTTCATTTGGAGTCACAGTCAGATCTTCTCAAGCTGACTTGGCGAGATCTAGAGCATCTTTCGCCGGGAAGGCAAATCTTACATCAGACACCTCTGTGGATGGATGGGATGCTATTGCTCTTGAGTATTCTGTTGATTGGCCCATGCAACTGTTTTTCACTCAAGAAGTGTTTTCTAAGTAAGAATCCTTGGTCCTTGCTTTTTATCTTCTTTTTCTTTTATTTTCCTAACTTCAAATTTCCTGCATTGATACTTAACTATAAACTAATCGGCTGATTAAACAATCTTAGTATGGCTTGTAGTAGGTGGTGCTTTGTCTGAGAGCTATAGACTTGTTTTGTAGGTATCTCAAGGTGTTCCAATATCTGATACGGCTGAAGAGAACTCAGATGGAATTGGAGAAGTCATGGGCTTCTGTGATGCATCAAGATCACATGGATTTTGCTCAAAATCGAAAACACGCTACAAATGGATCAGTATCTCAGCAAAGACGACAAGGAATACGACCCATGTGGCGAGTTAGAGAGAACATGGCGTTTCTGATAAGGAATCTTCAGTTTTACATTCAGGTAAAGTTACGATTCCTCCTAAGGGTTTCAAAGTTGGTGGCCTCAAGCCAGTTTGAAAAAAAAAAACGTCTAAACTTTGATTCTCTCTTCTGTCTAAAGGTTGACGTGATAGAATCTCAATGGAAGGTGTTGCAAGCTCACATCCACGATTCTCAAGACTTCACTGAACTCGTTGGCTTCCATCAAGAGTAAGTATATCCGATCCGATGCTTTGACTTTCCCTTTCATGTCTTCTTTAATGCTACGTGGATTAGGCATTTGGTTCTTCAATGCTACTTTTTGACAAATGCAGGTATCTCTCCGCTCTTATCTCCCAATCTTTCCTCGACATTGGTTCCGTCCCGAGGATACTCGACAGCATCATGAAACTCTGTCTCCAGTTCTGCTGGAACATTGAGAATCAAGAAAGCAATCCAAACACTACGGAACTTGAAAGCATCGCCGAGGTGCATCATCTTTTCGCATTCCAATAATAAACTATTTAAACACTGAAATGCTCACTCAGAAGTTTATTTATTTCCTTTGCTTTGTGGTGTTTAAGGAATTCAACAAGAAGTCGAATTCCTTGTACACCATACTGAGAAGCAGCAAGCTCGCAGGGAGTCAGCGAGCACCGTTCTTGAGACGTTTTCTTTTACGCTTAAATTTCAATTCCTTCTACGAGGTAAGTAAATTTTAATCAGAAGATTTAAGTTTTTTCTCTCTTTCGAAGAACTTGAGCTTCTCACTCTCTGTTTCCTGTTTGCAGGCAACTGCTAGGGTCGTATTAAACGTTGTCCGGCAACGTCCAGCTCTTCCATTGTAAATGTCCCATAGTTCTTGTCGGAGAATATTCGTTTCGAAGCATTTCCATACATGGGCTCTTGAGGTTTTGCAGCAGCTATGTAGATGTGGACAATTTTTGCTTACACGCGCCTTTCCTTTGTAAGATTATGTGTTGCTTCTACATTAGTCTTAAGAACACAAATTGCTTGTTGTGCGTTTCCTTCGAGCTTTAGAGATGTGATACTATGTAAATTATGTAGGGATGATTTTAGCTAGGTCTGGTTTGTTTGAATTTTTAACAATGTGATAAGCTTGGTGATGTGAGTTACTTCTCTTACTTCAATGCAAATGTTCATGATACAAACAGTTATCTTATGACAATGTCGATAATATATGAACTCACTTGAAATGTGATTTCGTTAGTAAAAGATAATTTATTAAAACATTACACATTTAATCAACTCACTAAACTTCAGAAAATTAGGTGTTCTTATTCACTCAAAAACAGTTATGTTATCCAACAGAAAGGAAAAAAAAAAAGGAACAGCATTTTTAACCATACTACAAACGGATACTGTAAGTTCTTCAAACTGTCTTAGGCCAGAATCCAAAAATAATGAAGAACAAAAACAAAGAGCAAGATAAAACCATTGGAAAACCCCCAAGGCTTCTCCGGAGGCAGCCTTAACTTCAAACTCAAAAGCATTTCCGGTGAACAATCGACGGGCCTGACTCATCATATTCCGCCTTTGCAATCCACATCTGCAAAAAAAATTTAAGATCAGTCAAAACTGCAACAAAGACCAGAAACTGGCTAGTATTATTTGGTTTGTGATTGGATTAGTTACCTGCTGGAAGGTACTGAGGGAGGCCAAGATGGATCCTCCAATCCAGACAGAGTATTTCCTCTCAGGCGGTGCAACGACTTTGATCTTCATGCTGCTCGGCGCCAAAGCAGTGATCTCTTTGCTCATTCTATCAGCAATCCCAGGGAACATAGTTGTCCCACCACTAAGCACAATGTTACCATACAAGTCCTTCCTGATGTCCACATCACATTTCATTATGGAGTTGTATGTGGTTTCATGGATACCAGCATTCTCCATACCGATCATAGACGGCTGGTACAGAACCTCCGGGCAACGGAACCGCTCAGATCCAATGGTGATCACTTGCCCATCAGGTAACTCATAGTTCTTCTCCACAGCAGAGCTGGTTTTAGCCGTCTCAAGCTCCTGCTCGTAGTCAAGAGCAATGTAGCAAAGCTTCTCCTTAATGTCTCTGACGATTTCACGCTCAGCTGTTGTGGTGAATGAGTAACCACGCTCAGTGAGGATCTTCATGAGAGCATCCGTGAGGTCACGACCTGCAAGGTCAAGACGTAGGATGGCGTGCGGGAGAGCGTAACCCTCGTAGATAGGAACCGTGTGGCTCACACCATCTCCAGAGTCAAGCACAATACCTACAAACATATAATCAACAGTTATAAACACATGTTCTTAATTCTTGAATCTGCAGATCAGAAATGTAAATATAAAGCCTATAGCCTAATGGATTCTGGACTTACCAGTGGTACGACCACTAGCGTAAAGTGACAGGACAGCTTGAATAGCCACATACATGGCAGGGGCATTGAAAGTTTCAAACATGATCTGAGTCATCTTCTCACGGTTAGCTTTTGGGTTGAGAGGTGCTTCAGTGAGTAGAATGGGATGCTCCTCGGGAGCAACACGGAGCTCATTGTAGAAAGTGTGATGCCAGATTTTCTCCATGTCATCCCAATTGTTGACAATACCGTGCTCAATCGGGTACTTGAGAGTTAGAATACCACGCTTGGATTGAGCTTCGTCGCCAACGTACGCATCCTTTTGTCCCATTCCAACCATCACTCCGGTGTGACGAGGACGGCCTACAATACTCGGAAACACAGCTCTCGGTGCATCATCCCCAGCAAAACCAGCCTAAATCAAAACAGAAGATAAGCCAAGTTAGAGATGAGGCTTATAGCTACATTGTTCATATGTCCAACATGATTCTCAAAGATTCAATTTTTAATCCAATTTGAAGATACACAGGCAAATACATTGAAATTTAGTGAAATGTTGGAGAATGTAAAGCAAAAGATTTTCCATTTAAGAATACCTTAACCATTCCAGTTCCATTGTCGCAGACAAGGGGTTGAATGTCTTCACCATCAGCCATTTTATACTTTCTGCAAAAAAGAATCATAAGACCAATTTGGGATATACAAGAATAATTGAAACGCAAATCAAGCAATGTGCTTTTTAATATATCTAAGCAATAACATTATAATAAATAAAACAAAAATAATTCTTTTCCAAGGAGTCAAGAAAAATAGTATCCTAGAATTATACATAATCAAACACAGAAAGGAATGTGACAGATATTGCAGATCCAGAATCACGTTTTATCAATTCGATTTTTATAATATTAAACGGCATCAATCAGAGAATCACTGTTGACAAAATGGTTGAAAATTGCTTGTATTTAAGAAATGCCGATCTGTGACAAAAGCGAGCGCTATTTAAAACAGAAAATGAGTCCAATCCGAAATGAAACACTTAGGTTCACCGATTAAGCCACAAATGTATAACCAAGAGGTACGTAATACCGAAGAAGCCCCAGATCCAAAAAACAAAATCGGAGAAGAGAAAATGAAACTGACAATTGGCAATGAAAATAACGAAACCGGGATCAGAAAAAAACACAAAATTAGGCTCTAAAAATTACCAGAAACGAGAGGAAAATATAGATGAAAATCTGTGTTGCGGAATGACGAACCTCGACTGGAAATGATTCGGCTCTACGGAGAAGAAACAATTGATGGAAGGTGAAAATGAGGCTAATGAGTGACGGAAAAAAAATGAATGGCAAAAGTAAAATATAAAAACGGGTCCAAAGGCTTCGAATTCGGCTTACCTCGTTTTCCGATTCAATTTTTTTTTGAAAGACGTTTCTACCCTGTAGCAATAATCATTCCTTAAAATAAATTTACCTTAATTTTATTACAAATCTTTTTAATTAGTAAAAAAAAATTAATGATAAAATATATTTGAAAAACAATTGTCAAAAGGTAATGATATCTGTTAAAGTTACCTATAAAACAGATTTATAATTTAATTACAAATCTTTTAATTAGTAAAAATAATAAATGATAAAATATATTTCAAACAATTGTCAAAAAGATAATAAAATCTATCAAAGTTACCTAAAAATAAAATTTGTTGCGATTTTTCTACTAAGCATTTAAACTTTTTAAACTTATGAAACACTTTGACACTTTGACACACTTATGTAAAAAGCAACTGGACTTATTTATGTCGTGTAACAAATGGGCTGCGCTATGCAGGTTAAGCCCAAACCTAAACCCGAAAGCTAAGGCCCACATTGTTTGGGAAAGGACTAGGGTTTCGCTTTAGTCTCTGTATATATAAGACTCAGTTTTCACTTACCGTCGTTCTTCCTTCGGAGCTCAATCCAAAGACAAGGTCTCTCTTCTGATTCCATTTTCTCTATCTCTCGATCTCTCTCCGAAAGTTGTATTCTTTTGATTGTTGCGAAAATGGGTCTTGATTCATTGATTCTGTAACTGATTGAAAGCTTTCTTCTTTGTTTGTGGTTGAGAAATTTTGCAGAAGATGACAACTCCACAGGTGAAGACTGGTTTGTTCGTTGGGTTGAACAAGGGACACGTTGTCACCAGACGTGAATTGGCTCCTCGTCCTCGTTCTCGCAAAGGAGTATGTCTCTCTTTCTTATATAGATCGATCTGTTCAGTAGTTTCTAGGTTATGTAGATTGTGTGGTTTGCTCACATAGTTTGCTGGATTCACACATTTCTAGGGTTCTTCAACTTGTAAATGTTTAGTAGTCTATCAATGCAGAACCATTTTGTTAAACGTAATCGATGCACTGATGTTGTTATGATTGGTGCCATTAATTGAGCTTAGGTTTCATGGTTTTGCTCCTGCTAAATAGATGTTTCGATTTTTTTTATTCTCTTACAGAAGATTTGTTGCATTTTTGTTAGTTTTGTTTGCTGTGGATTTAATTTGAGTTATGTATCTTGTGTTGATTAGAAAACGAGCAAAAGGACACTCCTTATCAGAGGCTTGATAAGGGAAGTTGCTGGGTTTGCTCCATATGAGAAGAGAATCACTGAGCTGTTGAAGGTTGGTAAAGACAAACGTGCTCTCAAGGTTGCCAAGAGGAAGTTGGGTACCCACAAGAGAGCCAAGCGAAAGAGAGAGGAGATGTCCAGTGTTCTCCGCAAGATGAGGTAATAAACAATAAACCCTTAATCTTGTGTATTGCTCTCATTTTCAGGTTTCTTTATTTGGAACCAAGGAAGTTTCTATTGTGGTTATTTATTTTTTGGGATTCTGTTTGATGACACGCAGGTCTGGTGGAGCTGCAACTGAGAAGAAGAAGTGAGCATCACCTCAAGTTTGTCTTCCCTTTCATAGAAGACTTGTTGTCCGAATCATGATGATTCCTAAGCTTATCGTACTATGTTTTGTTAGTGTTTTGGATTTTGAGAGAGTCGTGACCGAGACTTGTGACTATGCTTTTAAATTTAAATCCACTTTTTATCATTATATTTCTTTTAACTCTCTTAATCACCTTACGTTATAAATGCCAGATCAATATTGTTACTATTTTTCTCAAGAATGTGCGATGAAAATTTCAATATAATGTCCCAACAGAATACATTTTTCAATATAATTTTGTTCACAGCTGCTTATTATCAAATCTTCTCTGTTTGATAAATCAGCCGTATAAGATACATATTTGAACAGTTTCACCGTATTGATGCTAAATCTACAAAAGTATGTAAATCATGAATGCCACTATTGAGTAGTGTATTATGAATTTCTCAATTATTCGTTGCTGAAGTCAAATGTTCTAATGAGTTATGGGCCCCTCTACCTGGGACGGTCCCTTGTACTTATACTGTAGCCACTGAACTGAAATATACTTTTTTCTTAAGTCGACCGTTTTTCTTTCTTTTCTGTTTTTCTCTCATCCAAGAATAATTAACATTTTTCTTATCAATTTCAACAAAGAGAAAAGGAGTGGAGCAAAATGTTAGTGTTGAAGACAAGACATTATATGTTGCTGGAATCTTCTATCCACAAATTTCAATCAAAAACGATGTTTCATTACACAATCCACTCTTCCAATGGAGTGTTCATACGCGTGACTCCTTAATGTCAAAGTCCGAGTGTTCTTAAACTCACGGAAGTAATTGTTTTGACGGTATAAAACGAACGCTAGATAGGAACGTCACCATAAGCAGTGACAATTGCCCAAATGAAGACTTGTGTGGAGAGGAATAATACAAATGCTATAGATGCAGAGAGACACACAAAGACGAACATAAACAAGAACGCGAACAAAACGCCATATGCAACATGCCAACATAGGTTAATGCAAATATTAAACGTGAATAAGAGCTGGCTATATGCAAACAGTCGTCAAACACGAACCTAAATTCGAACGCGAACGGTAGATTGTAAATAAAAAGGGCAAACATTATTTACACACGTATATACGAACACAAGTGTCAAAGGCAAAACTTAAATGCAAATATGAACACTAGATGGAAATGTAAACGCTCATGCAAAATCAATTATTTTGTAAATGTTTTCTCACTATATATTATAGAAAAAAAAGTGTATCTACCAAAAAACATAATAATCGTATCCTTGGATTTGTAACACAAAACAAATTTAGAAACTTGTAATTTTGTATACAACAAGTAAAATATGATCCTGTTCGACTCCTGAGCTTAAACAACCAACATGAAGTATCTGGCTTTGAGCTTAGACATAGATAATATACAAAACATCTAAAGACTCAAACGAGCGATCATTGATAGACCAGATTCATGAATCTTCGCTATAGTTTGTTCTGTAACGTGAAAATATGGTGAGACCAAACTTGCTATGTTTTGAACTAACAGTTCCTCAAAATTTGGAGGACCACTTGTTTGGCACTTTTGGCTTACCTTCATGAAAAGTCCAAATCTATTTCATAGAAAGGGAAATGGAAAAACGACCGTCTCGTGATTTTCAATTTTTATTTTATTGTATATTAATTTTGTTTTGTAATCAGTATTCTCGTGAATTCTCCCACTATTATGTGATTATTGAAACTTTTATAAAGTAATATAGTTGCCGTTTCTCCTCAAATTTTGTGTTTATCGTGAACTTATTCATTCGTCTCTAAGAAAAAACTGCAAATAGCGACATACACACACTAAAAGGACCAAGATACAACATCGTTAATGTTTTCTTTTCATCGTTAATGGTCTTTTGCGTGTGTAATTTACTAATTTTCCTCGTTTATGCTATAAATTAAAAACAGGTTTTCGAGTTTTGATTCACAGACGAAAACATAGAGTTCTACAAAAAAAAAATATATATATACACGATGAATAGCTTAAAAAGGTTTGTATTAGCACTAGAAAACTAATAGGTTAAAGATAATTAAACGGGTGATATACAAAAGAGTACTCAAAAACTAAATATTCGTTCAACACTATAGTTACGTCTCAGATCGTGACACCAATTAACAACTTGTATACATATAAATTTTTCGAACGGGGTTTGTTCTAATAATAACTTTAACTAATATCAGTATATCATACAACCGAAATTATTATCCAAAATTGTGTGTGGTGCATCGTCGTGTACATATGAGTGGGAAAACAAAAATTCAAAAATAAAAGTCTACTTCACGACAACCATAAATGAAGCTAAAGATGAAATTAATGGGTTGAAATAAAGTGTGATTACTTAGTTAATAGCATCCTAGAAGCAGTCCACTAGCCAACTTTTGATAAATTTGTTCTCACATTTTAAAATCTGGTTTTGCCCCAACTTAAAACTTTCTGTTGTATGATACCACTCGTGAAACGCTACATTTGGATTATAAAGTCTACTACAACTATGCTTCACTATCAATTAAAAACCATAACTTTCTAATTACATGTAAAAAAGGTTTGGAAAGTCGTAAATAACCAGTACAATCGAGAGACCACTTCTTGAAAAAACCAACAGCTCTATTTAATGAAAACAATGCCAAACTATCATGATACGTGTCACCTGGTTGCACTTGTTTAGCAAAACCCATCCACACCGACGCAGCATATGTCAACGCCGATGTCTCGCGTCACACGTGCGTTTCACATGATTCCTACTTTGCTGATAAAGTTACTGTATTAGGAGTGTTTTAGTTACCGTTGTGTGATGAGTTTCTTTCTTGTTTTTTTTTGTAGGTCAAGAACTCAACAACAAAAATGTTAATTATCAATTGTTGTAATGAGTGCTTAAAATTTATATCACTTGCCGACTAAATGAGAAATTTGAAAATCGTAAATAAGAAAGAAAAAAATACTTGAATTATATTAACCACAAAAAATGGTGTTCGTGCATACTTACTTACTGTTTATATTTAACAATCAACAGTAAACCAAAATAATTCAAAGTCACACGTGAGATTCAGAAAGATGCACTCATGTTACAAGCGAACATGATTACTTTTCTTTTGAATCTTCAAACAGCACACAAAAAAAAAAATTAATTTGTTTTGCCTATAAATTTCTTCACAAAACTTTCTCATATTTGAACTATATCCTCTCTTCCAAATATAGCCTTTCTCGAGAGAGAGAAAACAAATAAACAAAACAAAGTCTGAAAATCCCAAAAATGCCATTCAACATTACCTCCGTAAAAACGTCATCTAACGGAGTATGGCAAGGCGACAATCCCTTGAACTTCGCCTTTCCGTTACTCATCGTCCAAACGGCGTTAATCATCGCCGTCAGTCGCTCCCTCGCCGTCCTCTTCAAACCCCTCCGTCAACCCAAAGTCATCGCCGAGATCGTCGTACGTAAATTTTCACTTCTCACCCCATACACACCAACTATTTACAACTTTGCCATCAACCTCTTATTTACAATTTACGACTTTGCCATCGTCTTCTTCAATTTCATTTTTTTTTGAAGGGAGGGATTTTGTTAGGACCGTCTGCTCTAGGTAGAAACACGGCGTACATGGACCGTGTATTCCCGAAATGGAGTATGCCGATACTCGAATCCGTCGCGAGCATAGGACTTCTCTTCTTCCTCTTCCTCGTCGGTCTCGAGCTCGATTTATCATCCATCCGTCGAAGCGGGAAACGCGCTTTCGGGATCGCGGTTGCCGGGATCACACTCCCGTTTCTCGGCGGCGTCGGAGTCGCTTTCGTGATCCGCAACACTCTCTACACCGCCGCCGATAGACCGGGATACGCCGAGTTTCTCGTTTTCATGGGAGTCGCTCTCTCCATCACAGCTTTCCCTGTGCTCGCGCGTATCCTAGCAGAGCTCAAGCTTTTAACCACTCAGATCGGAGAAACGGCGATGGCTGCGGCCGCGTTTAACGATGTAGCCGCGTGGATTTTACTTGCTTTAGCGGTTGCGTTAGCGGGTAATGGCGGTGAGAGCGGTGGGGGGAAAAAGAGTCCTTTGGTTTCGCTTTGGGTTTTGTTATCGGGTGCTGGGTTTGTGGTTTTCATGTTGGTTGTGATCCGACCCGGGATGAAATGGGTTGCGAAACGCGGATCTCCGGAGAACGACGTCGTACGTGAGTCTTATGTTTGTTTGACTTTAGCTGGAGTTATGGTTTCCGGTTTTGCGACGGATCTGATTGGGATTCATTCGATTTTCGGGGCGTTTGTTTTCGGTTTGACTATACCGAAGGATGGAGAGTTCGGTCAGCGGTTGATTGAACGGATTGAGGATTTTGTGTCCGGTTTACTCTTGCCGCTTTATTTCGCCACGAGTGGACTGAAAACCGACGTGGCAAAGATTAGAGGGGCTGAGTCGTGGGGGATGTTGGGACTTGTCGTGGTGACGGCTTGCGTAGGGAAGATCGTCGGAACTTTTGCTGTGGCGGTGATGGTTAAAGTTCCGGCGAGAGAGGCTTTGACTCTTGGTTTCTTGATGAACACGAAAGGTTTAGTGGAGCTCATCGTACTAAATATTGGCAAGGAGAAAAAGGTTCGCTTTCTTAAAATTTGTATTGTTTATTTTCACTTTTTTAAGGTTCTTGCTTTTGCTTTTTTTAGTTATTTTACTGAATATATAAGAATTGAAAATAAAAAACCTAGTAACTTCATTTGGACATTTGGGTCATCATTAACCACTAACAAGCATTAATCAATCATTACAGTTCTTCGACCGACCATTTTCTTACGGGAAAGCATATAAAACAAAACACGATTATTATATTCATTTAGTTTCGTCTACTAGTTAGGTTCTAGTTGGTTCTCATAGATACTTCCATTTAATCTTATTGATATGTTTGTTTAAGATATAAATTGCATACGATTCTTTTTAACATAAACTGGGCCGACATAGATTATTGCATTAACGGTGGTGACTAATTCACGGAAGTGGTTGTCTTGTTTCACTTCCTTTCTTTTGTTTGGGGGTTAAACTTTCATCATGAATATTAAAGTCCAGAACTCAGCGGTCTTGTAATAGATAGGCACAGTCTAACTAGAAGGGGTAATAATATCAATGTTGTCATGACAATAGCGAAACATATCAAATTAAGGACTAGTCATGCATGCATGAAAAGAAAACACTATATTCACCTTTTCGACTGGGCCATTGCTAACGCAATCACCTAGGACCTATATCCACTTGCAAAGGCGCGCGGCACAACAAATTCTATGATCATCTTCAAATTTTGTAACTGTATATACCCATTTAATCACTGTACCGGATGTGGTTGGATTTAGGTACTAAACGACGAGACGTTTGCGATATTAGTGTTAATGGCACTCTTCACAACGTTCATAACGACGCCGAGTGTAATGGCCATTTATAAACCGGCACGTGGGACTCACCGCAAACTAAAGGACTTGTCGGCGAGCGAAGACTCCTCCAAGGAAGAGCTTCGCATCCTCGCATGCCTCCACGGTCCAGCCAATGTCTCATCCCTCATCTCTCTCATCGAATCCATCCGAACCACCAAGGTACCTTTCTTTATATATCTCTTAATTTCATTTCTAGACTTATGTGAACAAAATGATCGTTTATAATTATTCTTGGTTAATATTATATTTTTTTCTTTTGTGGCAGATGCTACAGCTAAAACTCTTCGTGATGCACCTCATGGAACTAACGGAACGGACCTCATCAATCATAATGGTGCAAAGAGCCCGTAAAAACGGATTTCCTTTCGTCCACCGTTACCGTCACGGTGAGTGCCATAGCAGCGTCATAGGAGGCTTCCAAGCCTATCGTCAACTAGGCCGAATCAAAGTCCGTCCCATCACCGCAGTCTCTCCATTACCAACTATGCACGAAGACATTTGCCACATGGCAGAGACCAAGAGGGTCACAATGGTCATTTTACCTTTCCACAAACGATGGAACGTTGATCACCACCAGGACGGAGGCGATGGAAACGTACCGGAAAACGTTGGTCATGGTTGGAGACTGGTTAACCAGAGGGTTCTGAAGAACGCGCCGTGTTCGGTTGCGGTTCTTGTGGACCGTGGCCTTGGGTCTATTGAGACCCAAAGTTCGAACCGTGATGGGTCGAATGTGGTTGAAAGGGTGTGTGTGATATTCTTTGGTGGGCCTGATGATCGTGAGGCTTTAGAGCTCGGTGGGAGGATGGCGGAGCATCCAGCCGTTAAAGTTACCGTTATAAGGTTTTTGGCGAGGGAAACGTTGAGGAGTAACGCCGTCACGTTACGTCCGGCACCGTCTAAATGCAAGGAGAAGAATTATGCCTTCTTGACCATCAATGTGGATCCAGAAAAAGAAAAGGTAAATTCTATTTTTTGTTACTCAATGAATGTTTTGTTGGTTATAGCCTTTTTAATCTATTTATTTATGTCGTTGCAAAAACGAAATTAGGAACTAGACGAAGGAGCATTAGAAGATTTCAAGACCAAGTGGAAAGAAATGGTGGAGTACAAAGAAAAGGAGCCAAACAACATAATTGAAGAAACATTGTCAATAGGACAAAGTCAAGACTTTGACCTTATAGTGGTTGGGAGAGGGAGGTTACCGTCGGCGGAGGTGGCGCAACTAGCCGAGCGTCAGGCAGAACATCCCGAGTTAGGTCCTATCGGGGACGTGCTCGCCTCTTCAGTCAACCACATCATACCATCAATCCTTGTGGTTCAACAACACACCAAAGCTCATGTAGAGGAGATTACGGTTTCCAAAATTGTCTGTGACGAGTCTTCTCTAAGTATTAATGTAGACACAAATGTATGATAAAAGAAAAAACGTTGATGTTGTTGACCTTTGCCTTAATGGTTAAAGTGGTCAAAGATGTAGTTTATCCACAATAGGTATATAGATCTCAACTAAGATCTGTAGAAATAGCGTGCAATATATAGATATCCATTGTTGTATGCACGCACTATCTTGTGAGATGTACTATTATAGTAAGTCGATCGTTGTACGCGGTTTGATCGTAGTGCATATCCTAATCATAAAGTATGGTCTGCAATGCTTATAGTTATGCATACACGGGTTTGTCTGAAAAATATAACTAGAATACATGTAAAACCCAATGTAATGAAGACAATTAAGACTTACATCGGAAATATAATCAAGGGTCAAGAATCTCTAGATGTAACTATTTGCTTGCTAACTTTCGATTTATTTAAGCTAAGATATATGGTTTGGCTTTACATGCAAGTGACAAGGAAATAATGATGCAAGTGACAAACTACAGCTCAGCAGATTCAACCTAATTCTCTCAAAGCACATATAAACAGTTTTTTTTTTTTTTTTTCTTTTCATCAACAATATGAGTATACGCATTTGTATTCACACAACCACACGCTTTTGATGAAAACAAAAATTCGTATGTATGTGCTTTGAATCTTTGATAAATGTTCAAAAGAAGAAGAAAAAAAGATGATTGGATAATTTCAGTCGTTTTGGAGCCTCGCACGTGCCAAACACACGTACCAAATAAAGCCGAGTTTACATACACATTTATTAGGAAGAAGAGGAAATCGAAAAAAAATAACGCATCAATCTCTCAGCTCAGGCTCAGCACAATTTGGATCAGATCTGCTCAGATCAGATTGATCGGTGTTTGGAGCTCCGGGAAACATGGCGGCGGCGAGACAATTACGCACTCTCCAATCTCAGCCGGAAAACAAGGTATGCGTCGACTGCGCTCAGAAGAATCCGCAATGGGCGTCGGTTTCTTACGGCATCTTCATGTGCTTGGAGTGCTCCGGGAAGCACCGAGGATTAGGCGTTCACATCTCCTTCGTCAGATCCGTCACCATGGATTCATGGTCGGAGATCCAGATCAAGAAGATGGAAGCAGGCGGAAACGAGCGGCTCAACAAATTCCTCGCGCAATACGGAATCCCCAAGGAGACTGACATCATTTCCAAGTACAATTCCAACGGTGCAACTGTGTACCGTGACCGGATCCAGGCTTTAGCCGAAGGTAGGCCGTGGACGGATCCGCCAGTCGTCAAGGAATCGATTAACGGAGGAGGAAGAGGTGCGGGGATGAATAATAAGAAGCCTCCGTTGGCTCAGGGAGGTTACGGAAACAACAACGGAGGAGGATGGGATAGTTGGGATAACGATGATTCCTACAGATCTTCAACGGATATGAGACGGAATCAATCGGCGAATGATTTCAGGGCGTCGGGAGCCCGTCCCGGCGCCGGAGGAGGTGCACATGTGAAGTCGAAGTCGTCGGAGGATATCTACACGCGATCGCAGCTAGAGGCTTCCGCTGCTGGGAAGGAGAGTTTCTTTGCGAGAAGAATGGCGGAGAATGAGTCTAAGCCTGAGGGACTTCCTCCGTCGCAAGGAGGCAAGTACGTCGGGTTCGGATCAAGCGCAGCTCCACCACCGAGAAACAATCAACAGGATGATGTTCTCTCTGTTGCCTTACAGGTGATTTTAGATGCATTTTTCAATTCCTTCTTGAGTAAGACGATGATATGCATTGGCTTATTGGGTCAATTCCGTTTTTTCGCGTGTTGATTCGTTCTTGAAAATGGTAGGGATTTGGAAGATTGTCTATGGTTGCTGCATCTGCAGCTCAGTCAGCTGCAAGTGTTGTTCAGACGGGTACCAAAGAGTTCACATCCAAGGTACTTTTAACATTTCCTACGTTGCAATCCATAACCTTTGCAAGTCCACATTTGATTTGAGAAATATCTGTAGTCTCCTTATCTGCTATCTAAGTTGGTTTACATAAAAGGTTCTCAAGTGTCTAGTTGTTGCTTTGCTTAATGAAAATGATGAAATTTAGCGTCCTGTCTTCTGAGATTCTTTATAGCTCTGCTCTATAGAGCACAATTCTTGGATGCTCTTATGTACATTTTGACAGTATAGTTTTGGAAAGGCCAAGTCAAAATCAGGCAATAAATTATTGTTGTCTTATGCAGGTGAAGGAAGGTGGGTATGATCATAAGGTGAGTGAAACTGTAAATGTAGTAGCGAATAAGACAACAGAGTTAGGTCACAGGGGATGGGGATTCATGAAAGGAGTGATGGCAATTGCGACACAGAAGGTCGAAGAGTATACTAAAGAAGGGTCAACAAGCTGGAATCAACAACAAAGTGAAAATGAGAGCAATGGTTACTACCAGAACTTTAATGGGAACAAAGCAGCGAATTCCTCTCTTGGAGGAGGAGGAGGAGTGTCACAGTCATCGTCAAATGCTCATTACAACACCTCTCAGAAGTCAAGTTCTTGGGACGATTGGGGAGAGAATGAGAATACGAAGAAGGAAGCAGCAGCAGCTCCAAAGGGGTCATCTGCTTCTAACGATGATGATGGCTGGACTGGTTGGGATGATGCCAAAGATGATGTTGTTTACCAAAGTGCAGGCGATAAGAAACCTGTTGGTCACAACGGGAAATCAGACACCGCTTGGACCGGTGGAGGTTTTCTCTAAGGGTAAGCAAAGCTTTCAGCTCATGTAGCTTTTAACAGTTTATGTCGCGGTAACACTATATTCATCGTGGTCTGAATATAAGATGAGATTGGTCATCATCTTAGAAACCATTTTCATCCATTACTACAGCTACAGGTCTGTGTTTTTCTTCATATAGTTTCTTGATTATTTTTCTTCTGTAAGGAGTAACGTATCTGTATAAGATCCATAGCCAACTGTTTTGCTAAAGATTCTCAGCTAGATTTTCACAGTTTCCTTTTATCTTCAACTGTAATCACAACTAAATATTATTTTTTCCCCCCAAATTTTCCTTCTCTTGACTCTTCGTTGCGTTATAACGTTAATTTACGAAACGTATGCATTACAAGAGCAATCAAATTTACTCAAAATTTTTACAAGAAATCAAATTCATAATCGTCTACAAACTTGGAAGTGATAATTTTTCTCGAAGGTATCATCATATTCACCTTCACCGGAAAGTTAATTTTCCTCGAAGGTATTATCTTGACCGGTAAGTTCTCCTCGGCTGGCGAGTGTCCAAGACGCCGCCTAAAGTGGCAAGAGCGTCTTGAAACTTCCTAATCTTAAGCAAACCTTTCACCATTGAAATTTCTTCCTCCGAGAATTTCGCTTTCTGCATCACCATGTTCACTAACTTCACCAGCGTCTCCTCCATTGACAAAGTGAGAAGACCTTCAGCCAACATATACAAAGAAGAAAACTCAGGCACAAACCCTTTCTCCAACAGCTCAACAAGAAAGTCCACTGCTTCACGAATCGGTCCGCCTCCATTACACAGCCCACGGAACACGATTCTGTAAGAAACCGCATCTGGTCCTGATTCACTCTTCTCAAGCATTTCTCTAAACAAATTTACAGCTTCCGTTGTTTTCCTCTTTCTAAACAAGGCTTGAATCACAGGGTTATAAGCGTGCGGCGTCAAAACAATCCCTTTCATCTGAATCGACCTCAAAAGCTTACTCGCAACTTCAACTCTCCCAGCTTTACACAATCCACTAATCAAAGTTCCGTACGTCACAATGTCTGGCTCGCACCCGTTCGAGGTCATAGCTTGCACGATATCCGCAGCTCTCTTTATATCACCTCCTCTGCAGAAATGTGTTAGAAGCGAGTTGTAAGTGAACTTGTCAGGCTTCAGTCCTTCCATTATCATCTGATCCATGAGCTGAGCCGCGTCTTCCACTCTCCTGCTCTTGCAAAGCCCGTCGATGAGCGTGTTGTAGGTCACAGAGTTTCTCGAAACACCGTGTACTTCCATCTCATCGAATATCTCCTCCGCTTCTCTAATCTTGTTGGCTTTGCAAAACCCATCGATCAAAGTGTTGTAAGTGATCACACTCCGCGCACAGCCACTCGATTCCATTTGCTTCAGCATGTTTAACGCTTCGTTCAGCTTCCCTTTGGAGCATAAGCTATCAATCAGCATGTTGTATGTGAACTCGTCAGGCTCACATCCTTTACTCCTCATCTCATCGAACAGCTCCATCGCAACCCTGTGGTTCCTAGTCAAACACAAACCTTGGATTAAAGAGTTAAACGTACAAACGTCAGGAAGAATCCCTTTGCTGGTGAGGACACGAGCAAGCTCTGTAGCTTCCTCAACCTGATTCTCCTTGCACAATGTGCTTATCAAAGTGTTGTAAGTGACGGTGTTTGGAGAACAATCTCTACTGATCATCTGATCAAGAACCTCAACAGCTTCTTTCACTTCACCAAGCTTACACAACCCCGAGATCACCGAGTTGTAAGTGTACACATCTGGATCGTACCCTTCTTGAAGCATCACATCCATAATCTCAATAGCGTGCTTCACATGCCCTGCTTTACACAAACCGTTAACCAAAGTGTTGAACGTGTACTGATCAGGGAAAAAGCTTCCTTGATTCGACATCTCCTGGATGAAATTGAGAGCTTCTTCTACTCTCCCTTCTTTGCAGAAGCCATGAACAATCACATTCACACTCACGTTAGACCATGAACAACCAAACTCAACCATCTGTTCCCTGATTCTCAAAGCTCCATCCAAGTCACCTTCTTCGATGTATCCTTGCATGATCGTTGTGAATGTCTTCTCGTCAGGAGCCAGATCGTAGCTCTGCATATCCTCCATCATCAAAATCGCGGGTCTAAGCTGGTGAGCTTTACACAGAGCTTTGATGAGAACGTTAAACGTCGAGACGTCTGGTTTAATCCCCCAGACAGTCATCTCCGCGTGTGCGATTTCGACGAGTTTCAGATTGTTCCCGTCGACGAGTAGATTCAGCATCCGGTTGTAGAAACGGGTATCGGGTTTTAACCCGAATTCGTCAATCATCCAATGAACGGAAACTAGAATCTCATCGTGCAATTCGAATCGAGCGTAGCTCTCGATCAAAATTAAGAAAGGGGAAGTACCCATTTCGCAGCCGGAGATCTTCATGTCCTCCAGAATCTTCTTCATTTCATCGAACGAACCGGACCGGCCTAGCCGGAGGAGGATCTCCTCGTAGAGAGAAGGTTCAGGGGAGAAATTGGGTTTCTTCGAGGCCGAATCGAAGAGACGGAGAGCGGCGGAATCGTCGGGCTGGCTACGGAGGGAGTCGAGAAGCTTGGCGTCAGGGGAGGAGAGAGCGGCGGAGTGAGTCGAAGCGAAGGAGATTGATGAAGAAGGACGAGTGAGCTTGAGAGAGAATGACTGGTGGGTTAGAGTTACGGCTTGGGAGATGGAAAATGGATAGAATTTGAGACAGGAAGAGAACGCCATTGTTGGGAAGTAGAGATGGAGGAGAGAGACTATGGAAGAAGGGTTTAAGAATTTGGATTGGATTTTGATAGCAATTTTCTATCCGGTGGTCGAACCGGGTCCGTGAACCGGACGGAATTTGCAATTGGTTTGTTATTTTATTTCTCATCTTCGTCATCTTCTCTCTCTCTTTTAAATATGAACCACTAAATAAAGCTTTCCTTCTGGTTCGTTGCCGCGTCGCACGTTCTCTCTCCTCCTTTCTCTTTTGTTTCTCTCTCTATCCCGTCTTATCTCACTTCCGAAACCCTAATTCGTTGCCCTTGGTTCGTCTTCCGGAAAAAAAATCGAATGTTCTATCGTTTTCTGCAGATCTTAGATCCATAAAGAGAAAAAAAAACAAATCCTTCCGAACTTTCGATTCAGGTCGATTTTAGGGTTTCTACCCCGTTTGTTCTTACGAGTAATGGTGTGAAGATTTGATTTTCCAGTATGCATATGTGAATTCGGGTTACTAAAAACCATACCTTCAGGCCTCCATTTTCGATTTTCGTGTTTCGGAAAGGAAAAATTCCCAAATCACCAGACAATTTCTTCTCCGAATTTGGTGTGGAACCAGAATACGTGTTTAACGGATCGGATTCCGCAATATCAGTGTGCCCCAGACTTGGATTTCACATTGTTTCAAGCATTTCACAGTCTCAGTCACTGTAAAAAGGTTCTATTTTTCTTGAATGCCGTCTTGTGAATCTGAGCATTTTTAAAATGGGAGAAGAAGCTGTTTGTTTGGAGATGCCAGTGCAAGGAGAAGACATGGGTGACGAGAATCGATCAACGAAGAACGAATTGAAGAGAGACCGTCTGTGTATTGAAGAAGACAATGTAGAAGGAGAGCTTTATTCCAACAAGAGGCAAGCGAAGGAGGCTTCAAACGATGATATTAGGTCAGAAATATCAAACCCAGTCCCATCTCCGGTGGATAATACTTCTAGTTTTCGCGATATCACAAGCCATCCGGTTAAATCGAGCTCTGGGGATCGCGTTGGGTCTTGTTCCGGCAGTGATTCTGGTTCCGACGAGACAGTGAGCGACGAGGAACACTGTGAGTACGGCGATGCGGTACCGTCTAGCTTTGTATTGGAGATTCCAAAGCATCTTAGCACAACCGGGATAACGAAAATCACGTTTAAGCTCAGTAAACCAAAGGAGGAGGTCCAGGAGGAGGACTTCTGTGATTTGCCTATGATCAAGGAGCATCCATGGGAGGGTGCTTCGTCAAATGTAGCTTCTTCAACTTTAGATGTGAAAACGTCGAAGAAGATTGCCCCTAGCTACTTCGTATCTAACGTGAAGAAGCTACTGTTGACGGGTATTCTTGATGGTGCTCGGGTGAAGTATGTTTCAACCTCAGTTGTGGTAAGTTTGTATCTTTGTGTGTTCTCTCGTTATGTGGGTTTGGATATTTCAACTTCACTTGTGGTATGTGTTCTTATATGTGTTCATTAGAGAGAGCTTGACGGGATAATCCACTCGGGTGGGTTTATATGTGGCTGTGCTGCCTGCAATTTCACGAAAGTAAGTTTGTTTCTTTGGGATTTACTTTATAGTTTTCTTGTGTGGCTCTACTGCGTTGCAATTTGTCAATTCGTTAACTGTGTCGTGTGTTGTTACGTGGGAAGGTTCTAGGTGCCTATGAGTTCGAGAAGCATGCTGGTGGAAAGACAAAGCACCCTAACAATCACATATTTTTGGAGAATGGAAGGTCGGTTTATAACATACTTCACGAGGTGAAGAATTCTCCTGTTTATGTTCTTGAGGAGGTGTTGAGGAAAGTGGCAGGTTCTGATTTTAATGAGGAAGGCTTTCAGGCATGGAAAGGTATCTAAGTCTCTTGGTGGATTTACTCTGCATTGTTCTTAGATGGACTATTTTGAATGACTATTCCTGACTTGCTGTTCTGTTCTTCAGAAAGATTCCAGCAGGATAATAACATGGCTGAAGATGATAGGAATCATACCATGGAGAATTCGTTTCAATCTCTTGTCAGGTACTTTGACCTCCTACTTTTGTTATTACTTGTTCTGAAATTTTTTACAAATTTCTGATTGGATCCTTTTTTATCTAGCTGTTCATCTTAATAAGAAGGCTAACATGGTTAAAGTTCCCGTTATGAAAGTTGCAGTTATCCTGGTTCTGGTCGATCTTTTGATGAGAGTCAAAGCTTTACTCCATATTTCCCAGAGAACAATTACTTTGGAAAGAAAAAGAAGCCAAAAGCAAAGAAGTACGTTCCTCAATTTTTCTTGCTTAGATATTGACAACTGTTGTTTAATACCTATGTGCAATTAGTTTTAAGAAAATGGGAAATTTACTTTGGTTGTTGATCCAGTAGGCTTCCCTCTCATACGTTTGGTTCGAGTTGCCGTAAGAAAGTTTCTGAAGGCGGCAATAAGAAGAGGTTTATATTTCGTTTTTGAAAGTGTCCCTGTTAACACTCATTCTTTAGATGCAATCCCTCGGTGATGACAAGAATTGCAATTATATGTTTATAGGGACAACGATTTACACCGTTTGCTATTTTTGCCGAATGGGCTACCAGATGGGACTGAATTGGGTTACTATATGAAAGGACAGGTTTGTTATCGTAGGCTTAATGAATGATTCTGTTTATTCTTGGTGAAATTTAAGTTTGGTTGGCTTTGCTAACACTTGCTTTTCTTTCAGAGTCTACTGCAGGGTTACAAGCAAGGAAGTGGTATAGTATGTAGCTGCTGCGACAGAAAGGTAAAATGATGGATGCTGTGACTATGTAAATTGGCACTTATACTCATTTTCTTTTTTCAAGGATCATGATACATATCTTATCTTGTTTCTTAACTACAGATTAGCCCTTCACTATTTGAATCGCATGCTGGAATGTCTATTAGGCGACAACCGTGAGTTATCTAGTAAAAATGTGTTTTTGCACTAATGTTGTAAGACCTCTCTGAAGTTTCTGATTCCCTTGCAGTTATCGTCATATCTGCATAACTTCTGGATTGTCATTGCATGACATAGCCCTGTCATTGGCGGATGGCCATGTCATTACAACTGGTGACAATGATGACATTTGTTCCATTTGTGGCGATGGTGGAAATTTGCTACCCTGTGCTGGATGTCCTCAAGCATTTCATACAGGTGGGCTTGCTCTTTCATTCTACTATTATGAATATATCCAGGGAAAACACTTCAAGCATAACGTGAAAGGAGTTACTTATATATATATGCCTATTTCTCTTTCCATTCAAGTATTAATTTAAGTTCTTAAGAGACGCTTTTCAAGATTTGCATTGCTTTGATATTAGCTCCCGGGTTCTTCTTCGATTCTAATACTCATGACCCTTTTCATATGCAGCATGCTTGAAATTTCAATCTATGCCTGAAGGTACTTGGTACTGTTCAAGCTGCAATGATGGAACTCCCTCTAGTAAAATGGCCACTGCTACTGATCCCAATTCAAAACCGATAGTCATAAGACTGACAAGAGTTGTTAAAGCACCAGAAAGTGAAATCGGTGGTTGCGTGTTCTGCAGGTTGGTTGTATACCTACATTTAGTTTGAGTGCGTCATATATATTTGTTCTCCAGTCTGCTTATTCATTCTACTCCCATCTCTGATAGGTCCCATGATTTTAGCGTTGGGAAATTTGATGATAGGACAGTTATTCTCTGTGACCAGGTTCTCTTCTTGTTTCCGGTCTCTTTTATACAAGATTTCCTTTGACAACTTCTATCAATGTCTAATTGGCCGTTTCTCTCTTTTATCTTGAAGTGTGAGAAAGAGTACCACGTCGGTTGTCTCAGGGAGAATGAGCTTTGTGATTTGAAAGTAAGTTCTGTAAGGTTGGCTTTACCTTTGCTGTGTTAACAAGGTCGTTGAACTTATCTTAACTTCTTTCCTGAATGCTGTAGGGAATCCCCCAAGATAAATGGTTCTGTTGTAGTGACTGCAGCAGGATTCACACGGCTCTCCAGAGTTCTGTTTCCTGTGGGCCACAAACTATTTCCACGCATTTGTTAGAGACGATAAGCAGAAAGGACAGAGAAAAAGGAATATGTACCGACAATGGAGATACTGTGGAATGGATGATGCTTAGTGGAAAAAGTCGATACCCCGAGCATCTACCCTTTCTTTCACGAGCGTCTACTATTTTCAAGGTATGCCTTGACTTATAAAATGTGCTGCAATGGTTTTTTAGTATCATCTGGCTTGTAAATTTTCTTTATCAACATATATAGCCAACTTCTTTGCCTTTATTCTTCCAGGAGTGTTTCGATCCCATAGTGGCAACGTCTGGTCGTGATCTTATTCCTGTCATGGTCTATGGGTAAGCTGTACTGCGCTAAAATCAGTTTCCATTTCCCTCTCCATTCATATTTTTGATAGTAGTTGATCATTCTTACAACAAATTTTACAGGAGAAATATATCAGGCCAGGAGTTTGGAGGAATGTATTGCTTGGTCCTGATGGTGAAGTAAGTTTGGTGTTCTTGGTGCATTTACTTATCGTTTCTGAAAATTTCTACCGCGATCCTAATTGTTTCATCTTCTTTTTTCTTATGATGCATTTGTAGTTCCCTTGTTGTTTCTGCTGCGCTGCTTAGGATATTTGGTCAGAAAGTTGCTGAACTTCCTATTGTAGCTACAAGCCGAGAGTATCAGGGAAGGGTAAGCATTTGCACATCTCATGTTTCGTTACTGTGTTGGATTTGCTTGTTCTATCCCTTTTTATTTAATAACTCGGGTAACTAAACCAATTTGGCTATGGTTCTGTAGGGATACTTTCAAGGGCTGTTTGGTTGCGTAGAGAATCTTCTTTCTTCACTGAATGTTGAGAACTTGCTTCTCCCAGCAGCTGAAGAAGCCGAGTCTATCTGGACAAAGAAATTTGGCTTCACAAAGATGACTGAACAGCAAGTATGTAAATTTTTGGTCTATAACAAGTTTCAATGATAGTTTACTAAGCAAACCTTTAATGGGCGAGCAGCTTTGGCTATAAAATCACTAAAGAGGAATTAACAATGGTGTTTGTGTTTGCAGTTGCAAAAGTACCAGAGAGAAGTGCAACTTACAATCTTCAAGGGAACATCGATGCTGGAGAAGAAAGTGCCTAGGTTTACGGAAACAACTTCACCAATCTGATATCATCTCTCGTAGAAGATTTTTTAAAAGCTTCATCTAGGATTTTGGTGTTTGGGATCTTGCCTTTTAACCCACACGTTTTTTTTTCGGCAGCAGGGTCATTTCTTGTGTACCTCTGTGATTTTTTTGGTACAAGCTATTAACAGAGGATATTAGAATTTAGAGGGTGACGCAGGACAGGTTTTTTGGAGATCTGCTGGGATGTTTTGTAAAGAAAAGGATGATAAAAAAAAGTAAATATAATCAAGTCGTTAACATGCAGCCATATTATATTGCTGTTGTTCTTTTCTTGTGCTTTAAAGGTTTTGCAGAAAACTGAAAGCTTTATTTATGTGCTGTTAAGTTGCTTGCAAGTTGCAACTTGTTCTGTTCTTTGAAACTGAAAGCTTTATTTCTAGTGCTTTAAAGGTTTTGCTGAACAACACCATATACGTTAATTTTTCTTACCCTAAACCCATAACCAAACCCTTATCAGCATATTGATTAAAAAAAAGAGATTTTTCATATAGCTTTCCTTTTAAAATAAAAACGTAGCTTAATGTTAATGGTGGTTCAAAGACAATAATCAAACATTTAACAAACGTGATAAAATATTTAAGACAGAGACTAGAATGAATTCGATTTCAAAGCACATTGCCACATTCCATCAGATTTAGAGCTGTCGTGTCAATTACGGTTCAAACCTGCCAACTAAAATCCGATCTACGAAATTAGCAACCGATGGCAACATAATCTGACAGCTTAACGGAAATGCCAAAATATCAGATACACAAATCAAAACAAGCAAACCTTTCCGAGGAAAGATTCACAAACCTCAGTGGTAATTCGTGCAACAACAAAATCACTTCCGTAGAAACAACAAAAGTCATTCTTAAATTCGAGAAAAGTTTTCACACCAAAGCTTTTATTTATAAACACAGAGAGCCGAGAGAGACAGAGTAAGGAAGACGCAATTTCCTTTGGTCATCATGCCAGAGACATTCAAGAAGATGCGGCTACAATAGGCATTTGTGCACCCCATCCAAACTTATCACGACTCTGTTTGCTGCGAGAAGGTGAAGAAGACTTCTTGTCTTTGCTGCCCCGAGATGACGACGACGACGAATTGCTGCTTCCCTTTTGCCCTTTCTTTCCATTCTTCTTCAAGTTGTCTCTGCTCTTCGATTTCTGCGTCTGCTGCTGTTTCTTGCTCCTCGTGTGAGAGACAATAGACGGTGTAGGATCATACACATCTTCTGCCCATGACACCCTCAGCTTCTCCAGCGACTTGCCATGCTTCTCCCTGCTGCCTTTGATCGCTGGGATGATGATCGGAGCCACACTCACACTCTCAGAGAACGAGTCCTGCACTGCGATACCAACGTTCTTGTCTTCTCCTTCAGCATTCAAAGACTCCGAGATGGGTTCGCTAATATCTTTGGACTCTTCTTCATTCACACTTTGGTGTATATAACCACTACTACCATCCCCTTCAGACTCTTGAGCATCTTCAGATCCCATACAAGAGATTTGATTTGAGCCATTGGGACTCGAAGCAGAGCTGCTCTCAAGGTGGGACTCTGCATCTTTGAAATCCAACCTACCACAGACAGAGCTCATATCCAGAAGTAACTGCGACCATCAAATCAAATCCAAATTAAAATCAGTCAAACATCTATACATCATACACCAGAGATAAACAGGTACATTGATTAACCTAATCTAGAGATAAACAAGCCCATTGATTAACCTAATCTACATCCCTAAAAAGTCACAGATTAGACGATTATGAGCAACATTTTAGCCAAGAATTTCATATACCTCGTCAGTCACAAATCGAGCACCGGAAACGTGAGAAACACCAAATCGATCACTGAGTAAATGCCGGAACAGAGAGATCACAAGCTTCTTCTTCGATTACAAGCTTTAAATGGAGCTAGGAAAAACCGTGAGAACGAGACGAAGGCGTAGATCGAGGAAAATAAGAGATCTAAGAGATCTAAAGAAGGAACAAATCGAGAAATGGAGCGAAACTTCAACTAAGATTACCACGCCAATCACTCTTTTCAAGAGGTTTCAAACGATTAGAGCATAAACCAGATTGATAAAAAGTCAACGAAGGAACCAAAGAAAGGAGTAGCTCGGAGCTCAGCCGCATTATATCTATGCTCGGAGAAACTCTATAACCGAAGAGCTACCGGAAAAAGAAAAAAAAATCCCTAATCCAATCCAAACCGACGAATTGCAGAGATCTCAGAAGTATCTACGAATCGGAGGAAAACGATAGCTTGGGACAACGAGAGATACGAGACGACACACTAAAGTCGGATCATGAAAACCAGAATCATCGCTACCATATCCGAAATGAAATTACGCGAAACCAGGAAAAGCTGATCTGGGGAAACGGATTGAGAAGGATAAAGTGGATCGAACGAGGCTTTGATTATATAGATAGAAAGATTCGCAAGAGAGGTATCCAAAAGAAAGGTCAACATTATCAAAGGCGAAAGACGTGGCCGCCTTATTCGGGACGAATCAGAACTGTCCACGTGCAGTGTCCTAGATATCTTTTCACCATGTTGGTTATATAATGGGCCTTAAATAGGCCCAGTTGCAACGTGTTACCAACCTTAACATCAAACATCGTCATTAGTTTACTAACACGGTCAGAAAATTACGGGTTACCTGATTCGTTAGGAAGAACCATTTTATTCAATTGAATTAATCAAAGATTTGATTTATGATACTGCCCAAAGACGATACAAAAACTTGCAAAATGTGAATAATGAAGAATATTGCTACTAAACCAAGAAACAAATCCCCAAATGTGCTGCTTCCCTTTTTTCCTCTCTTCCTTCTAATCTTTGATTTCATCCTTCTCATGCGAGAGATAATGGAGGGTGGAGGATCATACACATCTTCAGCCCATGACACTCTCAGCCTCTGGAGTGACTTGCCATGCTTCTCTCGACCGCCTTTAATGGCTGGAATGAGTCTAAACTCACACATCTGTTGTTGAATTCACAGAAAATACAAGGCAGATGTGATATTTACATCAGAAACAGAAAGTACACTGATAAGATCCAAAGGTCATAGAGACGAAATTTTCACATACCTATAATTCTATAAATATTCCTCTTGAGTCGCAAATTGAGCACGCAGAACGCCAAAATCACTGAAGAGCAGTCACCGAGTTCATTTCCAAACAGAGAGATCACCGTCTAAATTTTTTTTTATTAGCTTATAAATCGAACGAAAAGGCAAAAGATCTCAGAGATGGAGGAAGAAAAAAAAAGATCAATCCCTTTATTATAGTATCGTATTAACTTGTATTTCCATATCATTTGCTGCAGATATTGCTGTTTTAGGAAGTGGATTTAACATTACCTTTCATAGGAATATGTCGGTTCAGACTTCAGAGAATGGAATTCCAGAAATTAATTCATCTCTTTAGTACTAATATATGAAACAAATATCTGCAAATTTGAGTACCGAAAATTATAGCTTCAGTCCAATTAGACTGATCATGCAATTAAGGCTTTAGTCTTCTCGTTAAAAACGAAACGAGATTCCGATTTTGATACTATTTCATTTGTTGAAGACGAGAAATTAAGGATTACTCAGAAGAAGAACCAAAGAAAATGTTATTCATTAACAAGAACATCTATTCATTCAGAATCAAAGACGAATCCAAACATTTGATTTAACACGAAATCGAGCAACCAAAAGAGATCTAGAGGAGAACACCAAATTAAACTAAACAATTCAAATCAGAATTAAGATAAAAACCCTAAGAACTTGTGAATTTGGTAACCGCCTTGGTGCCTTCCGATACAGCGTGTTTCGCGAGCTCTCCGGGAAGCACAAGCCTAACCGCCGTTTGGATTTCCCGAGACGTGATCGTCGGCTTCTTGTTGTACCTAGCGAGCTTCGATGATTCCTGAGCGAGTTTCTCGAAGATGTCGTTGATGAAACTGTTCATGATCCCCATCGCCTTCCCAGAGATTCCGATATCTGGATGCACCTGCTTCAGAACCTTGAAGATGTAGATCTTGTACGTCTCGATGCTCTTCTTCGATTTCTTCTTCTTCTTCTCGCTTCCGCCTTCCTTCGTGATCTTCTTCTCAGCCTTTGGTCGCTTCTCCGCCGGGGCCTTCTCTGCTGGCTTCTTCTCTGCGGGTTTCTTCTCTGCCGCCTTGGGAGCCATTGATGATTTTAGAGATTAGAGAAAAATGCGATCGAGAATTTGAGAGGAAAGGGATTTATCTAGTGAATTGAATTGGTAGAGATGCGTCTGTGAAAGTCGATGGAGAGAACAGGTTTTATTATATAGAGGCTTGTACTGCTTCTCATTGGTAATCTAGGCTCTTACGCGGATCGATGACGTGGCAAAAATCGGGAGAATTTAAGTGAACGGACAGGATTTCTCAGGGGTCTATCCTGTACAATTATTCTAATGGACTTTCTCCTTTCTATATTACTACGTTTTCTAGGCCCATATATTCGTGTCATTATTATTTACGGTTTCAGAATTAGAATCCCTTCAAATGTACGATTTTTGTAGATTTTATTTTACGGATTGTTAATTGAGACGATTTTGAGTTAACCGAAAGGTGTCAGAATTGTTAAATTCACCATTATTCAACACCCGAAATGTTAAATTCACATTTTCACTACTGCGTTGATGTAATGGAAACATTCAAGTTCCATTACAGAATTGGAAATGACCACAAAGCATATGATTTGTTTCAGAGCCAGTAGCATAAAATAAACAAACATGGGGAAAGAAAGTTGAAAGCTTTTGGTTTTGGGTTCTCAATGACCATAATCCTGTAATCTTTTTTCTCTCCGCCAACATGTACTGTAAATTTGTATCAGAAACAACTTCAGATGGCTTTCTTCTTAAAGAAAACATATTCACCCGTCGATTTCCCGGTTTAAACAGAACGGAGCAGAACCAGCACATTATGTTTTGTTGTCGCGAGTTGTTCACACATCTGAAATCTTCCCCAACGATGTGACCTCTCACTGCCATGCCTTTAGTAGGAACTTAGACCCTGTTAATTCACACGAACCAAGTAAATGCAGTGAGTGATTGATTCAATCTTTTTGAAACATAAAAACGCCAAGATGATCAAGCTACAGTTGGAATTTTAAGTGACACAATGGTATAATCTAAATGATACTTGGAAGAAAATGGTTACAAACTGAATATGTAAACAGCAAGACTAATATCTACCACTACAAAGACTATGGGGTAGATTAACGTTCACTGCCTTAGAACTCTCACTAGGGAATGTAAATGGTTATCTGAACAACATGGACATCATATGAAGCTTCATAAAACAGTGTACAGTAATATATGCGAGTTGTATTGGCATGAAACACCACTATATCGAACTGTACACAATTGCAACAGATTCGTAGATCGACCAAGTCCTTATATTCACATTGTGAGCTAAAACCATAAGACGAAAGTAGCTCTGAAAGCCAGGCAAGGTACAGCAGTTAACAAAATGCAGCACTTCTAAGAGCCTAATGACACTGGAATAAACAAAACCAGAGATTCAATTTTAACATGCATTTTGATAAAATCACGAAAGAAAAAATAACTAATCGATCATATACGTCTACAAGCAAACACTTGACTATCACTTTCAAAAGAAAATATGAGCCCTCTAGTCTTAAAATGATAAAAAAAAAAAAAAAAAAAAAAAAACAGTTTCACCAAGCTAACCACAAAAATCATCAGGAAAATATGAGCCACTGTTCTATATCTAGCTGAATTCATACTCTGTACATGATCCAAAACTTTGATTAGTCAAAACATTTCATCAATGAAAACTATATCATCCCAAAAACATGAGCCACAGTTACATTTCTCTCTCGAAAATGGAATCTTAACATAAGAGACTACACTTAAACCTTCTACAGAATTCTCAGGAAGAAAATGATGAAAATTCAGAGGCATTTATAAGAAACCAACCTTGAGGAGCCGATGTTGATGTTCCTATGAAGAACCCTGCCACGATCAGAGTCTCCTCCATCGATCAGCTCTCTCAGCCCCAAACTCTCAACCTCCTCCTCTTTAGTCTCCTTCTTCTTCTCCTTATCCACACGGCGGTGGTTCGGTAGCTTCACCGGCAACCTCTCGAAGTAATTCCCGTAGATATACTCCGGCGTATACCCGTTCTCTTCGTCGAACAGCATGATATGCCCATGCCACTCCCAGACGCGATAATCCGATTCCTCATCCTCGTGGTACCCGACGCAGATGTGGTGCTCGTTGACTGTCACCGCCTGGCCCGAATTCGGCTTGAGAGAATCGCTCCGGCCCGAGACGATGACTTTGATTAGCTCTTTCTCCAGCCTGGCTTCTTCTCGATCGAGGTTGTTCGGACTGTCTCCGTCGTCATCGCCTTCGCTGTCGTCGGATTTGAAGAGGAGGTCGTCTAGGGATTGAGAGAGGAAATGGGAGTTAGGGGGACGAATTTGGAGGCGTCCGAGTAGGGTTTGGATCAGGAGGTTGTCGATGTTGCTGCTTCCATTGAAGGAGGAGCTCATGGTTAAAATTGCGAATCGATCAACTTCTTCCTTCGTCTTCCTCCTTTTTTTTTGTTCCGTCTTCGTTTGAGAAGAGGCCACTACTCGGGTTTTAGGGATAGGAGAGGGTTTTTGTTCAACGAAGACTTTGATATTGTTAATTAAAGGATCAAATTTCAGAAAAAAAGGAAGGATAAAATGGTCATATCATATTGTAGGCATCAAATTCCAAGTTTTCTCGTAAATGGAATCTGGTTTAGTTTTCAAAATTATGTAAAAAACATTTAAGAAACTTGGCAAAATTATAGCAAAATCATGATTTAGCACTGGATCAAATTGTATGTCATTCATCATCACACATTCACACGTAGTTACGTAGATAAAACAGAGACGGTAACAAGATATGACAGAGTCAAAAGAAAATAGTTATTGAGAGTAAAATAATTTGTTCTTTGGGTGGATGGATGTTCATAGATTTTTAATAAAATAAAAGAAATAAATTTCAACAGAATGACTCAAAAGTTGAAAAGTGAAGAACAAAATGGGTAATAAGATAACAATTCTTAAGTCTTTGAATTATCGGCATCATCTACCGGATTCAGCAGAGGACATACAAACATTAGAATGTACTTCTCAATTAATAATATAATAAAGATGAATTGGTTAAAAAACTTGTTTTGTGAATTTTTTAAAAAAAAAAAATTTGTTTGTTAATTTTGTAAATATAAAAGAAAATAAGATAACAATTCTTAAGTCTTTGAATTATCGGCATCATCTACCGGATTCAGCAGAGGACATACACAACATATATCCTTTGAGAACCCTAACATACTTATGTATATTTATCATATTTTGAGTATACACTTCACATCTGTCAAGAAAACAAATGCGAATATGCAGCTGTAAGCTTCTTTCTTCATTGCTTCCGTTGGTGAAAGAACGATCACCGTCTCAAGGTTTCCATGACGTAATCCGCATAGAGATCCCTACATACATGGCACAAAAGAAAAGAGTTATAACCCAGTTTGATTAGGTAATTATTCTAAGATACTCATTTGAGTAACATATAACATATAGTTTTATGAAAGGCTTACATGGAATGCTGAACAGCCTCGTAGGCTGCAGTAGCGGGAAGGAAGTCGTCAACGGCTACTTCCTTGTTCTCGTTTTTCTTATCTGCAAAACAAGAATCCAATAATATGAGTTGGTTTCGGTTTCTGCTTTTTCTTGGTTTTGCAGAAGCTGGAATAAAGTTCACAAAAGTTGAAAGAAGGTGAAGAAAAGAAGACTCACAGTCTTCAAAGAAACGGCGGATCTCAGCCATACGATGAGGTGGGAGCTCACTGATGTCATTGTAATGACGGTACTCTGGATCGTCAGCGCAGACAGCGATAATCTTGTCGTCTTTCTCACCCTTTTAAACCAGAAAAGAGTTATTTTAAATCTCTTTTTTAGGACACAAGCTGACACATACATTCAAGAATCAAGGATGTTTGTTTTTAAAACCTGATCAATCATTGGCATCAGACCAATAGCTTTGGCACGAAGAAAGCATCCTGGGATCACCGGTTCCTGTAGAACAAATTCAACATGATTCACATGAGATGCGTTTTCTAGCGGTCAAACAAGACAGACTCAGAAGAAGCTTGTGGTGCTGTCAAAGAACAGAAGCTGTGACACTGCTTTTCATATTCAATTTCCCCAAAACCAAAGAGACTTTAATTACTGAGAGAGACTCTAAACTCTCAAATAAATGCACATTGCCAAACTCTCATCTCTTATCTGTTAATTCAGTCCTAGACTAGATACTACTGTAGAGCCTATAGCTAAGAGTTGAGCCGCTAAACTTCTTCAAAGCTAACAATAAACCTTGTGTGAAGAATTGTACAAGTTCTTAGAACTGTATGAAAAACAAAAAGATTACCTGCATGATGACAAGAACATCAATAGGGTCATTGTCCTCACAAAGGGTACGTGGAATGAAGCCATAGTTGTGTGGGTATACGACGGATGAGTAAAGAATACGATCAACCTGAGAAAACACAAATAATGTTTAAGACTATATAGTACCGTCTTTAATAGTAAAAAGGGAACAGCTGAGAGAAATTGTTGCGATGAGGTTACCTTGATGAGACCAGTAGTTTTGTCAAGTTCATACTTCACCTTGCTCCCTTTTCCTATCTCAACCACCTGCAATAATCATACCCTTTCTGATTTGTCAATGATTCCCAGAGAAATATCAAAAAGATTAAACCCAAAGTGGACATCATTTCGTATCATATTCCTATACCACAGACTCAATCTAGATCTAAATATAAACAGAGGAATTTTCTTTGAGAGAAGGCACAAAAACAAGTGAAGCATCTCCAAATATCAAGAACACTTGCAAAATACTTACACAATTGAAGATGACTGGAGCTCCAGGTCCTATAACACATAAGCAAAAAAAAGAAGAAAAAATATTAGAATCAATATTAAGAAAGCAAAGTAATCAATCATCTTATACCAAAAAAAGAAAAGAAACCGTTACGTATAAAGCTTACCTATCTCGAGATCATGCCAAGGGTGTGCAGCAACTGATCTCTGGGTCATGGAAGAGAGTATCCTCTCATTAAGAGGAGGAAGTGAAGCAGCGTGTTTCTCTACATACGTTTTGGTAGCAGCAATCTCAATCGGTGGCGCCATTTCTGCAAACAACAATGCACATAGCAAACAGAAGAAAACCATAAATATATGCATCTCTGCAACACAAACTACGGGGTCAATCTTTACAAATGTTTCAGTAATCCCCCTAAAAGCGGAAGATAAAGACATGTTTTCATGAGCTGTACCCAAAGATCTACGTCTCTCCCACAATTGAATAAACAACGCAGAGACGCAAGATACAAAAAAACTTTTTAAAAAGAAAGTTACAGAAACGTCCAAAAAGAAACGCTTAATTTTAGTTTGTTTTGCAGCAGTTTATGGATCCTTCCTTAAATGCATCTACCGACAAAACCGTTCCCCCAAAATCATGTCTACATTCTACAAAGCGACCAAAACTTCGATTTTATAAACAGGGAAAACTCTCTTGAATCATTTTTAAGAAATCTCCAATGGACTAGTGAGAAACGAGCAGAGGAAGAAACAATATGAAGAAATGTAAACAACACACGCGTGAATCTATTAGAAGTTTAAGAACCCAGCTCAGATCTACAAGTCATAAGCCCTAGAAAACCGGTGAGAGGAAGAACAAATCCGATTAAAGACGACTTCGAAAACCGTACCTGAGCGAATCGAGAGCAATCTCCCTAGCAAAAGTGTCGAAACGAAGAAGAGAACAGAGACGCAGATCTCAAGGAAAGCAAACCGGAGAAGGACCGACTAAAAGAGAGAGTAGAGGAAAGCTAAAGGAGAATGTAGCTGTAACTATACGCGTTCCCGCTCTGTCTCTCTCTCTGCTTCTCTGCTATTTGAAGGCTCCATTTTGGAAGAATATATTATTTTCGGGAAGCAAAATTAATTTAAAAAAAAAAAGATCTTTAATAGAAAATCATGTAGATGGAAGAATATGTTCCTGACCCGAAAGTGTACACATGTCAATAAGTTATTGGATGATCAATAGAGAGATATAGACGGAATTCCTAACGGCCGTGGGGTCAAGGACCTCAAGTTAAGGTATGCTACACGTTTAACTCGGATTGCGATGAGTCCACGTTAAGTCTCCGTTAGCTACTACTGTTAGTGGGAATATACGGGAGCGAGTTAGAGATCAAGATCGGGTGTTAGCGAGTGCACCGAAAGTTTCGTGTTCGAGTTTATGACAGGCGATTCCTTTGTCGGTGGATTAGAAACGGCAATTAAAAGAAAAGCATATATAATCTTTCAAGTGAATATTCGTTTCCATTTCGATGATATACATAATCCCCCAAAAAATGGTGTTTGCTGGTTGATAGTGAATGTAGATAATTTTGTTCTGCGCGTTGAAATGTAAACTTCACAAATCACAACTACACATTGAATGTGTTAAGATATGCCTTAATTAAATGGCATTCAATAAAAATAAGATATTTGTCAGTTGTCACCTAAACGGCTAAACCTATATTGTATTTAAAAATAAGTGAATTGTTATTAGATTGTCGCTTACGTTATTAGATTGTATAATTTATTTTAAACGTATTTGGTCGAAAATTTATTTGAAATAATAAATGTATAACTTACAACCTTTTTATCCTGTATATAAGAGCATCTCCAACCCAGCCCCATATTTCATCTTTATTGCCATTTTGGAGTTAATTTTGCTCCAACCAACTCCATTTCCAATCTCAAAATGGCAAAATGCCATATTTTTTCCCAAAATGGGGATGATCCCATTTCCATTTCCATTTTGGAGTTGAAGTTTATAATTTATATATGAGTCCTTCAAATTTTAAATTATTTCAGTTTAAGATATATAATTAATTATTTTGATATTTATTTTTACTCTAAAATATAAATAACACATATATAATAGGAAAATTAATTATTTAAGCTAATAATAAATTTAAAAAAGAAAGGAAAAATAATTTTATTAGAGATCACATCAAAATGAAATTGTGAAAGTTTTAAAGAAAAAAAATTATGGGGCAATTTGTAATATATATAAATATACAATGCAAATTTAGTAATTAATAAAAGTTTTTCAAAAAGAATATATTTAGAATATTCTTTTTGAAGTAAAATATGGGGCAATACATTGGAGCAAAATCCAACTTCATTTTGAGATTTCTTTATTTTGGAGTTAAATATGAGGTAATACATTGGAGATGTCCTAAGTATAACTCAGACATTTTTGGATTTACACCAATGTTATAATTCAGCAGTAATTTTCAATCATATCATTTGATTAATGTCCAACTTAATCTCTTTTTGTTTGCCTTCTAATACACACGTGCCTTTACCTAAATAAATTTTTTTTTTCAATTAGTGAGATCAGACGGTGTTGGCAGTTGGATAATATGTTTCTCTTTTTTTACCTTTTTTGTCTAGTCAAAAGTTGGATAAGATATTTTCTTGCTATAAATTAAATTATTTGATATCCACAAAGTTTTGGATAACTTTATCCATTCCACGTAATGTACAGTAATTGTAATCTACATTCAAACAAAATCTGCGTGATTTGCTTAATTTCCTTAAAAGTTAGCTTTCCTTTAATGTCGCTGGATTCACTCTTTGTAACCGGATTGTGTAATTTCGAAAAGACGAGATTCTTATTGGCTAGCTGTGACTCTGAGAAGTGACGTTATGGACCTTTCCGTAGGGGATGACCGGTGAATGGGGTTGAGTAACGAATGCTCATGCAGTAGATAAAGATGCTACGTATGATTAATAATTGTAGGAATATTCGTATCCACTCTTTATTCTTTGGGATGATTTATTTGCTTAGCACCGAAGACAAAAAAAGTAATATGTCTTACAAATTTGTCAATGGCCTCTCTTTTTCCCCAACCTTTGCGTCGCATTGGAGTTAGTTGGATGATTCTGCTATAGTACCATTTTTTAGCTGATTTTAAAATGAAGCGATTGAAAAACAACTTTTGCGAGCTTAATCGCAAGGATCTTACCCTGCAAATATTGATTTTTATTTTAAAGGTTTAGATTTCATTAGGCAAAAGCTTAAATTTACAATTACTACGTGCTCACAAGTAACCAAGAGTCATTACAATTCAAGTAAACCGATTTTTTTTTAAAACAAGTTTTTTTTTTATAACGTCTGTATATTATTGATGGATAAAACCAAAAGTAACCCAAAAACAAGTTAGAAAAACATAAAAATCTCCTATAGAACAAAACAGAATTAGCACCCAAGGTCTTCGTTAATTGAATCCTGTTGGGTTGATGAAAAACAATATATTGGGTCGGGTTGCATAAACTATCATAAAGAAATTGGCCCAAGGCCTATTGCTCGAATTCTGATAAACGGCAGCGTATTATCACTAACACAATTTAACCAATCCGTAAACCGAAGAGGCGAAGACCACCCGCCCGGCCAACACAAATCTCCATCACGAACAAGATCCAACGGTCCAGATCAATTCCCTCTCCTTCTCCTTCTTCTCTAAAAAAAAAAATATTCCGAATCTCCGAAAAGCCGATCGGGAGTTAAAAAGATTGAGATTCAACGGCCGGCCGGTGACTCTCTTTCTCCGTTCTGACGATTCATCTTCCCCGAGCTGATCAGGTACGTCTCCATTCCGATTCGAATTTATCTCCATTTCGCTCTGTTTTTAGTGTCTTTGTAACGTTGATTTGTTTTTGCCTACCAGTGATTTGTTTCTCGGCTATTACTTGAATTTTTTTTTCTCACTCGATGGCTGCTCCTCCTGCTAGAGCTCGGGCTGATTACGATTACCTCATTAAACTTCTGTTGATCGGAGACAGCGGTATGTTTCTTCATCCGGATCGTTTATACTGCCTTTCTTCGGCTCTTATTAATTTTTATTGTTTCTGGTGATTTCTCTTTGTTGATCACGATTTGAGCATTATTCGAAGGATCTGATGCATCAGTGGTGATTTGATTTTTCCGATCTTCCGTTTACAGTTAGGCCTAATGGAATTTAGTAACACTTGCTACTCAGATTTGAATTTCATCAGCTTAGAATGTAAATTTCAGTCTCGTTTTCCGCACTTGTGATCATTTGAATGTTCGTATTGCAACGCTTCCTAGTTTCGAATTACGGTGGAAATTCTCCAAACGAATTGCAACAGTGAAGTAGTGAAATCTCAGTCCCGCCTTAACATTGCACACTACGATCCTTTCCTTGAGCCAGATTGATTGAACATTTCCATTTGTTGATTGCTGTGAGCTGTGACTGTTTCACTAATCTCCATGTTCCAGTTTATGGACTATTCGAAAGTTTCTGCTGTATCTAACTTTTCCTCTTTGTGTATCTTTTTCTTTCATGTACCCATTTTCCGTGAACGTATCAGGTGTGGGTAAGAGTTGCCTCCTCTTGCGTTTCTCAGATGGCTCGTTTACCACCAGTTTCATTACAACTATTGGGTACGACTTCTTCATTGGATGACACCGTCGTTACAGTAACGTGCTCTATGTAGTTGTCTGCTCCTAAACATTTTGATTTTTTTTTTTTTGACAGAATTGATTTCAAGATACGGACTATAGAGCTTGATGGGAAGAGAATTAAGCTGCAAATCTGGGACACCGCAGGACAGGAGCGATTCCGCACCATCACAACTGGTCTCTCTTTGATTTGCTTTAGAATATGCCCTTTGCTTTTCAATTTCTGCTCCTTCCTCACTGTGTTGTTGGGAGCCTGGAAATGGAATACAAACTCAAGTGTTGTGTTCTTATTGCAGCATACTATCGTGGAGCCATGGGAATATTGCTTGTGTATGATGTGACTGATGAGTCATCTTTCAACAGTAACTACTTTCTTTCTTTCAACTTGCAGTTTAATTAAGTTTTATTACAGGCCTTTATGCAACCAACAATCTTATGCAACAGTTATAAAGTTTATATTCTTCCAACTTTTAGCTCTATTAGTTTCTCATCAACTAATCTTTCCTTCAATTCAAGACATTCGGAATTGGATTCGTAACATTGAGCAGCACGCTTCTGATAATGTCAACAAGATTCTAGTGGGGAACAAGGCTGATATGGATGAAAGCAAAAGAGTCTCTCTCTCTCTCTCTCTTTCACCACCTCCTCTTGTATCTTCCTGCTAATTTGTTAAATGATTTTGGTTAGCTAATGCACCGACTCTTGTCGTTTTTTTCCAGGCTGTGCCAAAAGCTAAGGGCCAAGCTCTTGCAGATGAATACGGAATCAAGTTTTTCGAGACTGTACGTAGTGGTTCTAGTCTTTATTTACATGTCAATGTCTTATTCTGTTCATTTGCTTAACCATGATGAGTTTAAATTTTGCAGAGTGCCAAGACCAACTTAAACGTCGAGGAAGTTTTCTTTTCAATTGCTAAAGACATCAAGCAAAGACTTGCAGATACCGATGCAAGGGCTGAGGTTCGTTTTGACCTTTGGAATTTATCTACCATGTGTATCAATGGTTTTAAAGTGGTCAATTTTCTTATCATTTTGTAGCCACAAACAATCAAAATGAACCAATCCGACCAAGGCGCAGGAACATCTCAAGCTACTCAGAAATCAGCATGTTGCGGTTCGTAAAAACACCATCAAAGGAGAGAATCTACAATCTAGCTACTACTGATGAAAAGAAGAGGGAAATCTTCTATGCTTTTCTATATATATAAGATGGTGTTTCTTACGCTATTTTTAAACAATCTCTCTTTCCTCTAACGGTACCGTATAGTGTGAACGACACATATTTCCTGGTAATGGATTCTCTGACGTCAGATTTGACTTTTGATAATATCAGTTTTTATCTCAAGCCATCGATCTTTTCTACTTGATCGATCATTCCTACTGTGAAAACTTTCCCACAGTGATGTAATATCCTTTCAAGGAACTCACGGGATAATACGCTGTGAAGAAATAAAAAGGTCTTTACATTATCTTACCATGTTTAAAAGGTTACGTTTGTAAATAAATAGTAAAGTCTTAAAAACGAAAATACTGAAGTCTTATATATTCTGAATGGCTAATCATAATTTACAAATTCTCAAAAAGAATAAAAACCCTAAATCCTTTGACTGCTAAGGAGAAAAGCATAGAGAACGTGCGTCTATCTCCTCCGGTCTCGTTGTTCTCGACGAAGCTGACGAAACTATTACTGTAGGTATGTCCTCTAGCTAGCTATTCGACTATCTCTCTCTCTACTATGAAATCTTAAAGCTAGGTTTCTTCTATAGGACTTATTCAATATAGGTTTTAACTTTTAACATATATGTCTCTGTTGGATCAGGAAATAAAACAATCATGACTTCAGATTTCATCCCGACCGAACTCATCACCGATATAATGTTGAGATTGCCTGCAAAGTCTGTCGCGAGATTTCAATGCGTGTCGAAGCTATGGGCATCAATATTTAGCCGCGCATATTTCACCGAGCTGTTCCTGACCAGGTCCTCCGCACAGCCGCGTATCTTATTCGCCATTGAAAACGAGGGTTCGTGGAGCATCTTCTCGGTGCCTCAACGTCTGCGTCCATATGAGAAGTCGCCGTCTCCTTCGTCTCTTGCGGTAGCCGCCGAGTTTCATATGATTTTCCCACCAGAAAATATGAAAATCTACCCTCGTAGTGACCGACGATTTGCATGTGGCTACGCCTCTGGCTTGATGTATTTCTTTGGTATGTGGATCGGAGGGTGGGGCGGCGACGGCGATGGAGTGCCTGTGATATGTAACCCTAAAACGGGACGGTATGAGACCTTACCTTTTGAGAGAAGGTACAGAAAGGCGTATAGCTTTTTCGGGTTTGATCCGATTGACAAGGTATACAAGGTATTGTTCGTGGCTGATCCATGTGCTCCATATCATCACAAAATTCTGACGTTAGGAACTGGAGAAATGGAGTGGAGAAGGATCGAAGTTCCCTTAATTATACATGAGATCGTGAGTGATGGGATATGCATCAACGGTGTTTTGTATTACTTAGCTGACATGTATGAGAGTTTGCCTGATTCTCATTCGTCTGAGGAGATGACTTATTTTATGATAGTTTGCTTTGACGTTAGGTCTGAAAAATTCAAGGTTATTTACCGGAAAGGCTATTGTCAACTGATAAATTATCTAGGTAAATTAGGTTTGGTTTATCATGATGATTACACTAATGATGCCATTGCTTTCCGTGTGTGGGTTCTAGAGGATTTGGAGAAACAAGAATGGTCGAAATATGAATACACTTTGAGGGATGATAAGTTCTCACTTCATTACGTCTCGGTTGTTGGTGTGACTGCTACGGGTGAAATTGTTTTGTCGATGGCCGATTACACATTTCAACAGCCGTTTTATTTTTTCTTCTTCAATCCTGAGAGGAAGACTCACCAACGTGTTGAAATCCAAGGTTTTGGAGGATACCATGAAGCATTGGGCAAGCCTAGTAGAGTGCATGTCTTTGTAGACGATAGTAGTAGATTCTACGACTTTGCAAACCAAGTTGAGGGTCTTAGTGTTAATGATCCGAAGCTACTTAAGTCAAGCATCTATGCTCCATATGTGAGGACGGAAGAAATAGATTATGAGGAGGGGTCAAATTTTGAGGGTTATAATGAGTGGTCAATAGTATTTGAAGAAGAAGAAGAAGAATCAGAATCAGAAAGTTAAGGGGAAATGAGAAGGACAAGATAGAGGCGATCATATGAGTGAACAATGGGCATGCCATCTGTTGCTCTAATGTAATCTTTTTATGATTTAACTATTTTAATAAATCTAGTTTTCTTATGTAATTCTATCCACTCCCCTCAGTTCTAAACCAGTAATATCCTAAACGATTTTTTTGCTGTAACGAATACAAAACAGCGATTGTAGATTGGAGAAACTGAAAAAAATTCATTTAATGGAATTGTGTATATACATGACTGAAAGGATGAAAATAATGACTGGCAAGAGAAAGAAAAATGAAAGTTACAAAAAATTAATAAAAGAATTTCAAGACCTAATTGGTGACGCACACAAAAAGACTAGTTTACGGACAAACTTTTAATCAATTTGTGGAACCAAAGTCTTCCCAAAGATATATACAAGATCATTCTCAAATGGAGTTAGATTCAAATCCAAGCACAAAGCCTTCTTGCTGCTATTGCACCGATTCAAAACCGGTCTGGTATAAACCGCAGAAGAGATCACGGATTGTTCGTTCATCGAACTTATCCTATGCTTCCTCATGTGACCGCCTAAAGCTTGACCGGTCCCAAACATTTGACTACAGATTGAACACTTGTGCACATCATTCACGCTGTTACGATGCTTCACCTGTTCTTGGTCAACGCCCAGCTTAGGTCTTTTGTGGCTGGCTCTATGACCTCCGAGAGCTTGGAACGAATCAAATTTCCGGTTACACGTTTTGCATTCGAAGTGGTTATGACTGGTTTTGCTTCCAGCAGTAGGTTGGTTTACATTGATTTGTTTGGCCACGAAACTCCGAGATAACATCATTAGACTTTTTACTATGTCTGTATGGTTGATGGTTTCTTCGTAATCGGTCCGGTCTCTCTTCATGCTATTTCGGTTTGAGAAGAGAAAAGATTACGATAGAGCAAAGTAAAGATTTAGGTTTTGGTTGGTGACTTGGTGTCCCTAGAAATTTGGAGAAGAAAAACACACCTGGCTTGTGAGATTTTTTTTGGTAATGAAAACATTTGGAAGGATTATTTATAAGCAAAATGAAGAAAGTTTAGAAGTTTTGACTTTATAATTGGACGGACCGACCAAAAATAAAAGTCGTCCGAACTCCTATTCAAATAAATTAAGCAGCACTACTGGTTTGACTAAGCATTCCAGTGTAAATATTATCGAGTATCGACTACCAGGCAGGCACAAATTTTCGTAAAAACCGAACGAACAAAGTCTATTTCGTCCAAAATATTATCAGCTTGAATAATTAGTTTCACATTTTTATGTTGGCTTCTAAACTAGAAAGCTAACACGTGACTTTTATATTATTGACTGCAGAAAAAATGAGCACGTGGGGATAACTACTAAGAAAGTCAAAGGATTGCAACCTCAAAAATCAAAATCGGACAACTGATCTTCACCTAGACACTCTTTGTACGCTGAATCTATAGACTATATAGATAGATATTACCGTATACGTACACTGCATGTATACACACACACGTCATCAATGATGGAATCGTGACGGCGTCTAAAGCCGGATTTAGACTTCAGATTAAAGAGTTGAAAAGTGTGATTCTTTAATTGTAAAAGAGTAATAACGAATAACCAACTCATGTTTTGTTCTTATCCAAAGTTTCAACTTGGAATATAATTGTAGGCAGTTTGTTTGCTGGATCTTTGGCATTATATAATTAGCAATTTAGCATTCAGTATTAGTGACGACTGGCTTTTTGTTTGTTTCATCAATATGTAAGCTTTTAAATTTTGGTGTGTGTGAATTAATGAATCAATTGTCAACAGATTCTGATGTTACTTTGAACTTTAACATTCTTGGATTCAAACTGAGAGGACCTTTTGTTGACTTTTGCTGCATAGAAATTGGCAGGAAAAGAAGGGCTCTCCATCATTACCTAGGCATGATCCATTCTTAACAATAACCAAGCCTAGATTGGGAATGTCTAATAAAGTTGCAGCTGAAATCACCAACTGTAACGACCAGATCAGCCTAAGTGGACAACCAGTCTCTAACTGAATATTAAAGGATTATTAAATTGACAACTTGGAACATTGTAGGAATGTAGATGTATTATTTAGTCATACTTATATGTATATGTATATTTCTGCACTATGTAGCATCTTATGGTGTTTTGGCCATTGATTAGCTGCTTAATTTTTCAGTTAAACCTTTTAGTTGCAGCTCAATGTCTTCCCTAGCCGGATCAATCTATACAAGGGAACTGCAAGAAAAGTCAATAGAAATAAGAAAGTTTCAAACCCCATTACATTGAACAAAGCTATATAATAAAACTTTGCTGACTGTTTCTTACGTATAGTCCCTTTCTGGTATGTTTTATAAAATCGTTAGATCACTGTTATCATGAACTTTCTGCTTCCAGCATTATTTTTCTTATGGGACACAACTATGTCTGATGACCAAAACAGACTTCTACTTTTCCTTGGTGTTGAAGAAGTTTCCGATGATATTCTTTTATGATATTAAGTCTTCTGCCAAACGTGTTTCTTGGTTCATTCTTCTGGTGACTTGATCATGATTAACTTATAAGATTGGCCTTGACCCAGAAGTTTTCTTATCAAATGTGAATTCATCTATCTCTGACCACCATGTATGTTTCTGTGTGCTACCAACGAGAATATTTAGTATGATCGTCTTCCTTTTATAGGTACCATGATGAGTTCAAGAACATTCGGTTTAGTATTCCTGGTGACATTTGTTTGCCTTCTGCTTCAAGCAGCTGAGTCAAGAACAGATCCTTCAGAAGGTGATGATCACTTTTTCACCATATAACCTCACATATTTTCTACATATTGATTATATACATATAATTCTACAAAAGTGGAGACTGCTTTTAAGAATTTTGCTAATATATTTTTATCCATTTTGCAGTAAGTGCTTTACGGGAGATCAAAAGGAGTCTAATTGATCCTATGATAAATTTAAGTAACTGGGGAAAGGGAGACCCCTGCAAAACAAACTGGACTGGCATAGTATGCTTCAAGAACCCACATGATGATGGTCACTTTCACATCCAGGAGCTGTATGTTGCTCTTCTATTACCATTTGTTACATGTCTCGTCTTCTTTTTGGGCTTATTCTCCTGAAGAAGTAGATAGTTTATGCATCACTAATGTTGTTTTGGTACTTACACCTTCTGTCATTTACATAATGTTATGTAGACAATTGATGAGGATGAATCTATCTGGAGAGCTAGCTCCTGAAGTTGGCCAGTTATCATTTCTAGAAATTCTGTAAGATGAAGAGTCATATACACTGTTTCATTTGATTGGCTTCTAAGTTGTCTTCATGCTGACTGAAAAACCTATCTTCTCTTTGGCTACCGTGTTGAAGTAATGTGATGTGGAACAACCTGACTGGTCGTATTCCTTTGGAGATAGGAAGAATTACTTCCTTGAGACTCCTGTAAGTTTTGGATCACATCATGTACTTTCTTTTGCCTTCTTTAACTTGGACAGAGCCACAGTTCCAAGTTTTGATTGGTTGTCTTCATTATTTGGACAGGCTGTTGAATGGGAACAAGTTCTTGGGTAGTTTACCACCTGAACTAGGTAATCTTGGAAACCTAAACAGACTTCAAGTAGATGAGAACAACATAACAGGTTCAGTTCCACTTTCATTTGGAAACCTGCGTAGCATTAAACATCTGTAAGTTGTTTATCTTTCTTCATAGACAAACCAGTCATCATTTTTGTGCTTCATCCTTTACTCATTAATGGCTTTTGGGATTGTCAAGCCACTTCAACAATAACACCATAACCGGAGAAATTCCGGTTGAGCTATCCAATTTGACAAATCTTGCTCACCTGTGAGTATTTTTTTTTTTTTTGTTTTCTTGATTTCACTTTTAGCATATACTGTGTCTATATTTTGATGGATCCAAATATGGTAGGATACTGGACAATAATAACTTGACTGGGACTTTACCGCTAGAGCTAGCTCTATTGCCATCCTTGACCATACTGTATGCGCCTCTTCTCCCATATTTTGTTCTCTTGATTCTTTTGTTTGCCTACAACGATATTCTGCTTATGCAGTCAGCTGGATAACAACAACTTCCAAGGTTCTGAGATTCCAGAGGCTTATGGAAACTTTCCAAGATTAGTAAAATTGTAAGACTTTGCATTAGGTTTCAAATGGGTCCTTGTTTCTTTACTAGTTTCTCAACAGTGTTCTGAAATTATTCTTTCCTCCTTGGCAGAAGTTTAAGGAACTGTGGACTGCAAGGATCAATTCCTGATTTGAGCAGGATTAAACATCTTAGCTATCTGTAAGTGTCTCTGTCTAGTAATTTTTTTAAGGGCATTGTGTGATTCAGTTACTGGGCCTCGAGTTCTTGAAACGTCTTTAGGGAAATTTATTTAATCCTCACTTAATTTGCAGAGATCTAAGCTGGAACAACCTCACAGGGACTATACCAGAATCCAAGCTTTCTGACAACATGACAACAATGTATGCATTACATATTTCCAAATCTTTCTCAAATAAATACAACTACTTAAACGTTGATTTACTTTGCTGCAGTGAACTATCTTATAACAACCTCACTGGCTCTGTACCACAAAACTTCTCAGAGTTGGGATCTCTTCAATTACTGTATGTATAAAACACTCATTGATCATTGAAATGAATATTCCAATATCATCATATTTTCTGCATTTGTCCAATCATCTGTATGTACTTTGTATGACATTTCTGTGTTATCTATCACAGTTCGCTTGAGAACAACAGTTTATCTGGTTCTGTCCCGACATCAATTTGGCAGAACAGGTCTTTCCAGAATAACAAGCTGCGAGTGTATGACCTCAACTCTTTCGTTTCATTTTTGTGTAATAGTTTCTATCTTTTTCGCTGAAACTTCTTTTGGATGCATGCACAGTGATCTCAGGAACAATAACTTCTCTGATGCTTCAGGAAACCTGAGAACACCTGAAAATGTTACCCTGTAGTGAGTTTCTTTGTTCCTACGTCGTAACAAGTTACTGCACATTCTAAATACTAAAGCTCTGTTTTTTTTTCTGTTGTGTGACTTGTGTCCAAAGCCTTCGTGGCAATCCGGTATGCAATAGTACAAGCATTCCCATTGTTAACCAACTCCTCGAATACATCTGCGGCGAAAAGAAGCAAACATCTACAAAGTCAAACACACCCTGCAGTAATGTGTCGTCATGTCCCTTTGAGAATGTCCAAGTCTCTCCAGGAATCTGCTGGTGTATAGCGCCTCTTACGATAGACTATAGACTAAAGAGCCGTAGCTTCTTTTTCTTCACTCCATACATCGAACGCCAGTTCATGGAGTATATAACCACCTCCCTCCAGTTGGAAACTCACCAACTAACAATTGACAGAGTTTTTGATGAGAACAAGCTGCGTCTGAGGATGTACTTAAAGCTAATCCCCAAAGGCCAAAGGATATTCAACGTAAGCGAAGTGATACGTATCAGGAACAGGTTTATGTCATGGAGTTTTGGTCGTAATGACTTTTTTGGACCCTATGAGCTACTTGACTTCCCTCTTGAAGGACCTTATGGTACAGCTTTTTTCACCTACTTAATCTATAACATACATAACTTGTCTAAATAATACATCTTTGGATGCAGAGAACTTGTTAGCTAAAGAAAGTGCAATTAGCATTGTTGGATGGGTGATGATAGTGGCTGGCTCTATTGTTGTTGCCACTGTTATGTCAGTGACTGCAACACTTCTATATGTTAGAAAAAATCGAGAGAAGTCACATACACCAACCAAAAAACGTTTTTGTAAGCAATTTACATTTTTGTTTTGTCCTTATAACCATGATGAGACTAATTCAAGGACTATTTCTTCTTCATGTTTTCCAGTCAGGGCAATATCTAAGGAAATCCAAGGGGTGAAGAAGTTCAGTTTTGTAGAACTGTCGGATGCGACTCATGGTTTTGATAGCTCTACAGTGATTGGTAGAGGAAGCTATGGCAAAGTCTACAAAGGCATATTGCCTAATAAGACCGAAGTTGCCATCAAAAGAGGAGAAGAAACTTCTCTGCAGAGCGAGAAAGAGTTTCTGAATGAGATTGATCTGCTTTCGAGGTTACATCACCGGAACCTTGTGTCGCTGATTGGCTACAGTAGTGACATTGGAGAACAGATGCTTGTGTATGAGTATATGCCTAACGGCAATGTGCGTGATTGGCTTTCAGGTGAGAAACATTTCCTTTAAGTTCTTTCTCTGTTCTTGCAAGATTTGAAACTAGCTTTATGTTTTAACATTGTGATGCACATGAAGCTAATGCTAAGGAAACATTGAGCTTTAGCATGAGGTCACAAGTGGCTTTGGGATCAGCTAGAGGGATACTTTACCTTCACACTGAAGCAAACCCGCCAGTGATTCACCGTGATATCAAAACCAGCAACATACTCTTGGACTCTCAGAATCATGCTAAAGTTGCTGATTTTGGACTCTCGCGTTTGGCTCCTGCTTTTGGGGAGGGAGATGGTGAGCCTGCACATGTGTCAACCGTAGTGAGAGGAACACCTGTGAGTTTCCAAAATAGAATACTATGTGATCATCTCATTATTATAAGTAACCAGTGGCCTTTTTGACAAAACTACAGGGATATCTAGATCCAGAGTACTTCATGACACAGCAACTGACGGTGAAGAGCGATGTGTACAGCTTCGGAGTTGTGTTGCTTGAGCTCTTGACTGGAATGCATCCATTCTTTGAGGGTACACATATCATCCGCGAGGTACTTTTCTTGACAAGATCTCCAAGTTCTATGTTTCTTGGGTGATTTCTTGTTTCTAAGACGTTTTGTGTACAATGTGTGTGTGTGTGTGTGATACAGGTGAGGATGGCGTATGAATGTGGAACGGTTCAGTCAGTGGCGGATAGTAGGATGGGAGAAATTTCGCCGGATAAAGTGAAGAAGTTGGCGGAGTTGGCGTTATGGTGTTGTGAGGATAGACCAGAGACGAGACCAGCCATGTCCAAAGTGGTCAAGGAACTTGAAACTATTTGCCAAACTGTGAGAGAAACAGCAGATATGTTCGCAGAAACAACCACATTACTCTACACCAAAACATCTTCGTCGTCATCGTCTCCTGTACTTTCGCCTTTGTTTTTGATTCCTGGAGCTGGAAGTGACTTAGATAGTGGTTTTTTCCAACCTGCTAAACCTCGCTGACTGACTCATCTTTGTTGTGAGATATATAGGCTAATTGTTTTATATAGTGCTAGAAACCATGAATGAGACTGTGTTATATATTTAGGAGATACTTTGGATGTCTTAAACCGGTTCTGTTGTGCTGATTCCTAACAATAGTAAAATGACTAAACAGTTAAGATCCAGGTTTTGTATTTGTAGAAATCATATTCTTAATTCAGTAATGCATTCTTTCAAGTTCTATAAATCCATGTCTTTTTAACCATAAGTGTAAACAGAGTAATATTAGGAGAGAAAAAAGATATGAACATAAACGCAAATGTTTAAGAGATTTGGAATTTTACTTTGTAAAAAACAAGTACATAAACAATACTCATGAATCAGTTCCTACCATGAAGCACAATCTAGCGTGAGACAGGTAAGAGCTTAGCACTTTTAGATTAGAACACACAGAGACCGTGAAGACCCATTTAAAGCAGTGCTGATCCGTAGAAGACAGCTTCTGCAGGACCGGTCATGTAGATATGGTTGTCTTCTTGCTTCCACTCTATCTCTAATGGTCCACCCGGTAGATCCACTGTGCATTTCTGTTCCACCACGACCAACACAAAAAAAATTATATAAGGAGCTCATGCAACTAAGCTCAGCTCATGACAATTTTTAGTTCTGAAATTCTAAGCTTACCCTGTTGGCTCGACCTTCAAGGACTGCTGCAACAACCAGAGCGCAAGCTCCAGTACCACAGGCCAAAGTCGCTCCTGCAGTTTTAAGTATGCTTAAGCATATAAGGATACATAAACCATAGATAATCGACTAAGAAATAGATTCCACGGTTTAAAGGGGAATTAGCTGACCTGCTCCACGCTCCCAGACACGCATTTTCAAATGAGAACGTGACAAGACTTCCACAAATTCTGCAGATAATATGTAAAGAATTGTAAGATAGAGAAAAAATCCAAAATGTTATAGAAGTATCACTGCATCCCCATGAAAATTAGGATAGATCTATATCCACTAACCTGTGTTAGTTCGAGCTGGGAACATTTCATGATTCTCAAACTTTGGACCAATCTCTGGCAAGTTCAAATCATCAACTTTCAGTTTCTGCTCGACACCAAAGGGACATAAGTCTTACAAACGATGAGAAATTCCATGTATCCATAAAATGACAGAACTTTAAAGTCCAGCAAAGCAAGCAAAACACTCACCGGTCCACCCTTTTTACCGAACGTGATGCAGTGAGGATTGCCCATACTAACACAGGTCACATTCCAGCTTACTCCATCAACAACTAGCTCTCCCTGAATAACAGCTTCACCTTTGTTCCCTGGCAACTTTGTAGGCACATCTTGTGCTTTCAGAATCGGTTTTCCCATGTCCACCTTAACCTGTATCCATACCAATCACATAAAAATCCAATCTTTACCTTACCCATCACCATCATCATGAATATGACTAAACCTAACCCAAATGGTTTTACCTGTCCGTCTTCTTGAATCTCTGGAACAATCAGGCCAGCTCCAGTATGTATTGTAAAACTACCCAAACAAATCAGAACACATAAGAGATTTTGACTCAATTTCGGATCTCTCAACAGATAATTTCTCAATACCTGTGTTTTCCCTGCAAGTTCTGAAGCTCAGAAATGAACCTAGCAAAGCATCGAACTCCATTGCCACACATCTAACAAGCACAAAACCAAAGAGACGTTTTTTAATTGAAAATGCAACAAGAACTCACTCAAAACATATCAGTTCATCGAGAAGCTAACCTCTGGTTCACTTCCATCTGAATTGAATATCCTCATGGAGTAATCTGTACCATTGACTCCTGGCATTGCGAAAATCACTCCATCGGCACCAACACCGAAGTTTCTATCGCACAGCTTCGCCGCCTGCTCTTGTGTTATCTTAGGCTCCGATGAGTCTCTGTTATCCACCTTTGGAAAAAAACACAATTTTTTTTTCCGAATTCGATACATTTCGGTTGAATTCAATTTGAGATTTCAAACGGAGAACAAAAGTTACCAAAATGAAGTCATTGCCGAGTCCATGGTACTTCACAAAATGAAGAACTCCTCCGGATTCTCTCTTATCGAGAAAACTCGCCGGAGAGATTTTCTCGGCAGTCACAGCGTCCATTGAGGCTGCTGCAGAAACGCGGACACTAGAGCTCCCAATCCCAACGCAATATTTTCTCTCGAAGCAACCAAACGAAAGAGAAGAGAAAGACCCAAGCTTCTTAGACAATGCTAGCGATAGCCGGCGAGATTGCAGCGCGACGGAGACAGTGCTAGTGGCGGCTATCTCCATTGCTGCTTCGGATTTTTCTCTTCCTCTGTTTCGAAACTCTCTCCTCTATATTGGGAGACTTTGACCAAAATAAAACATCGTGCTGTGTGTTTATTCAGTAATAAAACTTCATGTCGTTCTTTAGTAGACAGATATTTAATGAAAAAGGCCTGAAGCCCATTAAGAACTTGGAAAGCCTCTCTCTCTCCTTCGCCATCTCCTTCCTCTGGTTCGCTCTGTTTCTCTCTCTCCATTTCAGTCTCTTTCGATGTTAAATGTTTTCTCCTGAGATTTTTGTTCTCTCCAATTAAGCGAGTTTTCGTATCTCCGATCTGAATTTTCACGTGATTAAGTTTCGGCAGAATCCAATTCTCGTTTAGTTTTAATCAGTGAGAGAAATTTACGGTTAGTTTCTAAGCTGCATTACTTTATGCTTCCTTTTTTTCTGTTACTTTTCCCACCATTTTTTTAGCTATCTCTATTGAGATAGATCCATCCCCCAATTGAAGATCATTAGGGTTTTCGAATTTCGGAATCTTATCCCCTAATTCGAATTCGAATTCGAATTCACCCACAAATAATCTTCATTTCTCTTTGTTCAGCTAATTCGATTTTCGGAATCTTATCGCCGAATTCGATTTGATTTTGATTTCAGCTCTGGATTTTGCATCAGTAACCCTTTATGCAAAGCAGTGTGCATCGTGAGAAAGCTAGCTCGATCGCGATGATCTTGGAAACGCAGCGTAATGTTGAATTCCCTCATCGGAACGTCGATAAGCGTCCGAGGAAACGGCCGCGATTGGCTTGGGATGCTGCTCCTCCTCTTCCTCCTCCTCCTCCTCCACCAACGGTAACAGAATTGTCCACATCTATTTGTCAAAGAGCTAATCTTTTGTCGTTTTCATAGCTCAGGATCTCTGTTTTTGATCTTGGAATTGTGTTAACTACTTAACAAATTTCAGCTTTTTCTTTGTGCTTGAGCTAAGTTGTTGATGTTGTTATGCGAATTTTCAGCTGATGAGTTTGTTTTTTGCTTTTTCAGGTGTTTCATCCGCCTTTGTACTATGGTCCAGAGTTTGCGAGTGGAGTGGTTCCGAATTTCGTTTACCCAAACATGTTTTATAATGGCCTTCCTCGTCAGGGCTCTCCTCCCTGGAGACCAGATGATAAAGACGGCCATTACGTCTTTGTCGTTGGAGATACTCTGACTCCACGATGTGAGTCTCTTATGTTACAGAGTCTTTCGACTTCTTATCTGTTTCACCGGCTTTTAATGGAGGCTAACTTCGTTACATTGACATGCCTATTCTGTTGTCCGTGCAGATCAAATTCTCAGCAAAATGGGTGAAGGTTAGTTATATATAATCCAAAGTCAGAGTAGGATTTATGTATATCAAAACTATATTTTGGAGAAGATTGGTAGTCTCATGGTCCGTTGGATTGTATTTGGCAGGTACATTTGGACAAGTATTGGAATGTTATGATAATAAAACCAAAGAAGTGGTGGCAATCAAAGTTATACGGTCCATAAACAAGTACCGTGAAGCTGCCATGATAGAAATCGACGTGTTGCAAAGGCTTACAAGGCATGATGCTGGTGGTTCTCGGTAAGAATATTTTTATGTCCTCTTTACGAATTCTTGGTTAGTGGTTAAATTTATTGCATCTGGTATAAGCTTTTCAAATTCCTTGCAGTTGTGTGCAAATACGGAATTGGTTTGACTATCGTAATCATATTTGTATTGTAAGTACTGTTACCTTTATTTGATAAGTTTGATGGGGGAACATACAATCTCCCAAATGTTATGTGAGTTAAAAGAACTTGCGGATGGGTTTAAATGGTTTCAACAGGTATTTGAGAAGCTTGGGCCAAGCTTATATGATTTTCTCCGCAAAAACAGCTACCGTTCATTTCCCATTGATCTTGTTCGGGAGCTTGGCAGACAACTTTTGGAGTCTGTCGCATGTGTGTGGACTATTCTTCACCCATTCTTCTATAGTTCTTTATAGTAGACCATCAGTGCTATAAATCATTAATAGTTATTAGTTCATGTTTCTCTTGAAAATTTGCAATTTGCATGGAATCTAAATTGCTTAGGCTGCCATTGTTTGTTTACCAGTGTACTCAGACCTTGTTCATTCTATTTCTGACAGATATGCACGATTTGCGGCTGATCCACACGGATTTGAAACCGGAGAACATTCTTCTGGTATCTTCTGAATATATCAAAATACCTGACTATAAGGTTAGTAATCAATCATCTCCAAGCTTAAAGGAACTTGTACAACTCAAGTTGGCTGACTTTTTCCTTTGTGGTCATGAAAATCTAGTTTCTGTCACGACCCACGAAAGATGGGTCATACTTCAAGAATCTGCCCAAGTCAAGTGCCATCAAGCTCATTGATTTCGGAAGTACAACGTTTGAACATCAAGACCATAACTACATCGTTTCCACAAGGCATTACCGCGCACCAGAGGTTATCCTAGGTAAACTTATCTGGATTTTTCCTGTGTAGATGATAATTATTTTCTAGTATTTAATATTCTGGAATGTTATGGCAGGGCTTGGATGGAACTATCCATGTGACTTGTGGAGTATTGGTTGCATACTTGTTGAACTTTGTTCGGTGAGTAACTCTCTCTCTTTACGTGTTTTCAGTACACCAGAATTCATGTCACCATTTCTCAGTAAACGTTTTCTTCTGGATACAACTTGCAGGGAGAGGCGCTCTTCCAAACGCATGAAAACTTGGAGCATTTGGCCATGATGGAAAGGGTCCTAGGACCATTACCGCCTCATATGGTGCTCAGAGCCGAGTAAGAACAACAAGATCATCCTATTAGCAGCATCAGATACCAGAATTGAATTGCAATCTCTTATATCAAAACGGTTTCTTGTAGCTGGCGCTCTGACAAATACTTCAGGCGAGGTGCAAAGTTAGATTGGCCTGAAGGTGCTGCATCAAGAGACAGCTTGAAAGCAGTATGGAAACTTCCCCGCTTACCGGTAAATAATCTCCAGCTGATCAATTAAGTTACTTAAGACTTGTCATTCACTTAAACTTGAGTAGTTGACATTCATTTATTTTGCAGAATCTGATAATGCAGCATGTGGATCACTCGGCAGGGGATCTGATAGATCTAATACAAGGTCTGCTTCGATATGATCCAATAGAGAGGCTAAAGGCAAGAGAAGCACTGAACCATCCCTTCTTCACAAGAAGCCGGGAACAGAGTATTCCCTTTAACCCAAATCCTCATCCATTTTTATATAACCACAACCACAAGAACTAAAAAGAAGAAACCAGCAGATATAATGTTTTCTGGGTTCCTTCACTATCCCTGGTTTCTTTTTTTTTTGTAGCATTATTACATACTTTCATGTATAGAAATGAAAAGAAAGAGAGAAAGAAAAAGGCTTGTGCCTCCTTATCTTCTCGTCTGTTGTTGTTTTTCGTTTCTTTGGTTCGTCTTCCGACCACGACCAAGGTTGTACCATGTGGCGGATTTAAAGAGTTGTTACAGTTACTTACACAATGTGTGTGTCATCTACTCATCTTGCAAAGCGTGATTTCTTCATGATATTTGACGATGAATACGACAAAGGGATCCAAACCCGTATCCGGTTTAGTCGAACCGAAATCATTATTCGCTTTTGGATCGGTTAAAATTAAAACCCAGTATAAGGCCCATTTAACTATAAAATACCGAAACGGTGTCGTATTTGTGTGAAGCATATTCGGAAGCGAAGGCTTGATCTTCTTCTCTCACTCAGCTATCTCTTCACTCTTCAGTGTGTAGGGTTTTCGAGGTTTATCTCTTACCGCAATCATGGAGTCTCTGGGAAAGTTACGGCTCAATCACCAGCCATTCCACCTTTCCCTCACTCACAAATCTTCATCGTTCCCGAAAAACCCAACATTTACCCCCTTCAGAGCCTTAATCCGACCAATTTCCTCAGTCAAATGCGCTTCAATCAAAGCTTCTTCGTCCTCCAAATCACAAGACTCTAGAATTATCCCTCTCATAAAATCCACATGCATCACTCTAACAACCGCCGCGGCGCTCCTCCTCGTCAATCTCCAGCTCAAATCGCCGGCGATTGCAGCTCCCGTCGCGCCTCCGCCGTCAGTGGAAACCACCAACGAGCACGTGTCCTTGGAAGAAGAAGAGAAAGCGCTTGAATCACATTTAGCGACTCACGCTCCCGATGTGGACACTCTCCGTTCCCTGATGGAGGTAAAGATCAAATCCCGTAAGCTTTTAGAAGCAGTAGAAGTGATCGATCGTCTGATAAAGCTAGAACCAGAGGAACCTGAATGGCCAGTTTTGAAAGCCAGCATTTTCACATACAGTGGAGATCTAGATTCAGCGAAAACCGGATTCGAAGAGATTCTAGCTAAAGATCCGCTTCGCGTCGAAGCTTATCACGGCCTGCTCATGGCTTACTCCGACGCAGGTCTCGATTTGAAAGAGGTCGAGAAGAGAATTAGAGAAGCAATGTTGATGTGCGAGAAAGAGAAGAATCAAAACGATTTGAGGGATTTTAAGCTGCTCGTGGCGCAGATTCGGGTGATAGAAGGAAAGCATAGTGAAGCGTTGAAGCTTTATCAGGAGCTTGTGAAGGAGGAGCCGAGAGATTTCAGGCCGTATCTGTGTCAAGGGATGATATACACGTTGATGAAGAAGAAAGATAAAGCGGAGGAAGAATTCGACAAGTTTAGGAGACTTGTGCCGGAGAATCATCCTTACAGAGAGTATTTTATGGATAATATGATTGCTACGAAGCTTTTCTCTGAGAAGACGCAGCGTGAGTTGGCTGCTGGATCATCACCGAGTTGATATGTTTCTTTAATGTTTTAGACGAATCGTTAATGAGGTGTAAAATGGTTTAATGATCAGTGATTTTGATGATGCAGTCTTTTTCTTGATGCCTATTTAGTTGAACACTTTAGTGATGGATTTGAATCACATTCCCCTTTGAAACTGATGATGTCTTGTATTCTCTATGTTGAGCACTATTGAACAAGGAAGATAGTTTGCTAAACGAACCATTCTCTGCATTTTTAGGACTGCTCTTTAGTCTTGTTAAGATCTCTGCGTTGTTCTTTGCTACTGTATAGGAATCACGGAATAGTTTGCTTGGGGTTATTAAAGTTAGGCTAATGTCTCATTAGTTTTTTGGCAACAACTTGTGTAAAAACTAGCGAGTGCATAAAAAAGGACATTTTCATCCGAATTTATTTAACTTAAATACAACCTACAATGTTTGGTGGAGTATAACCAAAATGTGCAACATGATTAGCTCCTAGTGAATGTTGAGTTAAGGCTTCTTCTATTTCTTTCGACACAACAAAAGATATCAAATCTCTGATTGTTGTTTATTCAAGTAACCAAATGAACAAAGCAAACATGCATGATTGTATTTCCTTGCATCTATTTGTTGTGGAAATCGGACCTCGAATAGCCAAGTTGTGATTCATAATGGAGTCATAAGTATTGACAGAGATCTTTCCCTTTTATGAAGGTGTCATAACTGGACCACAATCTTGACAATCAGAAACGATGATCTTCTTCTTCTTCTGCTGTAGGTGAAGTTATAAATGTATGTTCAGTCACCACCCATGTTCTTGCTTGATTTTTGCCTCGGTAAGGTCCCCACAATCGATAGGGAAATTATTCAAATGACATGGTTCGTACGGTTGTCTAAAACAAGACTGAAAAATGTTTAAGTTAACCAATAACCGAACAGACAGTAGATGCTTTTGGGGTGTGATTGTCTTGATGGTCCCAACCGGATTGGACTTAGAATCTGATTGCAATATCCTTATGTCTCTCTCTCTTTCTCTCGGTGTTTTAATCTAACACATTCTCTGGTTTGATGTTATAATCTAAGTCTAACACATTATTTGGTTCCGATTCACAGATTCTTGAAAAACCAGCTTACGTGTCCATCTGATGCAAGTAGGATCAATTGATATCTGTCATTCTACTCTGATAATTCACAACTTTATCAATAAACGCACCTAACACTGATTTTTTTTCTCCTTTATCAACCTTCGCATTATTGTACTACCTTGAGCTACTCAAAGTTCCAAGTATAGGAGGAAAAATTAAGTTTATATGTTTTTAGCAAATTTTCTTTTTTGGTTTCAAATAGCAATTTTTTTTTTTAATTTTGAAGTTTATCCGTTAGTTTGATTCAAGAGTGGTCAAACCGAAAAACGAATACAAATCGGATAAGCAACTAGAAGTATTAAGCATACATTCAAGTTTTACATGTTATAGTGTACCGTATTTATCAGATAGTAAAATTTACGTAGTTTCTTCCAACTCTGATGTAGTGGTTTTTTTAAGATGCTTAGTTATCAATGCGTAGTACTTCATGAGTAAAAAGTAAAATGTTGTTGGCAGCTGATCATAGGTTATATATAAATTGTTTTTCCTGTCGCCAGGTTATATAAATAGTTATGTTGCATTTGGAAATATTCAAAAATTTAAGGGTTGATTGCTTTTTTTGGTAAAGTTTGGGTCGATAGAGTCGTTGTCACCTAGAAGCCAAACAAAGGGCGCATTTATTTGATCATAGGCTATAAATGTGTATTTAACCTACTCTTCTTTGTGTCGTATAAACTCCGATTCTTCCTCATTATTGAAACTCCAGTGACTCATCGTTATTTACTTTTACAATTTGATTGTCGTTGAAAAATTAACAAACGTAATAAAAAAACATTTTAAGAGTGTTTTTTTTTTATAAGAAGCATTTTAAGAGTGTTAGCCGTTAATTAGAAGAATGACTAAAATTACATGAGTAAAAAGGAATAAAATTGAATTGTTTGAAGATTGACAAAGATTAGAGTTGGGATGGGTGTAAAAAGAGTGTTCAAACTGAACAAGTAATTAAAATTATTAAATCACATTGTCGTCTTCTTCTTCTTCTTCTTCTTCTTCTTCTCCGCTTTCTCTTCAACTTTTTCACAAAAGGTTTGGTTCATTTCCACTTTCAAATCTATATTAATAGCTTCATTTTCACTAAACCGACATATGTTTATACATTTTTATATTAGATGTTAGCGGATGCATCCGAATTCTTAAATTAGTAGATTCATACGAACACAATAAACCACGCAAACTTTTTTAATCAGCTATTACTATATTATTAGAACATCTTACACACTACGACTTTCTACGGTAGACAATCTGATCACGACAAGATATACGAATGACTAAACTTATAGCATATGATATAGGGAAATTGTATAAATGAATAGTGTATGATGAGACTACAACGAATGTAATAGTTACACACAACAAAATCTAACAAGATTGCGAGTGTTTGAAAATAATAGATTATGTCGTCCTGTTATTTCATGGAGAAGGACGTTTGACATCAACAACAATAAGCCAAAGACAAAATCTGTGAACAAGGCCAAAACAATAATATTTCTATATACATAATTGAAACACAATCATTTTTATGTGAAACTCATCCAAAACTCGTTTTCCTTATAACCTTCTTCTTTATCTTTGTATGTTGCTTTTTTTCTAAGCGAATTCTTTCAGAATTTTAGGGTTATAATTTTGTTTCTCTAATACAATACAGTATTCTAAATTACATCCTTAATATGATCGAACGCATAAACGTTATAATAGTTTTTATGAACGCATAGGTCAAGGAATCTGCTTTACCTTTTCTTCTTCTTTTTTTGTCTTTTGTTACTGTTATTTTTTGTATTTTTTCTACGCCTGAAAACTTTTCCATAATTAAATATTACAACTTACATGTTTATTGTTTTGAATTCAACTTTAATGGTTATTTATCGATACTTTATTGACTTACGAGTACACTCGTTAAGAACAAGAATCTTAGCTTTTCCATGCCTCTGTACTTGTACTCTAAACATTGGTTTTTGTCAACAACGTTTTTCTAAGACATTGTTCATTCATTTATTCAAATGTAAGCCGCTAGTCGGATCTTATATAATCTTCATGTTTTCCAATGAAGAAACATTTTTGTTTATGTACGATAAATTATAACAATTCGACAAAACTTGAGAACACATGCATAATCCTTTACTGTAGCTTTGAAAACTTTCCAAATTTAGACCAGTGGTACTATAACAAAAGTTGGAAAACGTTTAGTTTTGTCTCCAGAAGTTTTTTTTTTCCGAGATAATGAATGTTATTTCGAATAGAGTACCTACAAAAAACACGTATTTTCACTGATTGTAAGAATGACAATCATAAAAGTAGTGATTGTGTGTAGGCATATAGGTGATCTATCAGGAGTATATGGATCCATCAACGTCTAGAAAACCCCATAAATCAAGGGATGTATACGAAAAGAAACAACAAAAAATCAAAGTTAAAGATACATTTGCTTTCAATTTTTGTTCTTTTCCGTGTGATTTTATATTAAATTATAATTTCAGTTCATACAGAAATATATATATATATATATATGATCTTGTCTTTATATTATTCTCTAAGCGATAAACAGAATGAGTGTGGTCAAATGCTAGTTCTTCAACTGTAGAGCCATAGAGGCAATTAATGCAGACACAGTGCGTATTACGAAGAAACTTAAACAGGTTGCATTATAAATCCTGAGATGAGATACTAATACTATAGTAGTTTTATTCATAATCTAACCAAAAAATTTAATATACGAAGTAAGTTATATAGGGTCGTAAAAATGTTTCATATAGTCACTACTCACTAACCTATTTTCGAGCAATGGGTCAGATTAATTAGCTTGAAAGCGAAGGATGATAGAATCTCTGTCGTTTTCTAGCTAGTCATATTTGGTGAGCTCAAGAACTAATCTTTAATTAGCGTACAACACTATTGAATGTCACAATTTATAAGAAGATATAAAGGATATATATAGTTGGATAGATTTCAACTCTGCCTAGCCTAATCTTTGAAAGGAAGACTTCTAGATACAGGACTTCGGTTAGAGGTAATATAGACTTTAATTACCATATTCCACATTGCTTAAAGTATGAATCAAAGTTTCAGTTGAGCTTTTAGCCTTTTACCAAAATACATAAGTTCGAAACATCAGTATACTCTTTTATAGGGTCCAGTAACATACAGCCAAAATTAAATTCATGGTGTTAGTGAACAACAAAATCCAACCGTTTGAATCAAAGAGTGAAAAGTGAAAACATTTTCATCTATGTTTCAAGCTTAGCCAGAAAAAGTGGTCCGAAAATATCGAATAAGTATATTACTAAAAGTGTCAAAATGAGTACGTAACGTAATCCAATAAAACCCTAATTTCTAAGACGTAAAGCGAAAGATCATGTTATAAGCATGCATTTGTTAAATATACGACCACTACTGTGTCTATTGTTTTCGCTTTGTTAATCTCTTTTTCTTTACGAATATCAAGTTTATCACTATGAATCATAAATTGGGTTAACTCATGACTCGTTTAACACTCAATCTATTATGATCATGTGTTGGATTGAATTTGTTAACTCCCTTTCTGTTGATTACATAAGCCAGATTAACCTTCTTCTTTTATATCCTTTTCGGGCGTTTTCTTTTCTTTCACCAATGCTACGTGGAGAACTAACGTATTATATTAATGCAATCAAAGACTCAAAGTTTGAGGATAAAAAAACATATTTTAATTATGTAAATTGATTCACCCTAAACAATTTCGTTTCAGAAATATATCGTTTGGTCTAACCAGTAACCAATAGCAAACTATCAAAGATTCAGGACATAAATCTAAAGCAAACATGGATGTTTCATTTATTTATTAGTTTGTGATATACAGCAATAAAGGAAAAAAATTGTTTACCCAAAAATAAAACTTTGTTGATCATTGTTGTATGTTCGTCCAAAAAAACAAATAACGAAAAAGCGACTGTACGAAAAAATAAGAAAAAAAAAATGGAAGAGGAGAGACAAGTGGCAGCAATTCACGGATGCACAGAACTCAGTAAGACACTATAGTACCAAACACGCACCATTCACACTTCCCCTCTTTTTTTCACTTTTCAAAATATTAATTTTACCTTTTTTTGTTTTTTTTTTAATTTTAACATTTTGAACTTTCAAATAACTCCGGAAGCCTCCTCTTTCCTCCGTCGTCTTCCTCTCCTCTGCTTCGCTCTCTTTCTCTCTCCCTCTCTCTCTCTCTCACTCACTTTCTTCTTAGAAATCCTTTGATCTCTCTGTAATCCGAGAGAATCGCGTGCATTTTCTGTTTCTCAATTCTTATCAGGACCCACTCAGGTGTAAGATTTCTCGGAATCTTCCTCTGATTATCTCTTCCCCTGCAAATTTCCCCCTACTTCCAAGCTCCGTCAAATGTTTTTTTTCCTCCGATATCGAGTGAGTGAAAGATGAACAAATTCCGATTCACCGATTTGACTTCCCGAGATCGATTAGCTTCGAAAGTGCCCAGTTCTCGTCAAGGTAAACGCTTTCTCCTCTCTCTATTTCTCTTTCCGTTTCCCATTTTTGTTTCCGTTTCTGTTTCTTCGACGAGAAAACGCAATAAAATGACGAAATGAACGCAGATTTGAAATTTGATGAGTTTCTTTTTGTTCTAGAACACAATTCGAATTTATCTTAGCTAAATTTAGAGCAATTAAATATTTATTTGTTCCTTTTTAGTTCGTCAAATTTATAAATCTTTTAGTTAAGTATCTGAGATTTTCTGAGCAACCAAACATGGATTAGCATCTACAGATTCTCCATTTCCTTCTTAGGGTTGTTCCAGAATCTCGTAGTGGAGGTCTTTACTCTTTAATTCCCTAATTGGCTACTTCTACTGCGATTTTTTAGTTTTTTTACAAATCTCGAAAATGAAAAGCAATAAAAAAAAGTGATTGTTCTGTGAGATGAAAACAAAAAAACATGTCAATTTTGTTTCTTGTGGAAAACTACAGTTAAAGCAGTGGGTAGAGAAGATGAGGATTTGTTGCTTTTATGATATAAAGTAAAGAACAAAAAAAAATCTCATAGAAATGTCTGTTGGGTAGTGTCATGATTTGGTTTGTTTGTTAAATTCATTTTTTTTCAACAGTTGTTATGATTTTAATTTACATGTAATGAGTGCTGCTCTTAACCTCCTACTTTAATTATGTGTGTCTATGTTCTTCACCCCACATTTTGTGCTACAAATTACTCTTTTTGTCTCCCTAATTTTTATTTCTGCCGTTGTAAAGTCGATTGCTTTATCAATCAAGAACACTAAAAGTCATCTCATTTGGTGGATTCATTGTTTTTTTTTTTTTTTTCAGGAAAGAAACAGAGTCAGAAACTCAAGCCTTCAAGGTCATCTTCTGAATTCAGCTCTTGCCACTGTGAATCTTTGAGTGAAAACAAGGTAAGCTTTGAATGAGAGTTAGTTGTTTGGATGGAGTTGTTGTTTGAAAGTGACTTCTTACTCATATTGCAGTTGCAGCAAGATTTTGCTAATCAAAGCACTGGAGTACCAATGAAAAGTTTGTTGGCGCAAGAAATGTCAAAGCAAAAAGAATCTAAGAAGAGATCACCAAGCATTATAGCCAGATTGATGGGTCTCGATGTCTTGCCGCCTCAGAGCTCTTCTTCTTCCCATAGACAACAACAACACACGACCGTGGAGAATCTTCAAGGCAAGAGTGGTGGTGGTCATAAATCTATTAGAAGGAGCTCAAAGAGTGAGCAAAAGTTCAAAGATGTTTTCGAAGTTTTGGATGCAAAGAAGGCAGCAGAGAGCAACAGAAACTTGTATCACCAGGGGAAAGTGAATGCTGCTGCTAATCTCACACAGGCAGAGTTGGCTTTTATACGGCAGAAGTTCATGGAGGCTAAGCGTTTATCAACGGATGAGAAACTTCGTCACTCTAAAGAGTTTAATGACGCGCTTGAGGCTCTAGACACTAACAAGGACCTTTTACTGAAGTTTCTTCAGCATCCAGATTCACTATTCACTAAACATCTGCATGATCTTCAAAGCACACCTCACAAACTACATCACGGTCAAGCAAAGTCTCCAAACAGCCAGAGGCATGTGGATAGTCTGAAATCACAGAAAGTTGATAAAGACATGTTAAGGAAGAGTCATCAGCATGGTGGTGGTTCTCATACTAGGCATGGCTCTTATGACACAATTGACTTGCCAAATGAGGAGCTGGGGAAGAGAAGTGAGTTGCAGCCTACCAAGATTGTTGTTCTGAAGCCTAACCTCGGTGAGCCACGTTACGCCGGTAGGACTTTTGCATCGCCAAGCTCTTCTTCCGATGAGTTCAGAGCAGATCGTAGGCTTCCATGCACCACCAGCAATCATCATGGCAGGCAGAAAAGTAATGAAGATATCCGCCTTTCAAGACAGAGTTCAAGAGACTCCGGAGAGTTTTCCAAAATAATGTCGAGGCAAAGGAAAGCGAGCTGTGGCAATGGCAATGGCAAAGCCATGAGTCTTGATACTTCAAGATTAAGAGGATATGCAGGGGATGAAAGCTCATCAGGGAGTGATTCCGCGAGCGAATCAGAGCTAGTGCCAGTAACTTCAAGAACAAGAACAGCCTTTCACCGTAATAACAACTACCACCGGTCTTTTCCTTCCAAGTCAGCAACATCATCCGTGAGTAGAGAAGCCAAGAGGAGACTGTCAGAGAGATGGAAGCTGACACACAAGTACGAGCAAGAGATAGAGATTAGCAGAAGCGGCACACTAGCTGAAATGCTTGCAACTTCAGATAGGGAGGCAAGGCCAGCAAGTTTCAACGGGCTCGTTTTCGAAGAAGGGATTAGTAAACGAGTCGAGAGCAGTGTTCAGTGGTCAGAATCGCCAGAACCGGTTGGAATCAGCAGTAGGGATGGTTGGAAAGGATCCTGCTCAAGAAGTTTTTCAAAATCCAAAACCATCATGAACCAGGAAAGCACTTTTGGTTACACTATAGTGCTTCCTAAGGAGTTGATCAGTCGAGATGGATTAGTGAAGGGGAGTTCATCTCATCAGTGGGAGTCTCAGTCTTTCTTGTCAGGCAAATCTAGACCTGCTAGTCATAAATCTCATTCATCGTACAATAGTTCGCCAGAGGTCAACATCAGCCCAAGATTAACCAAATTCCTTTACATGAACGATGGGATTCAAAAAGAGAAGCTCTCTCCTTCTAAAGCACGTTGCAGTTTCTCAGTAGATGCAGATTCAGAGACTGAGGATAGTTCAGCTTCTGAAGATATCAAGACGGCAATGTCTTCTGAAGCTCCAGATTTGTCAACTGTCACCTCTTTAACTGACCCTGTAAGTGCTCTAGAGGATCCATTGCAGTCGCTAAACAAGAATATACATGTTGTTATGAAACATATCTAATTTGTTTACTGATGTTGTAGGATATCTCAAGGATGCCAACTGAGGATGTAAATCATTCTTCGGTTCCTGAACCACAGTCTCGTGAAAGCGCAAAGGAAGGAGAACAACCAAGTCCAGTTTCAGTTCTAGAAGCTTTTGATGATGATGATGATGATGATGATGTTTCATCAAGTTCTGAATGCTTTGAGAGTGTTAGCGCCGATCTCCAAGGTAGTCAATCAGTGTACTTGTTAGTCCATTGATCATTTCGTACTATAACTTTAAAACTGTTTAAGGTGCATGTGTGACCATCAATTTGACAATTGGTTATAGGATATACAGACGAAATATCTATAATTTTGCAGGACTCAGGATGCAACTTCAGCTCCTTAAACTCGAGTCAGCGGCTCACAATGAAAGTGGCATGCTTGTTTCGAGTGATGAAGAAACAGATCAAGAGGAGTCATCCACGATAACTGATGAGGCTATGATCACACAGGAGCTCGGAGAAGAAGACTGGAAGTCACTATACTTAGTCGATCTTCTAGCCAACTCCAGGTTCGGTGACTCAGACCACACCACTATCATGGCAACAACACCTGTGGATCCATCCTTGTTTGATGATCTCGAGAAGAAGTACTCAAGCCTAAAAACCTCAACCCGGTTAGAAAGGAAGTTCCTATTTGATCAGATCAGCAGAGAGCTTATCCAGATGTTAAAGCAGCTTTCGAATCCACACCCTTGGGTTAAACCCACGAGGGTGTGTCCGAAATGGGATACAAACAAGATAGAAGAGACTCTGCGGGATTTGGTCACAAGAAAGGAAGAGAAAGCAAGCAAAGATGATGTGGAAGAGAAGGAGTTGCAGTGGCTGAGCTTGGAAGATGACATTGAAATGATAGGTAGAGATATTGAGGAAATGCTGACAGATGAACTCATAGCAGAGCTTGTGGTAGATGCAATGTTCTAGAATTTTACATAATATTATCTGTTTCATAGTTTGTAAGGAGTAACTAAAACAGGCAAATGCAAAATGTAATGACAGTTTCAACTTTCAAGCATCATATGTGGTGATAAATAAAGAAGCATGTGTCCCTGGTAGAAAAACGCAATCAATCATCATCTATCTGAAAGTTTATGATCTTTCCTAATGAATCACTGAAAATGGAATAGGGAAAGTGTATCTCGTAACACTGATCTGATTCAACTAGGAAAGACAGTACAGATACACAAAAGTGTGTGGTTTTTTTTAGTTTTCCGGATTTGCCCTTGGGAGTGATGATGGAGGTAGAGGAGGTGGAGTCCAGAACTGGGCATTTTTTACCTTTGAGAGGCAACCCAATACTTCCAAGGGAGTGATGTCTCCAGTCACAGTTACCTTCTTTGATGCAAAATCTATGCTGAAGGATGTCACACCTAATCATTGCCAAAACACCATTATAAATTAGCCTAAACCCATTTAGTAAGGTACCTAAACCGGTTCCAAATGGATATACAACAATGTTGATAACAAAAGAAAGTAGCAGAAACGTAGATACTGTAAAAAGAAAGGGATTCTAAAGGTAAAAAGTGAAAAAGGGAGAGAGGAGGAATCACCTTGCATTCTGGATAGATGTTTCTTCACTTTGCCTTGACAGCCTCTGCAGTGGCAGTGAAGAGACACTCTAAGAACAACCACCTGCAATCCAAACAAAAACACAACACTCTCACCCTCCAATCTCTCTTTATTTACATTCATGCCACTCATTGTACGGTAAACGACAAACTTTACTTTACTTGCCTGGTCTGAACCAGAAGACGTCTTCTTTTTCTCTTCCACGGCGGCGGCGGCACCAGAGCTTATTCTTGCCACAGAAGCTTCACCCTCCTCCGTTACAACCGTATCTTCACCCGTAGATAAAGAAACCCGTCCGGATCCCAGAAGATACCTAGTAGAACCAGGAGGAGTATTGGTAACGTCACACGCCGGACTCGCAACACAGCCAAAACTCTTCCTCGCTAAGCTAATATTATCACTGTTGATCAACTTCAACAGCGACCCTGAAGTGCTCTTCCTTGCCTTTTCCACCTGAATCATCTTCCCGTCGCCGGATGAAGCAGAGGAGGAGGATGAGGGTATTCTCGTAACTTTTGAAAGCTGACGGTACGGAGCAACGTAGTCGTCGCCGGAAGAGCACGGTACCGTGAAAGATCTCCGACCATCTTTAATAATAGGATTGTGACGGTCGATGGCTCGTGCCGGGACGATCCGTTCGTCGTGGTTAGCCGTAGCCGTGGCTGCTTGCGACGCACAGAACATATTGCCTTTCATGTTTCTTTAGATAGAAGAAACTTTGCAAGAACAAAACTCAGTAATATAATAGATATATACAGAAACAAACAATCACATTTACGTTTTGGTATTGATAATGCGTCAGTGTGTCACATGAGCGTGTAAAGTGTAAGGTCAGAGAGTAACAGAGAGTTGAGTAGAAACGCTCTTGTATTGTCCACATAAAAAAACACATTAGAGAAGTTGAGATGTCCCTATTGACTATTTATGTACTACATTACATTTATCCTCTGCTTGGATACATTCAAATGTTTGCCTTTTCAATTCGTCCGATCAGTCCTTGTTCAGAAGTGGAAAAAGAAGATAGGAAGCGGTAAAAGGAGAAAGACTTTTATTACAAGTTTTTATTTTGAGTAGGTAGAAGGTGAGTGAATATAGAAGTTCATAAAGCGATTTGATTCCTTAAAATCTGTAGTTCTAACAGACTGTGAATCACTCTATCCAACAAATACAAATACCCAAAGTGGAAACACTGATGCTTATTGCTCATTTTCGTAGCTCAATCAGCTGCCATTTGCAGCTAAATGTTCAGATGCCTCGATAACTTTAAAATATGAAAGAAATTCCTTTTCTTTTCGTAAATTGCAAAGGCAAACACCAAAACGATTATAAGGTTTCATTTTTGTTTGGACAATCAATGGCTATACTCGTCCGAGAGACCTGTGGGGCTTTGGTTCGATTACCACATATTTTATTACTGTATTATTTCACAAATGTCTGTAATCAATAAATGAATGTTGTTACATTTGAAACAACTATACAGTATACAAACGCAAACAAACAATCGAGTCATTTATTTTACAGAAGAAGAAGGGGTCCATCAGATGTCGTTTTTTGCTTTCTTATATAAATCCAAAATCATTCTCTTCCACTAAAATTGAGCCCACTGAGAGCACTAGTGACAGGCCCAATGATAAAATTCATTTAAGACAAAAAAATATCAGCTAATAAGTAGTAGTAGTAGTAAGTAATTGTGTCTTAGTGAAAGAACAAAAACCAGAGGAAGAAAAAGAGTAGAAGAAGGAACAAAAAGGACTTAGCAGAGCTCTTGAGAAAGAGGCTATACATATATCAATCATGGCAGCAAGAAGAAGGAAGATGATACTACTATTTTTGAGTGAATTAGAGACCTTTGCCTTCGTCTTCGTTCAAGATTCGGTTACGGAAGTCACTGACCATACGAGGCAGACCATCTCGCAGAGACACCTTTGGTTCCCAGTTTAGAAGTTCCTTTGCTTTGCTAATGTCTGGTTTCCTCTTGTGAGGATCGTCCGCTGTGTTCGGTCTGAACTCTATTGTCGCGCTCGGGTCTATCACCTCCTTAACCACCTGCACACAAGTTCCCATTTCCACACACCGGATCAATGCGTTTCTTGTTTAATTAGGGAAGAAAAAGGAAAGATGGCAAAAGGAAAGCAAACCTCTGCAAGCTCAAGCATTGTGAATTCTCCTGGGTTACCAAGATTGAAGGGTCCTACGTGATCGTTTTCCATCAACGCTACAAGCCCCTCCACCTAGAAAGAGATATCTTAGTGATATATCAAAGGCAATTTTATCTCTGTCACTGCTTGGAGAAATCAGATCACACAGCAGAATGGATTGAAACAGAGGTTTGTTACTTACCAAGTCAGAAACATACTGAAAGCTTCGAGTTTGTTTTCCATCACCATAAACAGTCATTGGGTGTTTGCGGATCGTCTGCATAGATAGAAAACAACGTTCTGTCAGAGACGCAGAGTCTTTCTCGAGGCTTCATAGAGGAAGAGTTGTTTTATGTTGATGTAAATGCCAACCTGAGCAACAAAGTTACTAACAACACGCCCATCATCGAGGCACATTCGGGGTCCATACGTGTTGAATATACGAGCAATTCTAACCTGAAATTTTTAAAAAGTAGTCAGAGACCACAGGACAAATAGTCATCAGTCCAAATGTAAACATTCGTGATAAACAGCAGGGGGGTGATTTGGAAACTAACTAAAACAAAATCCCATGTATCAACGAGTTTGAGTTACAAATTGTATAATTTCTCCATCAAGTGTGCTAAGATCTTGCAAGTATACAATCCATGGGATAAATTATCAGAATTTACCTCAACACCTGCACCTCGGTGGTAATCCATGGCCAGTGTTTCTGCAGTACGTTTTCCCTCATCATAGCAACTCCTCTCACCTATTAAAAGATATCAGCAATTAGTGATCAACCTGTCGTTTATATATCTCAAGAACTCAGGAGCAAATACACAATTTTTCCAACTCACCAATCGGGTTCACGTTTCCCCAATACGTCTCTTTCTGTGGATGCTCAAGAGGATCTCCATAGACTTCACTTGTGCTGGTGAGCAGAAACCTTGCCCCAACTCTCTTTGCAAGACCCAACATATTGAGAGTGCCCATTACATTTGTCTTGTAAAGCCATCGTTAAGGATCAGCCAGTACCAGTGAAAGCATATAATCACCAAATATCATAAATTCATAATAACAGCAAGAGATTCTAGGTGAAAGCAATTTACCAAAAAAGTACTTTGAATCCGGAAACTAACAATGGTGATCAGAAATCTAATGCTGCCTAAATTGAAACGGTGGATTCGGAATCAGAACTAGCATTTCGGAAGCAAATCACGATCATCAGCAGCAAAACGATTCAGATTATATGAGTAATCAAAAGGATATGATAGTCTTCACTGGATTGTACTTGTAATGAACAGGTGATGCTGGGCAAGCTAAATGGTAGATTTGATCCACCTCGAGAAGGATGGGATCAACCACATCGTGTCGAATAAGCTCAAACCTAGGATTCGAGAACAGATGAACCAAATTCTCCTTCCTACCGGTGAAGAAGTTATCGATCACGATCACTTCATCTCCCCTTCCGATAAGCTTATCGACGAGATGGCTACCGACGAATCCAGCTCCACCGGTCACCACAATCCTTAGTCTCTTCCGTCCGATACCGACGGGAACTCGACCGGTTTTACCTGCACCTCCGCCGTAGTTAAAAGTCATCTTGGAAGGCGGGTAATTATTATCCACGGCGGCACTAACGGATCTGGTGATGAGCGAGGTGGATTCCGCGGCGCCTAGACGGGAGAGAGAAGGCTGGAGGATGAAGAAGGTGGATCCGATCAGGATCCCGACGAGGATGAAGAGGAGTCTCTGTTCACGGAAGAGGTAGTGGAGCGATCTGGGAAGAGATCTGGGGTGCTTTAAGGTCTTGGGAGAGTAAGGACTGGATTGGCTCATGGGAATCGTCTCCTCGTCGCGTTTGGAGCTCATTTGCTTGTGAAGCTGCTTCATCGTCACCGATTAGAGCTTCGTCGTCGCCGGTAAAAAATGAGATCTTAGAACTGCCGGGAAAAGGGATTTGGATCTGGACAGATTCAACCGTTTGAGAAATTAAGAGCGATGGTAGTTACACGGCGATTACTTGATGCTCTCTCTTTTTGTTTCTTATATATTTTTTGGTTAATATAGTAATGTTTCGCTTCCAACGAATTTTAAATGTGAATCTTTTGTTTTCTTCTTATAATGAAAGTGTGATAATTAAGTTATTTCATTACTTACCATACTAATATTCTATACAAAATTGGATTTTGTTTATGGATTAACGTGATTTGTGTTTGATTTAAATAATACAGTTAATTGTAACACATATCCAAAACTTTAGGCGAATTTTAAAACACTCCTTGAGGCTTATGATATAGGCTTCACTGTTGAATGGCCCAGTCCAGGCCCATTGTACCTCATTTGTGTGAATCGAAAGTATGTTAAACTCAATCATGGTCTCCACCAAACCCTATTTCACACTTGCACAGCAAAGATGTAGTATAAGTCTATAAATTAGGCACCTACTCTTTAAATTGTTTGAATGAGTTAATTAACCTCACATGAAGCATTAATGATGATCAAATTTAATTAGGAATTCAGCATACGATAGATGTCAACATTCATCATCATATATTGACATACGTATTATCATCATCATTAAAAGTACAAAAAAAACATTCATCATTTAAGTGACCTTTCAAATCCATTGAAAAGGATAATAACATAGCTCTCTCATGCTACTACAATACATGAGAACAATAGAACATAAACCCTATTAACCCAACGATTAGAATTTTCACATTTGAACCGATACCACTCGTTTCACCTAACACCTTTATTAGTTAATCAACTTCTCAATAGTAAAAAAAAAAAAAAAAAATCATTCATTGATGTCCTGAGTTCTTCCTTAGTTGATTTTTAATTGCTCACTGGTTAACATCAATCTCCTCAAGCAAAGTTTGATAGACCCATTTGCAAACATGTCCAAACTTTATCTTAGAGCATATATATAACTGTATTCCACATATATAGAGGACGTATTAGACAAAACAAAAGGTCGACAAATTTCTCAGTGTTATTATGAACTGTATAATAATTAAGATTTTATGTATATATGTGTATGTGAAAAAAAAATAAGAGGTGAGGGACAAAAGAAAAAGGACCATGGAGATAAATGGGTGGGGAGGGGGAATCTTTTCTCTCTAATTTCTCGTACATCAACCATTTATTTATCGTACCTCACAATATCTATAGAGAAACAACAGCATTAAATAATAAGGTCGGCTGATCTCAAGTCGGTAATAATAAAAACATTATTATTTCATTTCTTTTATGGCCCTGTTCTTTTAAGAGTCGCTGCGGCTGCGACTGCGACAAATCAAAACGACAGGGACGACGGTGAGCAACATTGCAAAACGACAACAGCAGAGGCAAAACGATGATCACGGAAGAGCCGCAGGAGAGATAAAGAGTCGCAGGAGAGAGGGAAACTGTCGCTGGAATATTGCAGCGACTATCGCAGCGGCAACTCAACAGTAAAATCGACTCTTTTTGAACATAGCTGCGACTCCTTTCCCTGTTTCTACGTTAATTATTTTAATCGCAGTCGCTGCCGCAGCAATTATGAAAAGAACATGGCCTATAACACTCAGATATTTTTCTTCTTCGTACAATAATAAAAATCTTCGATTTTAACCTTAGGAAATATCCTCAACCAATGCAAGCACAAGATTCCCAAACATACTTTTCGAAGAAGTCTTACTTATCTAAACAGTTTTCTTTGAAAACCATAATTTTCTCAACTCAAGTCTTTCTGTAAATCACTATTTTAGTGTACATGCATTCCATAAAATTAAAATATAATCCTTTTTGACAGAGACAGGCCTCATATGAATCAACAGAGACAGGTTTTCTATAAACCAATTGCGATTTCTTGTAAGAATGGGTTGACGAACGTAAAATAATCAAGAAAACAGATATAACAGCCACACCCAATTTCCATATGCCTAATTAATTAATATAACTCGTCACGTAAGACTTTCTATTACTATTACATATCCCTAATGATAACTTTTTGTTGGGGTTTCGTGTGTAACTCTACAACAGGAAACTAGAAGCCGAACGTCTCCACGTTTTCGTGCCATAATTTTTCCACTCATTTCCTCTTTGTTATACAATTCCGTATGAGTACCCTAACAATTCCGTATGCCTATATGTGGAATTGACAAGAAAATTTATGGCAAAGCCAAGCCGATAAATTAGCTGAATGTAGTTAATGATGGGTCAAAATACATCGAGGGAGCAATCAATGTTAAGAAAATCTATTAAAGGGCAATGTGAAAGGTTGTTGTTAGTTGGAAATGGAAGTGTGTATCTTTTATTTTCGACCAATGAATCAAAATATATGTACATCGTTTTAACGTGGTGCCGTAAATTTAATGTTGATTGTTGAGTTTTGTAACAATTTACAAACATGATCAGGTTGAATATAGTATGTTTTAGAAAGTGTTATAGTGTTATTGTTATCTAATACTCCATTTTGCATGTTTCGATATAAATTTCGGTTGCTTTCTTGTTTAAGTTGCTTGCCTATTTCTCTTGGTTTAGTCTTTCATGCATGCTTGGGTTCCATTCATGATCTATTGTGATTTGTGAGCTAAGTGTATCTACGGAATGAAAACAAAAAAATACATATTTGAAGAACAAGAAAAGATAGATATTATCATATAAAGAGATGAGTTGTTGTTTCGATGAAGAGAAAGATATACAGAGACATGGCACGTTTAAAACTACTCTACTATAGCCATTGATCCATGTTTAGAAGGAATGACTATTTCCTAGCCTTAGCTTTTACAGCAGCCGTTTGCATAAGAGAGAGAAAAAATGTTATTTTTTTCTGTTGTACGAGAAGGTGATAGGGAGAGATCTTTGCAACTTCGAGACCTAACTCAAAGAGATAGTGCATTTTTAGAGATAGATATGGTGTAAATAAACTCTCTGCGGTGAAGTGTGGATTCCAGTAAATACTAATCTTGGTGTGAGTACGCATCATGGTTAAATGTGGATTCTGGTAAGCTCTTGTGGTTAACTATCGATTCTGGTAAAGAAAATCAACTTGTTGAACGAATTAAAATAAAATTTTAAGTTAGTTTAAAAATAAGAAATACAAAGGATTGAATGGTCGGGATTGTTTACAATAGATCAATCAGGAGAACGAGTACAATAGATCAATCAGGAATGTCAAGAGATATGTAAATAAGGATATTGTCGGGATTATTTACAGTAGATCAATCACGGGAATGATGTGTCCTTGCAGCTTACATAATAGAACTATAGAAGTATAATACAATGAAGGATAATAACGACCTTTGTTGGCTGCCCAAACTATCTCATTTACAAATATACAAAGCGACAACATGCAATCAAACTGCATAATGAAGAATCAAATATCACTATAGCCATAAGAGAAATATAAAACCTCACTTTACAAAGCGAGTATACTTAAATGAACACATAGGTACAATATTCTACTAAATTGTATGTAATTTAGTATTCTTAATTGAAGGCTCCACTAAGTCACTTACACTTTATATGAAATGAAAATGTGTTCGTGATTAAATAAATACTTGAAAGATTACACGCATTAGCTTCATGACTAAATAAATACTTGAAAGACTACATGGCTTCTTTCTTTCAATATAGTAACCGTGCCAAAATCCTAATAATTAATGAGTTTATCGCCCCAAACAAACTCCTAATAACAAAAGTATCTTAGGTGTTCGAAAGATCAATTAACAAGTGTTTGATGTTGATGTAATAAAAAGTGTTTTTGTTTCATGTTAAAGTGTCTTAGGAGTTATTCATTTACTTAACGATCGAAGATAAAAATTCACTGATTGATATCTAAAAATCAAACCTGTTAAAACCTAGAAATATAAGCTTCCAGCCAGCGAGTGAATATTGAAAACTCGTGACTAAAACCAAAAAAAACAACTCGTGACAGACATACTATAGAAGGACAAAACAAATTTCCATGGAACAAAATCAAAAATGTAATTATCGTCATTACTGTTAGGATAAAAATCTTTGCAAATTTACCCACTTTTTCTTATCATGATTCCATAAAATCTGTATAAATTAAATGCACAATGAGATAAACACACAATGCATACAAAACGAATAAAAAAGATTTTTTTTTTTCACAGAGTACCTTAAGCTCCAAGAAAGAGACGTCTGCACACATAGATGGAAAAAAATGTGAAAGGATTTGCCCAACTCCTCACCTACTCTCAACTTCAAAACTATATTTTCATACACAAATATAAACAACACATTCGTATGTATGCAAAATATCAAAAAGCTACAAATAACCCAAAGTTAGATACTTAGAGATCACCAAACAAATTGACAAGTTTCTATCCCCCCATCCTCCCATCCATATATCCTATAAAGTCCTCTCATTTTCTCTATTACTTAGACACATTCCCTGCATAGAGGCCAAAACTTTTAACCAGACAAACATTTCACGTGATGTCTGGTTTGCTCAACAAACTATCTCCGGCCAGACGGGTCCTCAAAAGCGACGACCTTCCTCTGTTTTACCATGACCAAAAGTCAGCAGACGTTCAGAGATCCCAGAGAGACACAGCGCGAGTTTCCGTCTCACTCGCAGAGCTTCTCAAGAGCGTGGAAGATGAACGAAATAACCCGAGTAAGGCTTTAGATGTTGCCGTTGCCTCCAATTTCTGGACCTCGGTTCCAACTTATTCAGGTCCTTCTTCTTCTCCGTTTGTGCTCTCCTTCAAAGACTTGACTTACAGCGTGAAGATCAAGAAGAAGTTTAACCCGCTCACCATTTGCGCGAATTCGCCTTCTGATGATATGGAGATGAGTACTAAGGTGCTTCTCAATGGCATCTCCGGTGAAGCACGAGAAGGAGAGATGATGGCTGTTCTTGGAGCAAGCGGTTCAGGGAAATCAACGCTCATCGACGCATTAGCAAACCGTATCGCCAAAGAGAGCCTACGAGGCTCCATTACTCTAAACGGGGAAGTTCTTGAATCACGCCTGCATAAAGTCATATCAGCGTACGTGATGCAAGACGACCTTCTCTTCCCGATGCTCACCGTGGAAGAAACGTTAATGTTCTCTGCAGAGTTCAGGCTCCCAAGCTCCTTATCCAAGAAGAAGAAAGCAGCGAGAGTTCAAGCTCTCATCGACCAGCTCGGGTTAAGAAGCGCTGCGAAAACAGTGATTGGCGATGAAGGACACAGAGGCGTCTCCGGTGGAGAAAGAAGACGAGTCTCGATCGGAATTGACATTGTTCATGACCCGATCATCCTCTTCCTCGACGAGCCAACCTCAGGTCTAGACTCAACAAGCGCCTTCATGGTTGTTAAAGTGCTTCAGAGAGTCGCGCAAAGCGGGAGCATAGTGATCATGTCGATCCATCAGCCGAGTTACAGAATCCTGGGCTTGCTCGATAAGTTAATCTTCCTTTCCAGAGGGAACACAGTTTTCAGCGGCTCGCCGACGAACCTCCCTCGGTTCTTCTCGGAATACGGCCATCCGATTCCGGAGAACGGGAACAGAACGGAGTTCGCGTTAGATCTCATCCACGAGCTGGAAGATTCAACGGAAGGAACAAAAGATCTAGTCGAGTTCCACAAGCAATGGAGGGCAAAGCAAAATTCATCAAGCCAGAGCAGGAGAAACAGTATCAACGTCTCTCTCAAAGACGCAATCAACGCGAGCATCTCCAAAGGGAAGCTTTTCTCCGGAGCGACGAATCTGAAATCGTCGTTTCAGACTTTCGCAAACCCGTTCTGGACTGAGATGGTTGTAATCGGGAAACGATCGATGCTAAACTCGAGGAGACAACCGGAGCTATTCGGGACCCGGTTAGGAGCGGTTCTAGTCACCGGAACCATCCTCGCAACGATTTTCTGGAAATTAGACAATTCGCCGAGAGGTATACAAGAGCGATTAGGGTTCTTCGCGTTCGCGATGTCCACGACGTTCTACACGTGCGCGGAAGCGATTCCGGTCTTTCTACAGGAGCGATACATATTCATGAGAGAAACCGCTTACAACGCTTACCGGAGATCATCGTACGTCCTCGCTCACACGATAATCTCGATCCCGGCTCTGTTGATCTTATCCGGTTGCTTCGCCGCAACGACTTTCTGGGCCGTCGGACTCGCTGGAGGTTCCGAGGGATTCCTCTTCTTCTTCTTAACGATCCTCGCGTCGTTCTGGGCAGGGAGCTCCTTCGTGACGTTCTTATCCGGCGTCGTTTCGCACGTGATAATCGGATTCACGGTGGTTGTGGCGATCCTCGCTTATTTCCTCCTCTTCTCCGGATTCTTCATCGCCCGAGATCGGATCCCGATCTACTGGATCTGGTTCCACTACCTCTCGCTCGTGAAATACCCTTACGAAGGAGTCCTGCAGAACGAGTTCGAAGATCCGGCGAAATGCTTCGTCCGGGGGATCCAGATGTTCGACAATTCGCCGCTGGGGAAAGTCCCGGCCGCCATGAAAATCAGCTTGCTGAAGAGCATGAGCAGCGTTCTCGGGATCAATGTAACGGCGGAGACGTGCGTGACGACGGGAATCGACATATTGAAGCAGCAAGGGATCACAGATATCAGCAAATGGAATTGCTTGTGGGTCACTGTCGCTTGGGGATTCTTCTTCAGAATTCTCTTCTACTTCACGCTCTTGATTGGAAGCAAGAACAAGCGCCACTGATTCACTATTTTAAATTTCAAAAAATAATGTAAGATTAGAGTAAAGTACCAAAAAGGCTTGTCATATTTAAATTTCAAAAATGTAACTATCTTATAAAAAAAATCTCGATTAATTCTACTTATGTCTAATTAACTAATTTCGAAAAGCTTTGTCATATTCACGATGTCACATTTTTCTTCAGTCAAATTAAAATATAAGCTTTCCTTTTCTGATTTAAATTTCCTTATATAATGCGGAAGAAAACGAAATTACCCATTTTAATGGGCTTTTAGAAATGTTAACATTAAGCCCAATTGTTTCAATTGCGCGTGTATTTTTTTCTATATCGGTAATCTCGATGTTAAATCTAAACCGTTGAACTAAACGACCGCAACGAATCTCTACCGTTGAATCTCGTCGGTTTCAACATTTATAAGATAGGGGTCGATACTTCCTGCAGTATTGTCCGCGGTTCACTTCCTTCCTTTCGAAATTTATTAGGGTTACATCGATTTTCACCCTCCTTCTCCAATCTCCAGGTTTGTACTTTGAAGAGTCTGTGTAATTGGATCCGATATGCAAATTGCTCTTTGCTCTCTATAATTTCGATTTCAATCGGTTTTTGTTGATTCTTCGCTGTAAATCTTAATTGTAGATTTATTTCTGTCTTCTTCGATTAAGGATTTATATGCTACAAAATTTTGCAGCTTGACAATGCCTCGCTTTGATGATCGCTATGGAAGCACTCGCCTCTATGTTGGCCGGTTATCATCTAGAACTCGCACCAGAGACCTTGAACATCTTTTCAGCAGATACGGAAGGTAATTAATAATTTAGTCATCTTTTGTTCAGCCTTGAGTGACCTATTTTTGAGTGTTTGAATTTCTTGAATGTTCTTCTTTTGTATGAATCAAGAATGATACTTTTTGATATCTGGCAGTACACAAACTTGACACTATAATGAAAAAGGCTAACTTTACTCTCTGTGTCTTGTTAATTATGAGTTTGGATTGGTACTTTCATTCATCTGGGGAAATTGTGGATCTAGGATTAGATTTGTTTTGGTTTCTTAACTTGAATTATTCTTTTTGATAATTTGCAGTACACAAACTTAACACTAGAATGAAAAGGGCAAAATTTGCTGTCTCTTGGTAATTATGACTTTGGATTGGTACTTTCATCTATCTGGGGAAATTGTGGGTCTAGGTTTAGTTTTTGTTTGGTTTCTTAACTTGAATGATGTTATTGAAGGTTTCTGGGGGTTTGCCTAACCTGGAGATGTTTGATGAATTGGTGGACTTGGTGTAATTGGTGGAAATTCTCGCCTGGTGTATAGATGGGTGCATTGGCGATTTTGTTTGTTGTTTGTTTGCATGTTTTTAGTGGAAATGGCCTGGTGTTTCCGAAGTACATTAAGTAATGATGGCCTTGATTTTCTGGCAACAATTCTCGCAGAGTACGTGATGTGGATATGAAGCGCGATTACGCCTTTGTTGTAAGTATTATAATAATGCTTTTCACCTTTACTCGTGCTCGCAAATATTTATATGTATATATATATATATACATCTACCATTAGAACTCACATTTTGAGAACAGGAATTTAGCGATGCTCGTGATGCTGATGATGCAAGATACTACTTAGATGGGCGTGATTTCGATGGAAGTCGCATCACTGTGGAGGTCTCAAGAGGGGTTAGTTGTTTGTGTCTGTCTATATTACTGGTTCCTCCTCCACTGGTTCAATTACTAATGTCTTGCAAAAATCATGAAATTATTGACAGGCGCCTCGTGGTTCTCGTGATTCTCGTGACGGTAGCAGAGGAGGTCCACCTCCTGGTTCTGGTCGCTGTTTCAACTGTGGTGTTGATGGTCATTGGGCTAGAGACTGCACTGCAGGAGACTGGAAGAACAAATGTTACCGCTGTGGTGAAAGAGGACACATTGAGAGGAACTGCAAAAACAGTCCTAGTCCAAAGAAGGCCAGGTACTTATGACTTTTGAATCCTTTTTGCACAATATCTTTTCTTCTTTTAAGCTTCTACTGATATACTAATTGTATTGTAATACTCCAGAGGTGGAAGCTACTCCAGGTCACCAGTTAAATCCCGCTCCCCTCGCCGCAGAAGAAGCCCAAGCCGTAGCCGTAGTTACAGCCGTGGTCGTAGCTACAGGTTAGTGTATAAGAAAGACGTTCTGATGTTTACAATATTATTTTCTTATTTGCTGATACACGTTTGCTAACTCTTTAGTCTGTTTTGTTTTCATTAGTCGATCAAGATCCCCAGTGAGAAGAGAGAGAAGCGTGGAGGATAGATCACGCAGTCCTAAGGCTATGGAGAGATCCGTATCTCCCAAGGGCAAAGATAGAAGCCTGTCTCCAGAGCGTAGAGTGGTGGATGCGAGCCCAAACCGTGATATGCAAGAGGGATCAGACTATGATCGTAGCCCAAAAGTGAAGGATAATGGGAGGAGGTCTGTGAGTCCCATTGTGGGAGGTGGAGAGAGTCCTGTTGGACTTAATGGTCCAGACAGGAGCCCCATTGACGACGAGCGTCGTTCTCCTAAAGGCAGCGAGTCTCCTTGATTATGCTTCTCTCAACCCTGTTAAGCCTAATGTTGGCTATGTTGTGTCTTTCCCTTTCATTCTGCTTTAATAGTTTCCGTTTCGTCGCGTGACAATAATACTTAATTTCCTTTCTTTGATGACTCTTCTATTTGGTTACAGACGAATTTGAATCTCTGTTTTCTTGATCAATAGACATATCTTTAAGATTTTCGTTTGTGTTTTTGCTATTGATTTTGTTGTGAAACTAAAACGACAGCCTGAATCTTTTAGCCTTTTTAACTGCCATATGACAAAAGAGAAGGATATATTGTCAATCTTTGGAAGAAACAAAATGTTTGTGTGTTGATCACTGTGATTCCTTTGTATCCGGTCAAGAAGCTATGTATGTACATAGAGAGGTGACTTTGTGATGCGGCAAACAGCTTCATAGAGTATTTTGAAGTTCAAGTTCATCCTCCATTTCATCACCGTCTTCAAACAGCTTGAGAAAGCGGGCTTGCTCTTGTTGCCGTTTCTTCTTTCTCCAGTACTTATAACCCACCACAAGTCCTGCCGCAGCTACACCTAACACAAGTACTACAATGAGTACCACGATTGCAGGACGCATTCCACGTCTTTCTTCTTCTTTCTCAGTGCCAGATTCTTTATTCGAACCTGCAAGACGAAAAGCATCCATATGATATTCCCAATCACATTCCTCTAGGAAACATTATTCATCATGATGTAATGGACTAAAGCTCAAGATGTGTTGCTTGTGGGGAAACTCACCAGGTCCGACTTGTGAGCATCCATGGCAGAGAAAAGTAGCATTGAATTCTTTCTCTCTGCCGTGTGTGTATGTACCCTCAGCTGTGAAATCAGAAGGACAAAGCTCCCATTCGTCAAATGTGTCATGTGTAAGAGGGTCTTGCTCATAGATTCCACATCTCTTGCATTTTGTTCCTTCGAGTTTGGTCAGTGGCTGAAAATACCCAAAACAAAAGACAGAACTTTAAGCTCAAAAGAAGAGTGATGATAGTAATAATAACCTTCAACACAAGACAATAGATTTCACAGGAGAAGAAACCATTGCACCAACTATTTTGATCTAATTACGAATATCTCAATCCCAAGGACTATGAAGGAACAATCAGACAATAGCTAGGAACTAAGGGAAAGCCATGGATTAAGATCAAATCGAGCCAACCAATATGAAAATTCTTGCTAAAGCTATGAAAATTAACAATATAATCAGAAATGAACAAGAAACAAACTACATCCAAATTCTTGCTAGAGCTATGAATTTAACAATAAAGTCGAAAACCAAATCAGCAAAAAACGATAGCTATCTCACGATTGAACTACATTTCGGAAAGAAGAAACAAACCTGCCAAGATTCTTCGCCTTTAAAAGAATAAGAAACATTCGTGTTCTTAACATCAGGAAACACGGTCTTGTTCTCTCCTTTACACTGGAAATAGACTGTAGGCTTTATGGAGAACCAATCGTGAGTCGTGAAAATCCGAATAGAATCGAGTGTGACTTCTTGTGTTAGTATTGTTCCTGTGACGATCAAAAACAAGTATCACAATTGATTACAGCACGAGCAACGAAACCATTTCAAAAATTCAATACTAAGAAAATCAAAACTGAAGCTATAATCACAGTCATCCTAAAAAATCAGTGAAATTCAAAAACTAAAGGGAAGAGATGAGATTTTTACTAATTTGTTACAAAAAGTTGAGACTATTGTTTACCTGGAAACGAGCTGAGGAAGACGAAACACAATACGAAACCGCGAAATGCCCAAGAAGCCGGCGGAATTCGGATTGACATCGCGATTCCCTATCGAATCGCGTTCACGATCAATCAAAACCGATCAATGTATAAACGGTTGATCGAAAAGAGGAGGTGAAATGAGGGTTTCGATCGACAGGAGAATTGTAGTCGGAAAAGGATTTACACCACGCACTGTTCTCTATGTGGTGGATCTCGTCGAGGTTTTTGGCTATGGCGTTCGAGCAAAGCGTAGTGCCTTCGTATAGGAGGAGAGAAATTGAGGAACAAAGCGATCTTGCGTTGACCGCTTTTGGTTTGCTGATTTTATGTAACCTTAACCGAGTTAACATTATTAAACCAAAGTTCTTCCGTACGTTTTTTTTCCCAAGTACAGAGCAAAAACATAAGAATTTTTAAAGAGGTACTTATCAACTTTGATTCAAAAACCCAAGAAAAATTAAATAGAACAAACCAACATAACAAAGCCTAGTTTGTGGAACTGAAAGAGAAAACGTTAAAGCACAAACTAAGCATGAGAAGAATACAAGAATTCAGAGAGCTAAATATAAGCTTTTAAGTTTCAACATATCCAAGCTTTCAGACCAAACACTCAGCAACCAGATGGTATTTGACTTACTGAACAAGTCTAACCATAGCTTCAGTCAAATATGAGCTGACATGCAGGTGAGCGCCTGGGTGACGATGCCAATTCCTTGATCATCTCAAGTTTCATGCTGGGATCCGTAGCTTTGGAGGAGATAGTTGCCTTCTTTAAACAGCTTCCGTTTCTTAAGATGAATGCTGCCACTTCTTTCTCGTCTCTTGTTCCTTCATAGTTTACCCATTCGAGAGTTTCAAGACTCCATAACAAACATTCAGGGACTGAACTTGGTTCATCCCAACACGGGCGTTGCTGTGGTGTAGCCCGTAGTTTATGGTGCTGATATAAGTTCAGTGTGCATTAGAGATCATCATTTGTATATATACTGATAAAGGAAACTGGACAATTTGAGACGTAATATATATATATATATATAGGTACCTGATTGAGTATGAGAGCTAGTAACGTAGGAGAATTTATGCGCATGTACATAAGTAGGTTCAGCCACTCTGTCTTACATGTGCATAGGGTTAAATGTACAAGACAGTGGAAGTCTGTACCAACAGGATATACCTCCTGCATACAAGACATAAGAACAGATTTAGTACATTAACTAAAATTGAAGATAAAAACATCTACAAAGAAGTGAAAGTACCTTTGAAGTTGAATAAAAGCATAAAAAGAGGCGCTTGACTGAAGTAATATAACCCAAAATATTCCCGGGATGACTAGAACTGACATCAACACTGGCCTTGACTATCTTAAGCATAGCATTCTCAATGACACAAAAATCTCTGACATAATCAAGAATATCCATGGTCTCTAAAAGAGGAGCATCTATCAGAAAACCATGTTTACCGCCTCCACCGTTGTACAAATTTACACTTTTCAGAGAAGGCACTATAATGGTGAAAATGGTAACATTGTCATTAAGACATCGTTCCACAACCAAATCTTGAAGGGCATGACAACTGGAAAAAATCCTCTTGACAAATTCATCACCAGGGTAATTCACAGATACAAGGCTCAAAGTTTTGAGGGTCGTGAAAGAAGGCAAGGAAGAAACATCCACAAGAGTCACACTCTTTAGTTTCAAGGTCACAAGCATTCTACAGCCTGTGTATAAACTCCTTGGAATTGTGACTGGAGTTGTACTGGAACAACAGTCGAGCTCGATAATCAGGCCCCGCACGCAGCGTTTAGTGCGATTGATGTCCATACTCCAACATCAGCAACACCGGATTTGTGAATAACTTTGAAATGCAAAGTTTCTACTGGTGCCTCGTGCAGAATCAAAGACCTATCCACAAACCGCGAAAACTTTCCATGATCTTGGTTTTGATAGCTATCGTCGTACACAAGTCTTGGCACCAACTTCCAAAGAGGCTGCCATCGTTTTGACAGAACCATTGTGGACACAGCATCTTTAGCAGCAGGCAATAGTGACAGTATTCTCAAGAGTAGCGCATCCGGCAATTGACTTATCCTATCCATTAGAACCTTTCAGCTTTTAGACACCAAAGCCTGAAAACAGCAAAAATACGAACAAGGGAGGTGAAACTCTTACGTGTTTTTTTGTTCATGAACCAAACAAACAGTCACAAGCAGCGATGCAGTTTCAAAGCAAAACCATAGAGAAACACAGGAAAAATCCGCAAATAGAAAGAGAAGCACATGAAATCCAAATTCATTTAGCAGCACTCAGAGACAAGCAGAAAAAAAATTCACAGATCGACAAATACCTAAAAGTAAAACCCCTTAGGTATTTCAGTAGTTCTTGTTCAACGGAGGAACTCTGTCTTCTTCGCTAATGACACCAGTTCGTCTTCAAATATGAAGACTAAGTAATTTGAGCGGTGCAACTTCCAAAATGTCATCGACGACTCAGATTCGTAAACAGGTAACTATTTAATGACTCTTTAAAAATTTGACGATTTCCCATATAGAGGCCTTCCCGCTTCTCCTAACTCGGGAAACGGTGAAAAAGCTATTAATTCGATCCACGTGCATATTTCTCGCGTTAGTTAGCTGAGACTATCTAATTTGAGACAATTTCTTACTTTATGTTGAGACTATCTAATTTCAGTATTCATGAGTTTAGGGATTGGTTCAATCTTCAGTTTATTTCGTTATCCTCTCATCATTCTTGGAAGATGCAAGACGTAATTCTGATTACATCTCATCTCTGTTGTGGACCTAACTACTTGTGTTTCAATATACAACGCACTAATTTTTCGTTGAGATTTTGCTATCTAGCTTGTATATATCAGCTTAAGAACCCCAATTCCCCCAAGTCTAAAATTATAAATAAAAAACCAAAGAATTCCTCAAAACCCACATTTCATTTCAACTAAAGGACAATGTTTTTTTTGTTTTCTTTCTTGAAAATCATATACATCCATACATACAAAAAAAAAAGTTGGGTATATGTTTATTTTCACAAAATAGCATATGATTATTCTAAAAGGGTGAATGCATGCACGATCATCTTCTTTGGAAGTTGAGTTTCCCCACAAAGAATGCAAACATAGAAGCCAACGCAATAGGAAAGGCGATTTGAACAACCGCTGTAACCGCCAAAAGGTTATGATGAAACCCAAAATAATCTTCTAAGAATCTTGCAACCGTCGTGGATTCTCCAAAGACACTGATCTTCTCATGAATATCGCCGTATTGAGCCGTGAAAAACCCGTTGAGTGTCCAAGAAGTTGGTGTTAGATAATATAACCAAACCCACCACTTTGGAATTTGCTGCAATTTTTCAAAACCAAAGATACATTACTAAAACCCCTTTTTCTTATACGTTTTGTTAAGGTAAAACTGTAAAAAGGTTCTTACCGTAACAGGGATCAAGAACCCGGAAAAGAGGTTGAAATTAACGTAGAAGAGCGATTGAAGAACCGATGCAACCATGAAGTTTGGTGTGATGGAGATGAGGAACATGGCGAGGTAGTTGTAAGTGAGAAGAGAGCCGAACGTAAAGTAGACCGCCCAAAAGATTTTGTAGGCCGAAGGATAGAAACCGATCATTGGATATGTTACGATCACAAACTCTGCCGCTTGTGTGAACAAATAAGGTATCTCACTCACAACTTGAGCCAATGCATATGCAGTCGCTGAGTACATTCCAGCAAATCTTTCACGGTACATAACGTTCCTTTCTGTTTCAAAATATTGAAGAGCTGTTGCACAATTGTTTATCCCTATAAACATCATTGCACCATACATCGCTCCTATTACTGTGAACAAACTTTGTTGTGTATCTCTACAAACAAGGTCAAACACACATTAGCATTTTTGTTAAGAATCTCACTGAAGTTGAATATTCTTACATGGCATATTTGAAAGAACAAAAAATCTTAAAAGGAGATCCAAGTTTCAAAGTTACTTACATTTTTTGGCCTTGGTTCCAAAAGAGGGCGCCAAAGATCAAAGAAGAGATTAATGTGTGAACAAGACGCTGTAAATTATAAGAGGGACTTCTCCAATAAGACAAACTCATCTTCCATAAAATAGATTTGAATTGTCCAAACCAACGCTGTGCAAATGTTCTTTTAAACTGTAAATCACTTGATCCTGAATCTGGTTGGCTCAACTGTTTCACGAGCTCCGAGTTGCTCCTATGAGAGATCAACACGTGTTTGTTTTTCATTAAAACCCAAACACAAAACTGTATATGCAAAGATTTGAAGATTTTTCTTGTACTCACTTGAACAGAGCAGATTCATGGTAGATCTTTGCGAAATCAAGGCCAAGTTCAACTTCTGCAGATTGTGAGCTAACATCAAGCATCCATGTTGCTGGATTGTGGTTGTCTCTTATCTTAGGAATGCCGTGAACACTCTGTTTATGTAACCAAAACACAAACTTTATACACTAAACAAAATTTTGAAAAGAAGATTACTCTATACTAATATACATAAGCAAACTTACCTCAAAATAGTCGATAATATGACATGAATGTTGACCCAATGGTCCTGTGTAGATCATGCGACCACCTCTTCTGAGAAGTACCAACTGAAAACTCACATTTAATTAATTTTCTTAGATAAGTTTAAAGAAGAAAGTTTTGGGGTCAAATATGAAAGGATCGTAATGTATTGAGGTGATTTTGCAATTTTACCTCGTCGAAGGCTTCGAAAATGTCGATACTAGGCTGATGAATAGTGCAGACGATTGTTCTTCCAGTGTCAGCGACGTTCTTCACTGCTCTCATAACAATGGCGGCTGCTCTCGCGTCAAGTCCCGTAGTCGGCTCGTCCATGAAGATGATCGACGGATTCGCCACCAGCTCCACCGCAATCGTCAGCCGTTTCCTCTGCTCCGTCGATAATCCGCTCACTCCGGCGACTCCCACCAATGCATCCTTGATCTCATCCAATTCGATCGTCTCAAGCACTTGTTTCACGAATTTCTGTACAGAATTGAGTTTAGATTCCGATTTGTGTTCGATTTTGATTGATGATGGAAGAGAAGAGAAATGAAGAAGAAGGCAAGCTTACGGTTTTGGTTGCGGAGTCGATCTCAGGAGCTAGACGAAGCCAAGCGGAGTAGATGACGGATTCTTCAACGGTGATGTTTGGTGAGTGAATATCTGTTTGCTCGCAGTAGCCTGAGACTCTCGCGAAAGTTTCCTGGACTTTTGGGAAACCGCTGATTCTGATGTCGCCTTCGATGTATCCGCTCGTTTTTCTTCCGGCTAGGACGTCGAGGAGAGTGGTTTTTCCAGCTCCACTCACGCCCATCAGTGCCGTTAGGATTCCGGGACGGAAAGCTCCGGTGATGTCTGTGAGAAGTTGCAGCTTCTTGTTAGCATATCCTTGGTCTCTCATCTCCTGTAGATCATCATTGAGAGGAACATTACAATATTATTAGCGAGAAAAATGGTTAAAATGGTTTATAGTTGGGGTATGAGTGAAGATTTTACCACGGGAGTGTCAACGAAGTAGTTCAATTCTTGAAATGTTACAGTGAGAGGCTTGAAAGGTAAGACCATCTTGCCTGTGGTGTATCAGGAGAAAGTATTAGTGGAAGAAGATATAGAGAATGTTAGGAGTTGGAAAAGAGATGTCACCTGAATTGTCATCTTCTTCTTCTGTATTGACAGGGGAATCTGTGGCTTTTTTCTTGATCAGAGAGTTGTCTGTTGTATCTTCTGTTCCTTGGAGCTCAGAGAGTTTTTCTTGCGAGATCATGGCTCGAGATGATGTGGGTGCTGTCATTTGGTAAATGATGTTAAGTTCGTTGTTTCAGAAGAACATTCAGTTATGGAGTACAAGAAGATGAAGTTACATTTCAAGAAGGTCAGAGCCAGAGCGAAAATGACGTTGAAGAGCACAGTGAAACCCAACAAGGCAAACAATGATACCCAATACATGTAACCATCGTAGTCCATTCCACGGCTTTGGAGTATGGTTCTCCCCAATGTAAGGTTATTGGGTTGCACCTGCAAGTTGTGACCAGGACAAGCTAATTAGTATTGAAGAGTATACCAAAGAAAGAGAAGGCGAAAGGTTAAAGACTAAAAAGCATCACCTGATTCCATCTTGGAGCAAGAAACTCGTTTACTGATAGCCCAATCTCACCGTAACTCAAAGGATTCGCCCAGAAACCCCACTTGAGCCACGCAGGCATAGAAGCTGCAGCAAACACAAAACCTTAGAGTCATGCTTGCATGGTACAACTTTTGAGGAAAGATTGGGGGAAAGTCTTACTTGGTGGAATGACGAAACCGGCAAAGACGAATGTGATTAAGATACCAAAACTGCCAGCTGTGGTTGAAGCAACTACTGTCTGGAAGATTGCAGCTAGAGACCGGAACATGGATAGCGAAGTGAAGTGAACAAGAAACAGTAGAATGAACTGCCGGAAGAACCTGTAGCAGTAATTAAACTTCATCATGTTCTTGAAAATCGCCACAACTTTGAGTACTAAGACCAGAGGGGAAATTTCACCTGGAGGCTTCAGGGGTGTATCCAATGACATAGTAAGTGAGGCCAGTCCAAACGAAAGACTCGAAGAACGAGAGAGGGACTTTTAGCACTGTTGCAGGGATTGCATAAGCCCATGCTGGATAGAAGCACAACTGCTTCTGCTTGTAAAACACGGCCAGGCGTTGAGCCGTCATAGACAACTCTGGGAATCCGTCAACAAGAAGTATAATGACGGCAAAAAAGAGAGCACTCATGTAAGAGTTTCCATGAATGATATCAATACCCATCCGTGTTCGGATAAACACAGTCATGGTGATGAATGCGGCCATAAAAAGCTGCGCACATAAAAGCTAGAAAGCTCAGGAATACTCGAAAGAAGACAAAAAGGTGAGACATCTATGGAGTGGAAACTTCATTATGTACCTGAAATGTTTTGAAAATGTAGACGAAATAGTTTCTCTTCATGAGAAGAAACTCTCTTGATATGCATGCTACGAACAGCTCCCAGTTTGGAAGAGAATACACGCTGAAGGAAAGAGCATCCTTGTGGCTTTTTGATTTATCATATGGCTTAGACAGAGCGTCCTCGACCTTTTTCCCGATACTCAACTCCTTGAATCTCTTCGACAACATTTCTACAGAGACAAACCTGTAAGGTAAATCCTCGTGCCTCCAGTATTGTGCTTGGTCCTTTTTGGATATAACCTTCAAAGAAGAACAAGAGAGGATCAATAATTCATGACTTCAAAAGCACAAAAAGGAATAGAGCTAATTTGGTTTTATACCTCTTGGAGAAAGTCTGCAACACCTTTCCTTTCAGGGCATTGAAATCCACATTCCTCAAAGAAGTTGAGGACCTCGCCGCGTGGACCATGATACACGATTTTTCCCTTGGCCATCAGCATAACGTCATCGAAGAGGTCAAAGGATTCTGGAGCAGGTTGAAGGAGAGAAACAAGCACAGTAGCATTCGATATGTGACAAAGCTGCTGAAGAGACTTGACAATCTGAAAAGCCGTGGAACTGTCTAAGCCGTTTGTTATTTCATCCATAAAGAGAGCCTTTGTCGGACCAACGATCATCTCGGCTACAAAAACATTTAGAGGTGCAATGCAAGTACTGCTTTAGAAGAAAGAACAAAGTCAGCAAAAGATGACAAGTTTTGCAGGATCCGAGCTATGAAAGTAACCTGTAGTGAGACGCTTCTTTTGCCCCCCTGATATGCCTCTCCTCATCATGTCTCCAACTAAAGTTTCTGCACAAATGTCAAGTCCAAGAATCTGCAAATGCAAAAGAAGATATAACCACCAAAACAGGAAAGGACAGAATTTTCAGACGAGCTTATCAAAGAGACTGTAAATACCTTCATGATGTAATCTGTTTGCAGACTTCTTTCAAGTCCTTCAACAGATATTGCCTACAGGAAAACGGAAAATTTCTAGTCAACACCACCGAGCTTGTAGGTTAGGTTCAATATACACTTCAGGGATAAAAGAGCGTGAGAGGAACTATACTTTCATGTAAGCATCCACTTCTGTGTCAGGAATGATTCCTGCTTCCTTTTCTCTTTTACTGACTTCCATCATGATATCTGTTTACGCAGGGGAGAAATAAATGTTCAACGATACATTTATTTTTATGCACTCGGGGGTACATTGATATGGTTGATAAAAATCTACCTGTTCGGCTACCAACGCCCTGACAACGAGCTGAGAAATCAACAGACTCTCTCACTGTCATCTCTGCAATGTGCAGATCATATTGACTTATATACGCCGAGGTTTTCTGAGGAACAAACTCGTCCAGTCTGTGTCCATTGTAAGATATCTCACCTGAACACTGTGGAAACAAGAGAAAAAAGGTACACACTTCACACATCTGCAGCAAAACAAAATAATCTCAGTGTGTTAACAAAGTTGTTTTCATCATAAGAACCTTTAGATTGTTTTCTAAGTTTCCTGACAAGGCCTTTAACATAGTTGTTTTTCCACATCCAGGAGGACCAAGCAACAGTGTTAACCTGAAACAGCAAGAAGAATAAAACACAAATTCAAAACTTTGATCAAGACTACTAGTGAGAAGAAACGGTAACACTCCTTCAACTACTTACCTTCCCGGCTTTATAATGCCATTAACGTCATTAAGAATGCTGATCTTGGCTTCGTGTGATTTTGCACCAGTGAGCTTCACAAGTTCCTGGAGAAATGGAAACAAATTAGAACTCAACTCCAGAGGCTTTAAACTTGCGATTTTCCAGAAGTTGTTTAGAGTACTCACAGAGACGACGCGCTTAGCAGTGTTCCACAGTGTTGGAAGTGCCTTCCCTTCAACAATCTCGCACTCGGCCTCCACTTTTAAACTCTTGTACCTCACTTCTATGGTCGGAAACTCCATCCCCACTCTGCACAACACAGTTTCAAGCTCAAATTTCCAAACTTAATGGCAACAAAATTCACAAAAGGGGGTAAAATCGTTTTACCTGTCTATTCTTCTTCTGATTTTCTTGAGCAACTTGAGATTATCATTCTCAATGTGTTTGATGAGTTTCTCAATCATCAGATGACGTTCCATGGCTCCAAGCTTTGTGACATCGACGACTCTTTTCCCTTTCTCTGTCTTGGACTCATCTCCATCATCGAGGAGAGTCGATCTCATGCGTTTAACAGTTGGTAATCTCTCGATCTCAGCCCATTGCAGAGCATACTCTGCATCATTACCATTAGGTCCATTACCATCACCATCATGATCTGGTTCATATCTTGAAGAGCTGCTTCTGAAACTTGACGTGTGTCTCCGGAACGATGATCTAATGCTTCTTCCAATGTCTGCAAGCTCCACTCTCAACGACTCAATCTCGTCTGCTCCACCCATATGAGCCATTTAGTTTGGCTTAATGAGTTTGAGCTCTCTGTAATTATAAATTCAAAGTCTGATTGGGAAATAATCTTAATGGTTTGACTTAACATATATGTATATATTTATACATTTATGGATTGTTCAAAACTGACACATTTCAATGATGTAAGCGACTACATCAGCTATTGTTTCCGAGTTCTTGAAAGTATCTACGATTTTCAAGGTCACTGTATGTATAAATTAATAATAAAACCACATGCTATTATTGCTATCGATTATTGTAAAACGAAGTTATAGAAGAGAAATATTAATTATATAGTATTTTGAAACTATTAGTTAATGTGTGAAAACGTACCTTCAAGGTTCTCGAAGAAGCTGTAACATCGTGGAGGATTGATTGAGTATCTGTTTTTATATTCATGAAGTCTCTGAAAATGATTCTGGTTCATGTCTTTTTGTTTGCTTGATACATTTTTCTTCTTAAAAAATTATGTTATCATGTTATCATGCTTAATGTTTCATAATGTAGATTCCATTTTACAAAATCTTATGTACACACACAACAATTATTGCGACAGCCAACAACAGTTTCAGCATGAAACCTCCCAGTTTACAATAAGAAGGAAATGGAAGAAGTTGGAAAATATTAAGAAAGACCGTACCGTTTGGTTTGTAAGTTATTGCGATTAGTATTTTATTAGGGAAAACTGATTATATTTACAAATTCATTTTGGTAATAATTTACAACTTTTACATGCAGTTTGTCGCTTGTCTAAGACTAACGGTATTAACGAATGCTATTGGACCACTCTTGTTTTCCTTCATTTCAATCAAAAATAATTGGATTGGATTTTGGAAACTTGAGTTGACTTTTTAAATTGAACCATAGTCTGATAAGTCATTAATAAAGTTTGGTGTTACTAAGCCCTACAAGTTTGAAAATTGATACAATATCGAATTAATTACAAACTGAAGTACAACTTTGTAGAGAATAGAAAAACTCCACAGTAAATTCCAAAAACACGACATCAGTAAAGAAGAATTAACTAATCTTCTTTATTTGTTTGATATTTTCTTAGCAACACATGCAGTAAGAAACATAAAAACATTGCATATAAAACCATTGAAAAATAGAAAAGGGAAAAAGAGGATGAAAGCAGTGACATATTGAAGATGTTGAAAGAAAAGTTGGCGATAGAAACAAAGTAATATTCAATTGAACCAGCATGACACAGTCCTCCCTCAGCTAAACAAACCTCCTCACCTGCCGATTTCTAAGTTTTATACGATTTATTATTGTCCTCAATTCCTCATCATATTCTTACAACAAATTTAACGCATTCCTTTTTTTCTATATTCAGATCTTTATTTATCGGGGATCAAATATATTTTAAGATTAAAATTTACCATTGGAGTTAATCGTACGCATTAAAAGATCATGAGCTTTAGTATTGTAATCGAACTTCACGTTTGACCGAAGGAAAAAAAAAGTAAAGTTCAGTTGGTTAACTTCTAAGATACGCAAATGTGTTTTATGATGATTCACAGATTCGCGGCGGGCAGTACTGTGAGGCATGAATGAATAAATATTTGTCTTCAAAAACATCCAAAGCATGCAGTTTGTTTTGGCTAATTATTGAAAAAAAATACTAATTCATAAGATTTTACAATTGGGATCATGTAACTTCGTACATGTTATGTTCCTTAACCCGTCTTAGAATGTAAAAATAAATTCACAACTTATGCTTTCGCCTACGAATATAAAAGTCTGCACCATCGTGAGAGTATTGGTCACTTAATTATGTTCTTTTGTCAACGTATTATGTACACTATAATACTGTAATAGTAATATCACAATAAACTTCTCTAATCCTAAAAATAATAATAATAATCTGCGTTACATTTTTCCTCTGAAATTTATAAGGTTTTTAAGTAAAGTAAAGTTTATGCAAAGTAAAGGTTGGTCACTTAATTTATAAGGTTTTCAAGTAAAGTAAAGTTAAGTTTATGCAATGAACCAGAATCTGATCTAAATGCCTTCGCTAACGAATGACAAAAGTTGAAGTAAGATAAATATAAAGAGGTTTCACTTGACAGGAGCAAGAATGGTGTAGAGAAGGAGGAATGAGACAATGACGATGGCTCCGATAAGTGTGAACCTCGGACTTGTCCAGAGCATGAGGTTGGATCTCTCTGCTCTTTTGATGGGATCGACTTCTTCCGACAACGGAAACTCCGATCTCGGAGGATTCCACGTCACGTACTTGTCGACGTTGAATTGCGAGAACAATGTCTTCTTGCTCTGCTTCTTGAAACTCTTCCACGCCTTGTCCCAATCCCTCGACGACGATTTATCACCTGACAATTAAACCAAATTAAAACCGATTCGAATCCAATCTAACATAAGCAGTTTCGAAATCTCTCACCGTTGTCGTTTCCACTCTTGGGAGATTCGTCCGGATTTTTCTTGGAACAACGGAATTTCGAGGAGGATGAGAATCTAGGGATTATCCGGCAGAGATTGGGGGATCTTAAGCTTGAAATTCGAACATAAGTGTCCATTTTTCAGATTGCGGTACGGACAAAAAAGTATCTGAGTGTTGTTCTTCTGCGATCTTCTCCGCCGGACAATGTTTTTCCTTAGCCTTTCAATCTCATCTTCTTCATCGAAAGCGACACGTGGCTATCGATGGGTCCCATGCTATGATGAATCCGGACCGGGCTGGCTACTTGGTTTGGATCGGGTACGAGAAATATTCGACCAGGACCGGACATAAACATCTAACCGGCGCTAAGTAAACCATTTTATAGAAATGTTGCTAATGGGCCTCTTTCATTTTCTTCTTATACAATAAACCTCAGCAATGGACAAGTTGAAGATCCATGCTGGATCATCAGTGTACAGTCTCCAGTTGCATCTTCCTTTGGCTTTTTGTTACGGTTGTTCTTTTCACTAGACCCACTCACTTGTCTCTTCTCTTAATCTCCACTGTCCATCCAACTTCGACGGACCAGATCTTCTCTCCCATACCATTCACTCCATTCAAAAAGCTTAATTCAAAATTTTCAGTATAAAATGGTCCTTAAGTATGTTTTCAGTTCACTTAGTAACAAAAATATTTATACTTGTCTATCTATATCTAAGAAACAAAAATTTGAAATGACTATAGCTGAAAAAGTAAAAAAACTAAGTAATCTGGCTTTACATAGTCGTACTTGTGATTACTATTTTGTTGATTATACTAATTAAACCAATCAAGAAGAGCCATTACATTTTCAAACAAGAATTTTTGCAAAAAAAATTACAGTTAATATTTTTATACAGTCACAACAATAATACTAGTCGAGAGTCGAGACTGAAAAGTAATTACTGTATTGTGAAAAGTTTTGCAGATTTTAGCGAAGAAAACAAAATATCCAAGTGGAAGATATTTCAAGCGGATAAGAAAAGAAAAAAAAAAAAAAAATTCTTTTTGCCAATAAATATCTAAAACTCGTCTCCTTTTATCTCTTCACTCTCAAATCTCTCTTTCTCGCAGAACCCTTAAACCTTATCTCTTTCACAGCACCACCAGCGAGAGAGCTTTAGCAAATCCTCAAAAGCTAAAGCCATGTCTGCCTCCGCTTCTTCCCTCTCTCTCACTTCCTTCAACCCTAAATCCCTTCCTCTCTGCGTCTCCAGGTCCGCTTCCCTTTCCGTCTTGCCTCCTTCCCTCTCCTTCAAACTCCACTCCGACCATCTAGTCTCCCTCTTCGCTTCCTCCGCCGTCAAATTCTCAGCCCCCTCGGAGTACCCGTCGCGGTTCGTCAGAAATGTCGCCGTTTCCTCGGATTTCGAGGTGGAGGAAGACGACATGTTCGGTGAAGACGATTCGCCGCCGCCGGAGAGAAACACCTTCTCTAATGACCTCAAGCTCTTCGTCGGTAACCTTTCCTTCAACGTCGATAGCGCTCAGCTAGCTCAGCTGTTTGAGAGCGCCGGAAATGTTGAGATGGTTGAGGTACGAATTTAGGGTTCCTGATTTTGAATTGCTTAATTCTCTTCCTCAAAATCGATGCTTTATAGATTTGATGATGAAGTAGCTGATTGCTCATAATAACTTCGTGTGAAATGGGTTTGAATCTGATTGTGTAGCGTCAAAATGAGAACTTTGCAAAAGAGCTAAGATGGTTCTGAGTCTCATAGATAACGTTGTGTGGTGTTGTTGCCTTTGTGTGACTGAGAACATTGTAAATGTCTTGGTTTTTGTAGGTTATCTATGACAAAGTGACTGGCAGGAGCAGGGGTTTCGGATTTGTGACAATGTCCACTGCAGCTGAAGTTGAGGCAGCAGCTCAGCAATTCAATAACTATGTAAGCAGACTTTCATTTTCCATTACTGTGTTGAGATAAGCTTTGTGAGGACTTGTGATTGAATAACCTGAATCATTTATTGTTATTCTTAGCTTGTGTATAATCACTAACCACTGTAATGTAAGTGTGCATTACACCTGGCTCTCATGAACGTTTATCCTCTGTTTGGTTTGCCTATACTTAATGGTTTCATGTTGTTCTTTGTTCCACTGACAAGATGCATTTGCTTATTCGGAAATGAAAGCTGTCAAACTTCTAGGTCGTTCTTGTTTATTGGGGATATAAGTTGCTGAGAGAATTGTTGAACCTTTGATTTGGTTGTACATGCTTGTTGTTCATGTCTTTTAGATTTTATACATTGCGACTGTTTTTGTTAATCTTGTTGAGATGAACATTTGCAGGAATTTGAAGGCAGACCCTTGAGGGTTAACGCTGGACCTCCTCCACCTAAGAGAGAGGAGTCCTTCTCCAGAGGACCAAGAAGTGGTGGTTACGGCTCTGAGCGTTCCGGTGGTTACGGTTCTGAGCGTTCCGGTGGCTACGGGTCTCAACGTTCTGAGCGTTCAGGTGGCTACGGGTCTCAACGTTCTGAGCGTTCCGGTGGCTACGGGTCTGAACGTTCCAGCTATGGTTCTGGGTCAGGTTCGGGATCAGGGTCATCGGACCGTATCTACGTGGGAAACCTTTCATGGGGTGTCGATGACTCGGCTCTTGAGAACTTGTTCAGTGAGCAAGGAAAAGTTGTAGAGGCCAGAGTCATCTACGACAGGGACACTGGTAGGTCCAAGGGTTTTGGGTTTGTGACGCTAGGCTCTGCTCAAGAGGTCCAAAAGGCCATCAATTCACTGAATGGAGCAGTAAGTATCTTCTTACAATCTCTTTTGTTTAGTAAATTTCTTCTTACAGTAAGGTTTGGATGTTTTGCTCTCAATTCTAATTACATGTTTTTGCTTTCCTTGAAGGATTTGGATGGTAGACAAATAAGAGTCTCGGAAGCTGAGGCAAGGCCACCAAGGCGTCAATTTTGAAGTGTAATGCCACTTTGATTTTCTCAAAAACTGCATTCTCTTCTCTCTTTTTGTTTTGTTTTAGTTTTTTGTTGGGTATTTTGACACCTTTATGGGCTTTTGGAGTATGAGTGACTGTAGCAGTCTGTTTTATTTAATGGGTTTTGATCTTCTGTTCTGAAAATCAGTATGTATTCCTAAAACCTGACAAGTTTCGTTTGGAACAAGAAAATTTCTGGAAGGCTTTGATCGACATTAGGTTGTAATCACTTGCTGTCTTGTTAATGGTTATGGGTAGTGCGTGCAATTCATACATCAATGTATAATTTGGTTTGTTTCGTACATATTGGATCCCATTTTCATGAAAATGGGCCTATGCGGTAGTATACAGATCGGTTTTTCTAAAGGCCATGGACATGCGGATTTAACTAAAGATAATTATACTTTACGACAAAACTTGTTACTAAAAATTTGACTACAACTTGAATGTTAATTTACTGCGAGTCTGCGACATTAACAAATTAAACAAGTATGCCGTTGATTTTTTTAGTGTCGTTCAACATATGCACGAACATTTGAGCACATTCTCAATATTTGTTTGGTGTATATTTTGTTTTCCTTCAAGTTTTCGGTTTTCCTTTAGGGTAATTAAGACGGGTTGATGAACAAACACACCAATTATCGACTAATCAGATAATGCCAAATCATATATTGTGGGTATGTGACGAAGGTAGATTCAACGTCATTTTGTTTTTCTTTTTCAAAACAATTGCTTGAAGGAATAGTTAGAGAGCAAATGGGACATAGTAATGACCGAAAGCAGGGAAGGAACATTGAAGTGAATTAATGGAAGATTATGTCTCAAAAATAAAGAACACAGAAATAATAAATGTCACTTTGCTCTTTCTCCATCATACTTCCACCACTCTTCCTGCCTACAAGTTAGGCCTTTTTCTTCCTTTTTAAAAAACTCGTTTCTCTTTTGTCTTCACATATCAATTCTGTATTTAAACATGCATTTATATTACACGTATGATATAAAAATGCTAAGATGTGTAATGTTATACAGGTGATCAAGCCTAACACCAGTTTTGATCTCTACAACACAAATGATATGTATGTAACAACAAAAACCTGTAAGATAAATGTTACTTTCCCTAATCAAGCTCATAATTTCTACAATCTTTCTATTTTTGGTGACTGACGTATATCGCCAGCGTTAACCTATAATAACATTACACTTTTAGAGAAATTTTATATGTTTTAACAACCCGATTGAACTAACACACATTGTTAAAGGAGTAGAATTGCTGTAAAGAAGGCATGTCCTAGTGTGGACGTTTATAACAATGTGATACCAACTTTCTAGATATTAGATGATTATGAAAAGAGTTTAATGATTAATATATCCCGTGTTCATGGAAATATTCTAGTTAATCAACAAGATTGCGAATATGTAACACATTAGACTAGAGCTTAAACTCAAGAGCTTTCTTGCTTGTCTTCTCGTCTACTTTTGTTCGTTTTTATTCTACACTTATACACAACTATCTTAAAAACTCGAGGTATAATTAGAGAAAACTATGTTTGTAATGAATTGTTGTGGTTGAAAGTGCTATCACAGTTGTATATCGAATACTAGCGATAAATACTCTATATTGTCACTTATCCATCCATCATATAGGATACCCTATTTTCATCATGAGATGAATTTGAATGATCTATTTCAATTTCGGTTTCAGAAGAATCAGTTTTCTCATCATGGAAAGATAGGTAGAGTCTTTAACTCTTTGATGGATGTATCTAGCTCAGGTTAGGTAACGAATTTATTTATTGGAAAATTTGTAACAATTAATCATCTCTCTAAAATTAATATACCATAATGACGACTGGTCTACTCTTATGGGCGGTCGTAAATGCAAATGGGGGCCCTTGTTAGTACAACTGCAGTTGATATGGTCGTCATTTGCCCCTTTCATTAACATCAAACTAAATATATTGTTTAAACAAAAATTTAGAATAAAGTAACACTTTTGTCTGATAAGATTAGAAAGCGAGGAGCCTTTTTACTGCTCTCCTGCTTCATCTGTATTCGGCGCACACACTTTATCTACACACATCCACAAAGCCATCCATATTTAACTTAATTAATTATGCATGTACTGTATAAGCCTTTGTTGGAGTATCACATTAAGATACATACAGTATATAATTTTTATTTATATATACTATTGTAAGCTTGTAGATAAATCGATCCTTTTGTTGTACATTTTTTTGGTCTTTGTTAGAAAAAAATGATTGAAGATATTCCGACTTTTTTCCCACTCTTATTCCTTCTACTTGTATAATAACTTACCATTGTTAACAAATCTGAATTTAGTTCGGTTTAACTTCTCGTGAAGTAAACTAACTGAGTTGTATAATTCTCTTGTAGCTTATATCAAGAGAACTTTTATTATACAATTAAACCATAAAAGCAAACGAATTTACCATCGATTATCCACTGTTGGTATATAATCACAACGGGCCAGTTGATGAGATCTATAACAAATAAAATGTAGGTTACATGGAGAGTGAACTAATCATGTCGTTTAACACAGTAACACCACCATCATGGTCGATTATTATAATATTATAAATTAGGTTTGAAAGTGAGAAACCCGAGACGAAGAATGTGGAGTGCAATAAGAAAACAAAACAAAAGAGTTAAATGCGCATGCAAGCATGCAAATTCAAAAACTACATTGGTTTCAATAAGTAATACAGTACTAATTTGTTTATAATCTCCAAACCCACAGCTTATAAATCTAACAGGGCAGCCTTGCATCGAGTTCTTGGGATTGCAATTTCTTTCAGTTTATTAAATTAAGGGAAATTAATTCTGACACTCTTATATCTATGTTCAGTTCTTTATAAAAAAAAAATCTATGTTCAGTTAAGCGGAGTATAAGAGTATGGGGTTGCTGACTTGCTGTCCATGGAATAAAACAGCTATATATAGCTTAGCTTCATACTATATATAGATTAATAGAATTTAATAACCTAATAACATGTGGAGCGTACCATTAAAATCTTTCGAGCTTTTGATATACTCCTTCTGTTTCATATTATAAATTGTTTTGGCATAATATATCTGTAATTTTCTGGATGTATCTGAATGTAAGTATATGTAATTGACTTATTTGTTCATCTCATAGTTAAAGAGGGTATAACGGTATAAATCAGAAAATGCCAATCAGTTCCTATAAATAATGTAATTACTAATTACGACGTAGATGATTTCTCTGTTGTATGTTGTAAGTTTGTAACCCATTTTCTAGTAAAGTATTGATAAAAAAACAAACCAAAAATATTTCTTTCTTTTTTCACATTGGATCCTTATAATCTATCGTTCTAGTGGATAAACTTTTTAAGTAGAATAAATATAAATGGCATTGAGCTACATATCCATTATCCAAATGTAGAGGATATGTGTAAAGCTCAGAGAGCTTTTGATATATACAAAAACATTATAAGAAGAAACCAAAAAGTAGGGAAGTGGAAAATATAACTAAATAAAGAAATGGAGTACATAATTGCTATTGCTTAGAACAAGATAGAAGGAGGAGGTTTGTCTACATAGGGAGGGTAAATGAGACAACATTGATGATAAAAACCATAACTCACTTTGTGTTTCTTATTTCAATCATTCAATGGCACATTGCTCCATAACCCAGACATCATCATCTCAATTTGTTCATATTCTATATGTGTATGCATATGTGTCAAATACATATCTGTGTATCTCTTGCTTTGTTGCTTTACTCATCACTAGTTTGATCACACTTTTAATTAAATATCATAGAGTTAAAGTAAATTATGTTTGGACCCATCTTACATGTCCAGATATATGCTGACAATGAAAATTGAATTTTTATTTCCATTGTCGAAAATTAAATTTTTGTTCTGTTCTTGAGAAAAAGGAATCGAAAAGTGAGGTGGCTTTATATCTAAATCAGTTTCTTTAATCTAAAGATGTTTTCTTTGTCACTTCCCATTAATTTTCGCACAACAAATTTGAATATCATTATGAAAAAATATAAAAAAGAACGCAAGGAATATTTCCTTTTCAAGTATGTCGATTTTTTTTTTACTGCAATCATTCTTTAACATATACTAGTAACTTGATGATAATCAATCTCGAAGACAATCCTAACGTGAAATGTCATATATTCCCATATAAGTTTATACTTAAGTCTTCTCGATGAATCGTGTTAGTTAAAATGGTGGTGACTATAGTAGCTAGTGACGACCAAAGTTGTTTCTCTCTTTTCATGCGTGACAACTGACAATTACCCGTAACAGAACGGAATCAACTTTTCTTCAAGTTTATGCTAGAGACAGACCAAAAGGTGTATGTGTTGAGAAGACACGATAATACAATTGCTCGTTAAGTTTATAGCGTTTTTTTCACACAACACAATACCAAAAATAAAGATTATAATTTGGTATTCATATTAAACATATCATCATTTTTTCTTGTTGTAATTTTCATCCTAATTTACTTTGAGTTTTGAACTTCCAACTTGGATCAGCATATCTGTTTTGTTTCTCAAATGTAATCAATTTGAATAATTTCCTTAAAGTTTCAGTTAAACATCCATACCATTTTGATTTTTGTTCTGTTCTCGGTTCCAAAATCATTGGAGTTAGAAAGTAGATAACAAAGAATTTGAATGTAAAGAAGAAAAACAATATATAATCGATAAAGGGAAGTGTAATGAAATCCGAAAAAAAAAAGAAAACAAATTGAGGAAGAACAAAAAATTACGAGGAAACAAACACAAGGAAGTGGTCCACGCGTGCCAACATGAACTGTATGTGCGGGTGGTTGCGACGCGCGTGCTGAATTCTCTCACGTGTGAAAATCCCAAAATTAAAAGAACAATCTTTTTAATAAATAAACGGATTGAGAGATGACGAGAAAACGCACTCTGTATATATAAATAACAAACCCAAACCAGAAAGCATTATAGTAGGCAAAGAAACACCAATTCTTTTAAGAGTTCTTTGAGTTTTAACTTCATATTTATAATGCTTCTTCTTTGACACTTGTACGGTCTCTGTACCTATCGTTTATCCTTCTTTCGTAAGCACCCAAGTGAGAGATTTCGTTTAGAAACCAAACACTATATTTGTCTTTTGTTTCCTCTGGTGCAAAAAAGTTAAGAGATTTTTTCATAATCTTGAGCTCATAGTAACCAATGGCGGTGAACACTGAAACAATGCAAAAGTCGAAGTTCGGAAGAATCTGTGTGTTCTGCGGAAGCAGCCAAGGCAAGAAGAGTAGCTACCAAGATGCTGCTGTGGATCTAGGCAACGAATTGGTATTACAAATCTCTGAAGTTCCCATTTTTAAGTCATTTACAGATTTTATATCTGCTTTCTAAGTTAATTTTCGAAAAAGAGACGTACTTTTACAGTTTATGTTCACCAGATGTTTGTGAATATGTTTGTTTAGCCTCTTATCTTTGCAAATGCAGAGCATTTCCTCTGTTTTGAAAACACTCATCTGTGATTTAGCTTACAAATGATAAACCCTTACAAAGTATTGTTGATATGTGGAATTAGTGCTTCGTTGATAACTCAAAAAGATTACATTTTTCAGTTTTTGTTTTATCCTTTTATCATATTCATCTTTATGATTGGGAGCCCACAAATATCGCTTAGTGGGAATGTTTGTCTCCATATTTGAGAGTACAAAACAAAAGCAGTATCTTTGGTTTCGATTTATCTTCTTAGCTCATTTCTCAAACTATCTTGGTTTAAGAAATATGGTTTAATTTCCTCTGTTTTTTTATTTTGGCATTTGCAGGTTTTAAGGAACATTGATCTAGTCTATGGAGGTGGAAGCATAGGTTTGATGGGTCTGGTCTCACAAGCTGTTCATGATGGTGGTCGTCATGTTATTGGGTAATTCTTCATCATATCACTTTAAACATGCTTATTATCAAGTCTCTTTGTTTCTCATATTTGTTGTCGTTTTTACCAACAGGGTTATTCCCAAGACACTCATGCCTAGAGAGGTATTCACTCTTATAAATCACTGAGGAAAAATGTTTGAACCTTTTTAAATCTGTTTCTGATTCCTATCTGTTAACTGTTTTCTCTGGTTGCTTTATCTTCATTCATTTTATTGGAACCAAAAGAAGTTTCATTTAAGAAAAAGAAAAATGAGATGGAGAGCTTAATAACTAAGTATTGTATGGATAGTTAAAATAAGACAAATTGCTTACATTGCCATCATTGCTTCTGGTTCATAGAACAGTCTAAAGCTGCTTTTTTTTTCTTTCTATCTTTAATTTTATTTAAAGTTTCAAGATTATTAGTTAAATGGGATTTCTCCTTTTTTGGCAGTTGACCGGTGAAACAGTAGGAGAAGTAAGAGCCGTGGCAGATATGCATCAAAGAAAAGCTGAGATGGCTAGACACTCTGATGCTTTTATTGCCTTACCAGGTTAGTAGTATTAGCTCTTAAATTCTTGAAATTGTTCAAAGTCCCATCGGTTTATTAGTTTAGTTTACAAGCTCAGTTCTCAAAACAAGTAATGATTATGTAGGATGAAACTAGCTAGTCAAAGTCTAGTGATAGCCTTGTTTAAGAAACTACTCAGCATCTTTTTTAGGCTTTTTAAACTTCTTAAATTGTAGAAAACCAAAGTGTTTAAAGAAGATTAATCTTGATTAAAAAAGGGCACCGAAAAGGGCTTTAAACTCTTTGACTAATTTTGCCAAAGAAGAGGGAAGGAGAAGAAACCATTTGATGAAAACATGTTTTCTTGGTCAAACTCAAGCCGTAGTGTGAAAGCCTTTTTTCAAGTTTAAAATTTGAAAAGTATATATTGGTTCGTTTCGTTATGATTGTTGGACTATTTTTTTTATAAATAATAAATAAAAAGAATGCATTGACCCATCGACATCTCGCACTGAAAATTAGACCAATGTCTTCTCTTTGCTCTATTTCTTTGTTACTTGCCTTTAACTTGGGAGGTACTTCTCTATATAGCTTATGTGTAGTGTAACTGTGCCTAAAGTTTTAATTTTTCTTACCTGTTTTAAGTTAAAAGACAAAAACCTGAAACAGTCTCAGAAAAAAGCATGTTTGCCCATATAGAGAGGTCTTGTTGAAGAGCTTTAGTAATCATGCCCATATGTTAACAGAGTCAGAGGATAAGTCTCTTGTATGGGATTTGTCTTGTCCAGAGGACAGTTTCTGCGCAGATGAGGCATAATTTGGTGAATTGACCAATATTATAATAATAATTGACCTGACCATAGTCTCTTTCTGCTTTGAATCTGCAGGTGGATATGGAACACTTGAAGAACTATTGGAGGTCATAACATGGGCTCAGCTTGGTATACATGACAAACCGGTAAAGACCCATCACTATGATCCTCAAAAAGATTCAAACTTTGAAACACAAAATCATTAAGAAACTAATTACCATTGTTTGCTGCAGGTGGGTTTGCTCAATGTTGATGGATACTACAACTCGTTGCTCTCTTTCATTGATACAGCCGTTGAAGAAGGATTCATCAGTCCAAACGCTCGCCAGATCATAATTTCTGCGCCTACTGCTAAGGAGCTTGTGAAGAAGCTTGAGGTACTTGCCTATAGGCAATTTGATTGATCCAAAAGACTGGTTTCTGAAAAAAGTTTAAACTGAAAACAACTGTGATGTTGTGTGTTTGCAGGAATATTCTCCTTGCCATGAAAGTGTTGCGTCTAAGCTCTGTTGGGAGATTGAGCGGATTGGCTACTCTTCTGAAGACTGACACTGATCAGGATTTATATAAACATATATAACTATAATTATTGAATCTCGGGAGGTTTCAAGACTAGATCTTAGTTAAGGAAACAGATTTTGAGGATCTCAGAAACTTCTGATTAGGAGGCTAAACA